CTCGCGCTCTCCCCCTCACTAACCGTCTCCCATCCCAGTCCCACTGAACCTGAACCCTAATGAACCCTAAACACTGAGAACTCTGAACTTTACAGCCTAGCTTTTCCACGGACATCCCTAGTGTCCACGGCCCATGAATCCACCCCCAATCCTTGACCCTCAACCCCAAAACTAGGGATCTGGGTTTCGGGCACCCAAGGGTACCCAAGGGTTTAAGCCTAAGGGTGTTAGGCACCCCAAGCCCGAAAGCCTGAAACCCCAACCGTGACCTGAATTCCACACCCCAGATCCAAGAAGCCAGGTGATGACGCCCAGGAACCGCACCGGCAACCAGCCAGGAAGCATGGCTCAGGTGGCTACTGGATTTGGAAGGATGTGGGGTTTGGGGCTCAAGAGTTTGGGGCTTAGGCTGAAACTACGTGCCAAGTTGACGGGACTCTGGATACAGAAGTCGGCGAGCTTTGGAAGGGGCGCTGCCTGTTCCAGGGCCAGAGGTTGTGACAATGCCCTCCTTCTTTGAAGGAAGGGCACAGTCTACCCCGGGCACACCGGGACCAGCAACGATGTGTTAAAACGGCTGGGCAGAAGGAAGTCAATGTGCAAGCCCCAAGAACATGTGGTACGCGACATCGCCTGGAAGCTCGTGAACTCCATATTATGGGTATTTCCTGAAACACGGCGAACCCTTCAATTCTATCCTCCAACACGACAAGCTGCAATATAGGGAGCCCCCAATCAGCATTTTTCATATTTTTTCATTTATGGAAGCCCTGGCGAAACAAACAGCTTGGTTGTTGCCAGCACTTTGTCACGTCAAGCAGCGATTCATTTCAAGCTGCAGAATGAAACAGCTGTTGCAGTTGGCTGATTGTGCCCAAAGTGCTTGCATGAACCTCAAACCGACACTCCCCCCCCTGTAGTGTGACTTGCGGATCTTGCGGCGCGACAGATTCGAAACCAAAACCGTCACGAAGGCTTTCTGGCTTCGGGCCATGGCGCTGCTCAGTTGGCTTCAAGCGCCTGATTGCAATAGGCCAATAGGCCAGGCTGCCAAGCTGCGACTGCACTTTCACCCTTTTTTGGCATCCGAACTCTGCGTTGCCAGAAACTGCCCGCAGGCTTCCAGAGCTACTGGACTCCCATACTCTAGCCAATGAAGAGGCACGGTCTCATGAGGACAAGATGATCGTCTCGCAACATATTCATAAGGCAGCTTCCCAAGTTTCCCAAGCAGGACGAAATGTTCTTCCATCATGTATAAGTCAACAACAGGACCTGGACGCACAGCGCTGCTCGCAGCATCAGGAAGTGCCGCAAGCTATCGTGGGAGTCCGCTGCGCTCAGTGGAGCCACCAGTGGCAAATGACACCCCCTTCAGTTGGATCCAACATCACAGCTTTACACGACGACACCATTCCGTGCTCAACCGATTGATCAGGAATCACACGCAAACCCACTCAGCTTTGTGAACCCTAAACACTTTCACATCAATCGCCAAAGTGGGCGCAGCTGTTCCGATCTTTTCTCAAGTTTCGGCCAGAATTGCTTGCTCCAGTGGTGAAAACGTTGTGAAACCACGTAAACAAACATCTCTCTCTTATTTCCTGTTTTAACCTAGCATATAGCAGACTCCCTATACACAAAGAGGTGTGTATTCACATATCGGTGCGGAGGCCGGTGTATGCGCCGATTGTTCCACGTACGGTACAGGCTCACAGTGGGCTCAAACTCACTCAGATCATCTCAGATCGAGGCTTCACTCTTAGCCGCCTCTCATGTCAAAAATGTCTAATGTATGCTGGGGGAGGTGCAGTCCAGTTGTTGTCGATGCGTCACAACGGGCCTGTCGCACATGTCAATCTCCCAACGACGCCAGTGGCTTCACCACCTTGCAGGCAAGTGCAAACCGTTTGCGGCTCTGAGTGTTTTCGGTCTCTCGTTTCTGGGCACAAGCTCACACGCATAATCATAACCTCATGTGCCATTCAGGTCAGGACGGCGAGATGGGAGGCAGCGATGCCAAAATGCGCTTTGCATGGGTATCGCCGAAAGTCTGGCCAGCTGAAGGCTGTTCAAATGCCCGTTTTAACACCATGGTTTGGCCATGATGGCACCTGCTCGGGTCGATGTCCAACCTTTGCAGATTGGTGTAGACCTTCGGCCGACTTGCCACTGTGCCGAACTAGCTGCAAGCAATGAGGATGAGCCGTTCTGGGCTCTCAAGCCCACCGTTATGGTTCAGATTTGGGAGAAGGTTGCACAAAGCTGTTGTGACAAAGCCACGTTGTTTGAATTAAATTGCAGACTCTCGCTAATTCGCTCATACTACCCAAACGTACGGTACACCCATGTCACTCATGTAGTTCGGACATGTTCTGAGGGAACGGCATGGCAGGCTGGCAGCGCGTGAAGCACCTGGAGATGCAATCCGGGACTTGTATACGGCTGCACGAAATCCGTCATGCCGCCTTGAACTTGCACAAAGGCTTGGTGTTCATATTGAGCCCGGCTGGTCCTGACAAGAACGACAGTGTTAAATGAATCCAGTCGCATGCTAGATCTTCTGTGAAACCGGGACGACTACAACGACAATGATTTCCGCACGGGCGCGGCCTTCGAAGACTCTAGGCCTCCTATCCGAAACGGCCTCAATGGATCCGAGGTGCTCGCCCAGTACGTATTCAAAAAATTTGCGATCACGTTCGTCGACATGCTGACGGCCTCCGAACGTGATGTACTTCGAGCATGCTTACCGAGAAACCAGGCAATTTGCTGGTGGCCACTTCCTGGCGAGCCATCGATAGGGATAGGATCGATCATCTGCGGGGTGAGCACATCTGGTTGGCATTGCAGGGACCAGATCATCTTGGGAGATGCGTGCAGGAAGGACACAGGTTTTGCAGATAAAGTCTGGGGGGTGGGCGGGGGGGGGGCGGGGGCATTTGCCAGTTTTGATAATTAAGCCCTGTAATTATTTTGCATGAGGCATAAGTAAGGTGATCAACTTGATGTGAGGCAATGCGAACGCAATCGCCTCCAGATTTCAAATCCGTTCTCCGTGCCGACATTTCGACCCCCCAAATTCGTCCATCATTCTCTTTGCCAATGGCTTGAGTGGTCCTACCTACAGGTAAACTCTTGGGCAAGCTAAGCCCCATTGAGCCGCCCGTTACGCCTGAAAGACATACCCGATAAAGCCACAACACTGTAACATACTGTAACATCTTCATTGCCCCGCTGCCGAAAAGTGGAGCCACTTTTTTTTGGGTGTCTTTTCTTGGTTTTTTTTGGGTATGTTTTTGGGTTTAGGTAGTGCTTTGGGCTTAGGGCTTAGGGTTTAGAAAACCCAAAAAATAGCCAAAAAAAACTACCCAAAAAGAACCCCACCCCCCTGCCGAAAAGTACGTTTCAGAAGTCGACCATCTCCATCTAAAACAACAAAAAAACCAAACAACCTGCCAAGCCCGAATGCGAGGCGCGTGCTCTAGCTCTTCTTCTTCTCTCTCGCTCTCGCTCTGGCTCTGGCTCTGGCTCTCGCTCTCGCTCGCGCTCTCTCCCTCGCTATCTCTCTCTCTCTTTCTCTTTCTTTCGCTCTCTGCCTGTTTAACTCAATCATTGACATGTTAAGGCTGGGATCATTCGGGCCCACGTCATTTGCCAGCGCAAAACAGGGTGGACCAGAGGGCCACCACCCCGGACCGCCCGTCCCCCAACAAAGGATTGGCAAAAAGCCTCCATTGACGCCGCCATGCCCGGACTGTCTTACATAGACAAGTCATAGACATGTGGACATGCAAGATCAACTTGACAACGCTTGCATGGTGCACTGCGTCCTGTATTGCGTCGTTTTCATTGCCGCGAAGTCATGACCTATTTGCCGACACATTTGGTACCTGCATGGTGAATGGCTGCCAGCTGGTGGCAACTTGCTGACACTGCTGCAGCGTCATGCAGCGTCGCACGTTGGCGGGTTGCTCATGCTTTCTCCGGGATGGCCGCGAACATAGCCATGCGCAGGATATTTTGCATACCTCGACAAGCTACTGTAACAAACACATTTGAGGGCACGCATGGCTATCGTGTCGGAATTGCACGTATTCCAACGCCGGTGCCTGTTGCCGTAGGTGAAACTGGAGAGCGGCCTCGTGATCACCGATGCAGTGCCAGACCGACAGGATCTTGTCAACTCAAAGCCTCTGCTTCAACGAGATCGAACCCCTGCCTGTGATTCTGACCTTCTCCTCCAATAAGACCACCGAAGCCACCAGCCATTTTAATGGAACACCGTTGCACAGGCAGAAATGCTGTTTGCGGGCAACTTTGCCGAACCTGTTCAACCTCTGGGATAAACTGTGACAAAGCTAAAAGCCCCGGCGTGCCCACTTTGACTGGACGGCGAAGATGCGCAACGTGCAACATTTCAAGATTCATGAATCAATCCATAGGAACCTTCTCGAAGTTCGTCGCATGCTTTTTGCAAGCGCTTGCCCTTTGGCGGTACGCTTTGCTTGAACTCCGCCCGGCTCTTTGAGCAAGCGGATGGCCTTCCCACCAAGTCCGGCCAAGTCCCATCCCCTACCAACACAACGCTTGTGGCAGACCTGCAGCTTTGCACCTCTGCTGTGATGCGGCTGACGGCGAAACTTCTTGAGTCCGCTGGGGAGGGGGGGTTGCAAAGCCGTCTCGAGCAACTCAAAGGCTCTATGCTGCCACTAGGTGAGAAGATACTCACAAGCGATAAGAAAAAAAAACATGCCACAGTATGCAAAAGGACATCTGTACACCCGGGATACATCTGCTATCAGCTGCTCGCGCATGTGGTGCCACCACATGGAGCTACTGGTCCCGGAGTCGCGGTAACTTGCTGGGCAGCAGTCGCTGCGATGCTGCCATTTTGGTTGGAACAACATCCAACTGTTCAGCATGCTACATTACTGCAAGGACAACGAATACGTAGTAATACGTACATCGGATACTGCAATTATGGCACTATGTGGCACTTACGGCAGGCCGTAGAAAGCAAGAAGAAGAACAATGCTGACAACGAAGAGCTGTTGAAATCGCCAGGGTTTGTCTGTGGCTTCTCGGGCTTCATCAGACCGGCGCTCACGAACATTTTGTTGGAGAGCCTGCCTGCAGCTTGCGATGCACCGATCGCAGTCCTTCAAAGGAGAAGCATCTCTGGCGGCTGCACGACATCTGCATGTTGTGCCATGTGCATTGGGCTAGCTCATGCTAGGCTGCCTCCTCGCTCCAGGTGCTGCCCAAAAGGTCAAAGTCGACAGTTCCACCGTAGTCGCGTGGCAGCTGGTCTGCCTTGCGGTGGCCCTACAGTCCTTTGAAGGCTTTCTGAAAAGCTCTAGAGACCCTCTACAGACTCGAGTCGAGGGGGTAATCTTGGTCAAGGTGGCCAAAGTCACTCTCCATCAAGGTGAACCAAGCGGCATCGATGTGCTCCAGAAGGACTGAATGAAAGTTTCTTCCAAGAACCTGGATCTTTGATGCTGTGACTGGGTCTAGCCAAGTCTTGATCAGCCTGTAGAGCCTTTGCGGGGCACAACACATGAAAGCAGGGCTTGTCAAGATGCTGCAAAACGTGTGCTCTAACGATCAGCGTGTGAGCAGTTTGGCTGAGCAGCGCAACAAATACAGGTGGAGCATTTACAACGAACAGGACAGCCAAGGATTCTGGATAGTAGCCTCAGGTTGTCTCAGATTCATTCCATCTGTGCACCAGCCCATATCGATGACCACATTGTTGGCATGATTCGGGCCAAGTGACGAGAGCTGACAACCAGAAAATCTTTGAATGCTGCCACGGCCAGTGGATCAGGCCGAAGCGGCATGCCATCAGCGTTTGTAATCACGACCTAATTCTAGAAACGAGTCAGTTGCGGCACTTTCGGGCCTTTTTGAGGCATCCGCCTGCTTTGTGATTGGACGCCCGTGCCTTTTAGATGCCTCTTCCATGCGAGCGGCCTCCGCACACATTGCCGGATTTCTTTTTTCACGCACACACTGAGTCAAGTCACACAGCCAGCCTGCAGTTCATGCATGCGAACCAAGCTCGCCAATACATGTTCGCTTCCGCCAATCTCAGTTGCATTTGCATCGTAGGTAATGCACAGCATGCACAGCACGTCACATCACGAAGTTTAGAAAAACTCTCTGTGTTCTTGTTTACAGAGATGTCTGCAAGCATTCCAAGCATTCCGAGAGACCACAGAAAGCATGCCTCGAAAGCGCCATCCTGCGAGCCCTCCGTTCTGGATTTGGATGGGCTGGCCCTTCTTGTCAAAGCCAAAGGCCAAAGTTTGCCCGTAGTACAGAAGGGAGCCCTCAATGGACTTTGGCTCCACAAGCCTGGACGCAAGTTTTGCCCTTTTACCATAATTTGATATAATTTGCCATCCACCCTTGGCGCAATTTACATCTGTCGAACTCGTCGAATCTCGATCGCATGCTGCAAAAATTTTAAAAACCTGAAGCTCCGCTACCACGTGCTAAAACGCAGGTTTCCTCAGCTGTGCCAAAACTGCCAATGCCCTCATGCTTCCAGCATCTTCCAGCCTAAGCTGCGGAAACATCTCCACACCTTGTCGGCTAAGCCGAGCATCCTCAACAGACGTTCCAATTGTTCAGGCAGCCTTACTGTGGCAAGACAACATACGAAAAGGAGCAGAGAACGGCAAAGCAAGATGTGGCTCCTGTGCAGCCTCCAAGGCGGCCTTTGGCCCGAAGGGTCCCAGCGCATTGCCTCGAACTTGATCCACTTTGTGCTCCTTTCGCCATCGAAGCATGGCCTCACAAGGAAATTGCCACTCTATGGTGGTCACTTGCGTCATGCAGTTGACAACTCACGAATCTCGCGCTCTTCACACATCTGCCTGACATTGTTCAACGGCTGCATCCACTTGCCACTTTCTCGCGATCAGAAACCGAAGAAGCTCTTTGTCTTCCATGGAAGCAGATGGCCTCTGAGCTTGTGCAGCTAAAAACTCACTGAGAAACCGGGATGCAGTAAATTCAATGGCTTGAGTGTAGCCAGTGCCAATGCGCACCAAGAGTCCCAACTTTCTGTCTCATGTCTGAAAGCGCACGTTTTTGAAACTCGTTCAGATCCAGCGGATGCTCCGACGAGGCTGCGGCCTCCAAGAACCGCCGAAACAACTACGGCATAACTACTGAAACGTGCTGAGACGTGCTGTACCAAGTAGTACCAATCTCTCAAAGGCATATGACGCTGGCAGGCTGATATGACAGGGTCCTGAAGCGCTGATGTTTTTCCCTTTCTTTCGTCCTGAGATGCAGACAACCAACACGCACAGAACCATTTGCAAATTCAGCGCACTCGCTTTTGCCTTCGCCGGCAGCAGGCCAAGCATATCCCGGTCATGTTCCAATAACAACAAACTCGCTCGTGATTTCGCTGGGCCCAGCACAAAGCCGCCGCACCAGCCAAGCAAGCCGCTGCTGACACAGCAATTCATGCTGAAGCGTATCGCTCTGACAGAAGTCGAAGGAAATCCTGAAAGCCATGTTGATGCATCATGACAGTGGGGACTACTATTGAAGGCTGACAAGTCGACAAGGTATGCCTATGTATGCCTGACAAGTCTGCTGTCATGTCACGGCTTGTCTTTGAGCCACCAGTGCAGAAAACAAGTCTCACTTACTTGGAAATCGGCCTACGACTGAGATGCCCGCCTACGAGACGGGAGTGCAATCAACGCACAAAACTCACACAACTCACACAACGACAAAATCGGAGAGCTGCGTCTATGGGGGTTGGAGGCTCCACTTTCTCCTGCCTGGTTCAGTGGCTCATGCCCTCTCAGTGGTAGAAAAGGTTTGTGCCTGGGTCTGGTCGGAAATACAACATACAGATGCAAATATGTGGTGCATTTCGATATCTTTCATTATCCTTCATTCAATCAGTCAAGTGCAAGTCTCACACGACTTCAAAGAAATTATGTATATTGGATGACACATGCCATCACCCAGCATCCGGGCTCTCATCCTGATTTCAAGTTGTGGAAACACGCGACTATGCAGCGAACCTGCCAAAAGGCTTTCGCAATACTCACTGAAACAAAGCTGAAAACTACCCATAACCCCTTGCAGTAGTTGCGCGTGATTCTGGGCTGGCCATGCTTTCCGGTGGCCAAGGTGTAATCCTCACGCTCTCAACCAACGTCATTTGTGCATCAGCGCACAGATAATGCCGGATTCTGAAAAAAGGCATACGGGTCTCACTTCTTCACCCATGATGATTGATTTGCAGCGGTCGGCCATCCATGACAGTCCTTCTCAAAGACAGCGTTGTGATTACTTACAACACCATTGGAACATTCTAGAAGGTGCCTTGCCCCAGTCTTCTTCAACAGCATGCTTTTTTGGCAAGGGTGGCGTCCGTGCAGTTTGCTGAGGTTGACTGCGGAATGGCATGGTATGGCGGACACCAGTTTCGTAGGCATTGTACAGGTCATTCAACTTGAGAACTTCAGCTTGGAGGTGATTCTCACGCGCACTTCTCTCAGGGCGATCAGCGCACATCCTGCCCAGCGCCAAGACCACGTCTTTGGGGCGGGATGGCTGACGGCTGCGCAGGGCATGTGCGGCCCTGCTTGCCAACAGGATGAGCCCTCCAGCCTTGCACACCCGGCAGCCACAGATTGGCAAAGCTTGTTTCCGGGGCTTTCCCATCGGCACAGCTAGATGTTCCCAGGCCCAGCGGCTTGCGGCTACTCTTGCCGGTGGCGATGGTCTGTTACCTGGCTGGCGCCGCCCTGGTTGCCGTGCCTAAGCTTCAGGGCGTTGACAACCATTGCCGTAGATTACCATTATTTGCCATTGGTGAGGTGCTGCAGCGTCTCACGGGCAAGTGCTTGCTGGAAAAGCGAAAGATGATGCCCGGCTGTGCAGTCCCCGTCCCGCCGGTGTGGACCGGAAGTTGGTTGCTTCGCACACCGCGCGGGCCTATGTTGAGCTCCAGGCCACGTCTTAGTGAAGCATGACTTTGAAAACGACTTCAACACTGTCTCCTGGTCGGCTGTCCTCCGTACCTTTTGCTGCTCACTTCCTGCTCGCTCGATGGGTACTTTGGTGCAATCAGGTTGTGGCACCTCCGGTTTGGAAGCTTCGTCCTTCTGCTGGGATCCGCCGGGACCTTTTTGCTCTTTGCCAGTTCCAGCTGCTTGCCTTGATGGCTTCCTCAGCAGGTTGACTGGATTATTTGACGGGGCTCAGGCCGCGCAGTCCTTGTGAACAGATGCCCTGTCCGAACCGGCCGTACAGTATGAGTTCATCCTGTTCTGTTGCCGTGGCACTCGCAGGTGCTTCTACAACATATGCAACCCTGGAAAGGAACAAGCTGGCGATGCATGATGACACATGGTGGTGCGCCGTGGACGTCGGCAGCTTCATGAAATCGCAGGCTGTCAGGCGATCAGGCCATCAACAACACAACTCACTTCCAACGCGATTTTGTTGCATATGCACCAAATTGAGTACTGAACCTGAAAGCATGGCCTGGCTAAGACATTGTCCATGCCAACTTCAGCTTTTACACTGTTTTGCACGCTGCCTCTTGAACTTCTTGCCGCTGTTTCGTGATGCTTCAGGTGGCTGTGAAGAAGTTCGAGAAGCGCGGGATTTGGTCCGAAAGGAAGCTGGCCCATCAAGGTCGAGCTGCAACTCAATTCCATCAATGTCCTTATTGTAGTACTTGGGGTGATCGTCAGTCTTCTGAAAGCCAAACTGCATATACAGCTTCTGCGCGGGAGTATTGTCGGCTCTGACAATTAAGCGCATGCAAATAGCTTGTGGAAATTTCTCCCAGCTTAGCTCTTGCACATGACGCAGCAGACGGGTTGCGATGCCCAGCCTGCGGAAGTCTGCAGCCACAGCGAGGTTCATAACGTGGATACACTTCTCACACGCGCCAAAGGGTTCGTAACTCCAAGCAAGATATCCTGCGATTGCATCGCCGGTAGATGTTGTTTCCGTCGTTACCACAGCCACGTCCACATAAGTTGGCACAAACCAGGGGCCACGAGACTGGCGCTGGGAGTCTGCATGGGAGTCTGCAAGCCTTTCTGCCAACGCATGCTCCTCACTGGCAAATGCTTCTGACTCAATCCTCTGTAAGCTCAGTGCATCTGCATCTGACACGGGTCGGATGATTACCATGGGCGCTGTGTCACTGGACATAGATCTTACCAGCTAGCCCTTCTCTCTGCAAGGCATCCAATCTACACACTGTCAACATTTGCCACTTCTGGTGCGCATCACCCTACTGACACAAGCCAGGAAAACAATGGATCTGTCTACGTAGTGGAACTTGGTGGACAAAGGCATCGGGCAACATAGCAACTGTACGAATAACTCACCAAATTCAGAGAGAGCGAGCTCAGTCGGCATGTGCCTGGAGTGAGTTGGAATGAGTCTGTGGTTTGGGGCTTCAATGGCTAGTTAGACGCCTCTTGGGTCGGCGGCCTGAGCCGGAGGCTCCTAAATCGGGCAACGCGCCTCTGTGTGCCCGCCAGGGCGGAAGCCCTTGCTTTAGCAATGGGCCAGCCATGCAGGGCCGCCGACCCGCCCCCGGAGGGCATCATGGGACCTCCGCGGCCTCCCGGCCTTCCGGACCGGGCCTTCAAAAGCATTCCAAGCAGGAAACGCCGCCCATACCGATGATTTTGAGCTTTTTTTGACCTGAAAAAGGGTGCTTTTGGGGGGGGGGGGGGGCCGGCGAGCATCATGAGCACCAGCGGGAAGAGGGGCTCCAAATCCCGTCTCGCCAAGAGCTGGGAGGGGTGCCGATGGCCCCAAGAGGAGAAGCGGGGGCCCGATGATGCTGATGATGCTGGGGGCGGGGAGGGCCCGGGGAGCCAATGATGCTCGTGATGCCTCTGTCGGAGGAGGCTTGTGACACTTTGTTCCGGCTCGTGCAACTCGTCTTGTGCGCGCGCACACGCGCGTGCACGCACACGGGCGCCGTTTGGATGGCCTGGCCGGCGCGCTCGCACGTGCGCGCGTGCGCGCGCTCGCGCGCGCCCACGCATGCCTCTGCCTCCTCGCATCTCGGGGCGTTGCCCGCCCCTGGGCGCAGCCCCTGAATGTAGCTGCGCTCGCTTGTGCACTCACTCCCGCACGAGAACTCTGTCACAACCAACCGCTGCCCACTGGACTTGCGGCTGTGGCTGTGGCACAGCAAACCCCCCCCCCCGCAAACAAGACGCGGCAAAGCCCGTCAACGCATCGATTATCATCGACTTTCCATACTGACAGTGCCATGGTAATTGCGAGTGTTGTGCGGCAGTTTCGCAACCGACGATTACTACTAGTACTCGTAGTACCAGCGCTAGAAGGATGTCAAAAACATTAGCGGTCTTCTGATATTCTGCATATCCTGCGCCATCCGTTCGATTCGTATGCAGGAGGGGAAATGCGCATTTTGCAAGATGCCATGTGTTGCGCCCACTTCTCACCTGGCACGGATGTAAGGCTAAGTAGGAGTCGCGTGGAGGGCCTCCTTGGGAGACACTTTCCAATTGAAGTGGCGCTCAGACTGCGCCAATCGATGGCAAACTTGCGCAGCGCCGAGGCTGCAAGCAATGCCCCATCACTTGCTGTCTTGGATACATGCCTTGGGCACTCCCACATCAGCAATGCTTCATTCAACAGCGACCCCCGAATGGATTCTGTGTTTCAAATGTATGCCGGCTGTGTGAGCTTGTGGCAGGCACTTGTGGCTCATTCTGCACTCATGCTCACGACGTATCTGCAAAGGGCCCAATGGCTGTCGACAAATGCTAGCGTCGTGCAACGAAGGAGAACTGCAGCCACTCTTGCTTGGCAGCTTGAGCTGCTGGATGCTGCTGGTGGTTTGGTAATAACAGGGCCTTTTGCAGGCCGGCTTGGTACTGGCATTCACATGGATCTCATCTGGCTGAAGCCGGCGAGGGACTGCCAAGAGACATGTAGTCAACGTGTGGCAGATGTACAAGTACGCGGACACTATATGGGCAATTACACAAACACTGTTGCATCAACAAGCTACAGCAATGCAGGGTCACATTGGGCTGTCCTGCCTTCGACTTGTGCCCTTGCCACTCGATTCCTGCACAGGCATGCACAACCGATCTTTGAACTCTCAAACAAAACGGATGGAATGAGCACCTTGGATCTCTGTCCACGAATCGCAGCCGTCGCCGAGCCGGCCGGAATCACGACAATCTGAGGCCTGCTCTTTGTAACCGCAACAATAAATATTACAAATTGCACGTTGGCCCTTGAAAAATGAAACCGCTTCTGAGACCGCGGCTGTTCGTGACACTTGCAGCAGCCATCCTCCTGGGCAAAAACTGAGGTTGCACTCCGCATGCAGACATGTCCTTCTTCCGCCGTCAAGTGGGGGTGAGGGATCAACGAAATCTTTCTTGAGATAGACAAATTTCCTATTTTGAGACACAGATCAAAAACAACTGTTTAAGTTTAAGGATGAAGAAACGTTTCTTATGTTGCTCAAACTTAAGGCACGAGTGTGCAAGGCAAACATGTTCTCTCTCTTTCTTCTACGCCATTCTGGTGAAAGAGTAAAGGCAAGGGCAAAGCAAGTCGGTTGCTGAGGCAACAAATGGCTTTGCCCCAGCAACCCCAACATCCAGTTTCGAACAGAGGATGGGTTTGGCCGGTGTGTTCAGTGCGAAAAACGGCATGCAAGCTTGAGCCTAGAGGCTACGCAGAAGCTAAGAAACACTCAGGAAAAGGAAGCGTGAATCGTTTCATATCTTACCGTATCTTAAATCTAGACTCAAAGTTCGGGCACGAGTGCGTAAGGCAACACCCCCTCTGCCTTTTTTTCCACTTTATGCTTCGGGTGAAAGAGCAGGCAAAGCCCAGTCGTTTGCTGAGGCAGCAAATGACAGTTAGGGGCTTTGCTGCAGCAACCCTCACACCAGCAAAATGCATCAGCCCGTCACCCCACCGCGGGCGGTCGGACTGCATTATATTGCGTGGGCAACGGCATCGGCTAGCTCATTTCTCACCCGAAGCCCGTGAGAGGGTTGCGAGCTGACGACCAACTTGCCACTCGTCGCAGGAAGTAGCCAAAATCCAAAACAGTTGTGACGAGCTTGGCTCTGCCTGATTCTGTAGGCACGGTTTCCGTATCGGATGGAACCAGGTGAGCATTGCGCAGTCATGGCTTTGGCAAGTTGGGCTTGGGCTTGGATTTGCGCGGCCATCCACGTCACAAAGCGGCACCCAACCGCCTATCTTCGCGAAGGGCTACTGCGGAGGCCTTGGGTCGGCAACGCGTATCGGCAGAGGCGCCTTGCATTTGATCTGGCAGCCGAGGCATTCGATAACATGCTCATTTCTTTGGTAACCTTTGCTATGGAGTCCAAGCAGTCGAGCAACTGTTGCCAAAGTCTAGCTGGCACGCTTTTCACGGTACCCGGTGGCCTGCGCAGGTCGGAGAGTACAGTGGAGCCGCGAGAGGGCTCAGGCGCACCGAGGCAACGTTCGGAGGGTGTGTTTGCCTTCGCGAAGGTGTGAAATTTGGAGGTCTGTTGCTCCACTGTTTCGGAATGGAAACAGAAGCGACAAGAGCACCAGATGAGGCCACGAGATAGGCACGTTGACATTGAGCAGTGTCAAGAGGCAAGGAGGCACAGGAGCGAAGGAAGTTAGCGAGACTGTCATCGACCTAAAGCATGACTCCACCGTTGATGGCAGGTTGAGCCTGCGCATCGCTCATCTCACCAGGTGGGGCGTTTGCAAGTGGGAGCGCCGCAGCTTGGGAACACTACGGCTGATAACCTGAAGATCAGGCCAGCCACCAGAAGGCTACCAGCACCGTTCAGCCTCTCTATCCTGACTTTTTGTATCGGGGACTTTTGAGCCGTAGGCGTGATCACGTCCAAGATGCAATGTTCGCAAAAGTAGGGCTGACTGCAAGGGAAAATCTACACCCATCCGCACCCCCACTCCTGCCAGGACATAAAGGATTAAACAAACCCAAAAGAGTTCTACAACAACCATGACAACAACATCCCAGTATGCTACCGGTGTTTTTGCTTCATTCGTCTATCTTCTTGCCTCGGTTGAAGGCTGCATGGCTTTAACTGCTTGTTCAGGGTTGAGGATTTCATGCCACCGAACCCTGACAAAGACTGTGCCAGAACAGGCAGGCCCCACCGCGGCCCTTCTGTATAATATGGCTCCGTGTCGCGTGTCAGTACCCCCCCTCCCCCAACCCCACCCCAAAACCCAAAACCCTCATGCAAACCTTATGCCCTGTACACGTTTTGTTGCATCCGGACTTTGCCCTAAAATTGCTTTTGCATCCAAACTCTTGTGGGTGTTGCCCGAGTCTGCCCAAGCACAGGCTTCCCGTGCTACTGACTGGACTCCCAGACTCTAGCCAATCAACAGGCACAGTTTCAAACACCCAACCAACGCTGTGCCACCGCAACCCCCGCAACCCCGCAACCCTAAACAAACCCTAAAACATCCGGGATTCGTGCTTAGAGGTTTAGGGTTGTAGGGGCTTTCAAGGTTTGAGGGTTTGGCCTACGGTTTTTCATGATGTAAAGGGTTTGTTTCGGTTTGCTGGTTTTAGGGCTTAGACAGGTGTAGGAGAACGTGTTAGGTGCAGCTGGACAGCATACAGGCCCACTCTTAACACGATTGCAGTGGGCGTCGTGCTCCAAAGTGCAACTCGACTCCTCCCTCTCCTACGCCAATAATCATGCTGTCGCGCACTGTGGCCATCTCTATATGGGTTCTGTCTTATTTTGAGGTTATGAGGGGTTACAGCAATTACGAACTCATTATCTCCACTTCCATCTTTTACAGAATGGATTTGTGGCGAACAGTATATTCACGATCCAACATTCGTTGTTGTTGCTTCACGTTATGCTTCGAACCCTTATGCTTTTGTTCTTCTTCATAAGTTTAATCTATGTTCTCATGACAGACTCGTAGTCACGGTGCTGAGCTGCATATTCGGAGACGAACGTTCGGTGACGATTATTCGGTGATGGGCTTTCAGTGATGCAGCGTGAAACATAGACTTAGCTGCTTTGCGACTCTTGCGGCAAACATTCCTGAAAAAATATTTCTTCTAGATACAATACTGCTCAACGAGTCAAAACAGAAAAGCTAGAATCACCCTTCGGCTCCTTCCAAAATTCCCCGGCACCTGATCCCCACAGTTCTGTAGCTGAGATCCTCGAAGACTCTCCAGGCAACTAACGCGTTGCCCGCGGTCTTTAGTCTTTAGGATTAGTCAAGGAATCACACAAAGTTCTGAACATCACACGAAGCCTGTGCGAACTACAGTAGTTGGTCAAATCATCACGACTTGATTGGATTTATCATGAAAGTGTCCCAGCAACTACCCTTCATGGTTCTTCATGGTTTGCACACCATCAGCAGTTGTATTTTCTAGAAGAATGAATAGTACCTCAAACCCTTAGTGGCACAGTGATGCTTTTCGTGAAGGAATCTCCTCGGACGTAACAGGCTGAATCCTATATGATCCAGGTCTCTGTGGAGCGCTTTAACGGGGCCTGCAAGTGATACCTAGCCACGATATATGGTATGTTTGGTATTGCAGGCTGTTCTGAGGATTTCAAAGGGAAGGAATGGTGATACTTAGCTACTCTATTGTGGGTTTCAGGTCTTCCGCAGTAGTTTTTTCTTGGAGGAAAGTAGAATTCCAGGTGTTGGTGAGGGCGTCAGAAATGGGAGAATGTTAAGGTGACTCATGCCGCTTAAAAAAGAACCAAACGGAGAGCGGGGGGGGGGGGGGTGGGGGTCGCACATGTACATAATAGATATTTACATGCCATTTAAGTGTGAACTATGTGTTAAGTCGGTGTGCATGATTATGAGCATCATCCGCAAACATGGCCTGATTGGCAACTGTCGCTGTGCCCAGGCTTGGCACCGTGTGTGTGTGTGTGTGTGTGTGTGTGTGTGTGTGTGTGCGTGCGTGCGTGCGTGCGTGCGTGTGTGCGTGTTTTTTTGCCCCTGTCCAAGGAGTGCAGAAGAATTCAGGTCTCGGGCCTGGTACTCACCATCACTCTCAGACTCTGCCTGTCAAAGGAGCCAGCCAAGCAGTTGAGAGCACCATTTGTCACGTGAATGCTCCCTGCCTCGTGCTGAACAGCACTGCTTCTTCGACCTCACGTATTCCCACATGTTTGGAAGGGCTTCAAAGAAAGAAATGACTGCTTACCGTAGCAGCACACTTGCTTTAAGCAACCATGACTTGATAGGATCCTTGCTGTCGGATCGAAGCTCTGAAGGGTCCAACGCTGAGTCCTCATATTCGACACTGATTGTGTGCATCATTGTAGATTCGGATACGCGCTGGAAAGCTCACGGTGGCTGCATGAGCGGTGCATCGTGCAGAATATCCTGCGAGACGCTGCTGCGGTAAACGCGGTACATGGAGCGAGCGCCCCGGTCTGAACTGAAACGATGCCTTGCAGAGCAGGAGCGGCTTTCATTCTTTCCTCAAGATTTGTCCAATGCAGTTGGGATGCTTGTCATGTCCTCCCTGCACAAATGTGCCGTACAAGAATCCACGCTGCTGATCCGGCCTCAGCCGCCGATTGTCGTCATGAATGATGATCTCACTTGAATCGCTGTTCCAAAACGGCCAAAAGGAATGGGACACGTAAGTGAGGGCTGTCCAGTTCCAACTGAAGTTCAGCTTCAGTGCCGTGGTCAAAGGTTTCGGAGTCCCCCCTCCCGCGATCCTCGTAAGAGACTGGGCATACTGAGGATGTTCTGAGGGGCAAGCGCCTTCCCCTGTCCTTCACGAATTCGCTCAGACAAGGCAGCGCGCTCCTTTGCTTGACTAAACAGTAGTTTGCCTCACAAGCCAGACAAGCATCGGACAAGGCACCCGGTCGTCCTATGGTTCTATGTTCGGCCTTTCTCTCCGCACATGTCAGGTGATCGGCGTCTTCCTCAGGGATACCACTCCAGCTGAAAATTGCCGTGCGCTCATTCTCGCGGTCACTTAGCAAGTGGAGTAGCTCCACCTTGTTGAACTTGCTTGACTTGCCTTCAATCAGGCTGACCATGTCTTTCAGCCATTGCTTGACGGCTCGTGGACGTCGACCGCTGCGCATCTTAAGTACTGCAGTTCCAGATCTGGCCAGTGCAGGGGAAGGAGCAGTCAGCACAACCTTGTATGACGTGCAACTGCAGGTGTGCATCACATTTAGCTCTTATGATGGTTTAGGACCTGACTGCTGGGGTGAGGGTAACTTGTGAAACTAAGCTACAGCGAGGCACTGCTTAAGAACACAGTGGTTTCAGAAGATTAGGGGCTCGGCTAAGAGCTGATACCAGTACTGAGTTACTGAAATGTGCCACAGCACTAGTTTCCCGGCCAGGCGGGCTTCCCGAAACCTCCCCAAACCCTCCCAACATCTCCCAACCCAAGGAGGGCCAACAGTGCCAACAGCAAATAAAGCAACACTGGGTTTTGGAGGCCCAGGCCCAGATGAAAACTAAGATAATGACAAGGGCCCCTGATTTTCTTCATCGCTATGGAAGCTGCAGAGACAACATGTCGATGCAGACCAACTATAAAAAATGTTTCGAGGTGCTTAGGCCAGGGCTCCTGCAGAATTCGCCGCACCAGCGAGACCGCCTCTTCACCCGTGCTGCTTGCATCGACTAGGAGCAGGTCGGCATGGGCCCCCAGCCTGCCGTCCTGCAGTGCATACCATGTTCCTCTGATCGGAAGGAGAGAGACATCGCTGCATGTGTCAACTCTTGCAGCCCAGCCCGAACTGCTGGCAGGGCGCAGCTCTGCTAGGGGTATGTCGGAACCCCACACATGGCTTGCACACTCCGCCCAATCGCCGAGAGAGGAGGAATGAGTATCGCGCCAAAGGACCAGGGCCGTGGCCTCGACCCGAGCTTTGAATCGGATGCCCGCTTCCAAGAAGCGGAAAGGCAGCTTCGAGTTCGACACGTCTTTTCGCGCATTGCGCTTGGCGTCGGACCAAGAGGATGGATCGAAGCAGCCGCGTGGAAGTATGGAGTAACGCAAGTCGTGGCCCTGATTCACAGTCAATACATGGGTAAAGTGCACTGGGTCTAATGCATCTGATGGCAACTCCGCGCAAATACTTGGTTCGAGGGATCTCGGCCGAGCAGAAATTCTCAGCATCACCTGGGATCTCTCGGATGCCTCATGCTCGTGCCAATTTCGGACGGCTGATATGAGCTCGGACAGATCAGCTGCAGTGTCTGTCAGGGCTATGAAGCGGCTCACGACCATTTGAAGCAAAAGACGCCGGCTGAGATTTTGCAGTAGCTTAGCTAGCTCAGAAGGGGGAGCCAGCACGCTGCATGCCAACACATGAGATGCATCTGCAAGACCACTAACGGTTATGGGCAAGGATTCCGCAGCTTTTATGTCCAGAAGAACAGCAGCGAGTCGTGGCACCAAGCTTTGTGGAGCTGTCGGGTCGAGCTCGATGAGGAGGCAAAGCGGAGGAAGAGGAGGGAGAGGAGGAGGGCTGTACGTGGTGGATTCCAACAACCCTGGAGGACTGGGCTCCGGCCACGCAGGGGCCTCATGTTGCTCGCGCGGTCGGGCCAAGAAGAGGATGTTGTCCGGCGAAAGTGTGTGATGGCAGTACTCCAAGAGCCTCACCACCATACCGCAGCCTTCGAGGCGGACGAGGCGCTCTTCATCAATCAGCCGACACACCTTTTGGCCGAGAAAGACGGCCTCAGAGTCGTCCAGGTGCCGCCGCAGGCGCCACTTGGCGCATGCTTTTGAGCCTTTGGGCGTCTCGTTTGATCCTACCCGGGCTAGCCGAATGATGTCCGTGAGAAGTGAGAAAGATTCTGCAGGATCAGCACCAACAGGCATACCGAGATCTCGAAACCAGCGCTGTGCTCCTGGGCCCAACGACTCCCAGCGCATCGTGGCGTGGCAACAGGGAGCTCCACACATGAAGCCAAACTCGAAGCCTTGAAAACTTGGCGTCTGCTCATGCAAAGCGACTGCCAGCGACAGCGCTTCGTCGAAGCTGTGACCGCAGAGGTGTTTGCAAACCAGGGCCGCTGTTTTTGGAGGGCAAGGACTGCAAGCAAGAGGAGAGCAAGCCAGAGATAACTGAGGCTCCACCGGATCCAGATCCGAGTCCACAGGACACGCGGAGAAAGATGCGATGTCTCCTTGCACTCTGACCGAAGGAGTGCTGCCAGCGCTTGTGTCGAAAGCATTGGTGTTGCTCCGGCGTTCGACGGCAATGAGAGGAAGGCTGCTGGCCAAGCTGATGGTGTGGCCCAGCAGCGCTTGGCCAGCTCCAAGCTCGATGATAACATTACATGCAGGTGGCATAAGTTGCAAGCACTGGGATGCAATTGCCTCGACCTGTGCTCTTTGCTTCAAGGCCTTCGTTTGCTGATACGTTTGCTTCTTGGCAGTCTGAAGCACTGCATTGACAGCGTTGGAGACCGTGTCGGAGACTGTGTCGGAGACGGTGCCGGAGATGACCTGACTTGACGGCGATTCCCTTGCTGCATTTGCTTGCAGGCATACCTCACGCAGCTTTACGTTCCTCAGCCAACTCAGAACATTCTCAATGAACTCATCCTGAAGCTTTTGGGGAGTCACCGCGTCCATTGTCCATGGCCTACTTCTCGCTTGAACCTGTGCTCAACCCCTGCTGATGCAAGCAGCCCGGCCAACAACAACCCCGGCCAAAAACAACCTGCAACGAAACACTCTGCCAGATCTGCGAAGACATCAAGCAAGTGAAATCCAACAAAATCCCTCCTGCTCCATGGCTTTGAATCTTTCGGGGCCCATAGGCCCAGCCGCAAGGATTCTCGATTGGTCCTGCTGCAGTGCCACAATGTGCTACAGCTGCTACAGAAACCCAGGGAGGGTCGGAGCAGTGACTTGAACTCCGGGGAACGAAAACTAGACAATATGCTTCTACGTTGCGCGCAAGGGCAAGCAAAGTAAACAAAGCCCGCAGTCATACGCAGCTTGAAACGAAGAGCCATTGGGGGGTGAGATGGGCCTCCCCCCTGTCATACGAGCAACTTCAACTCGCGTTTGTTTTGCAAGGGGGGGGGGGGGGGGGGGGGGGAAGGGGGGGGGGGGGGGGGTGACCGAAGCAATGGTGGAGTTGGTCTCTTTTGTTTAGCTTTTTGTGGGGGTGGGGGGAGGGGGGGGGTGGGGGGGGCGCATTTTGAACTATTGAAATCCTGTATTACACTGTAAACATCAACCAGACAAGTCCCTCAAGGCCATCTGTGACCCACCAAGAGTGTTGAAAACCGCAACGCAAGGCCCCAAGGAGCTTTCGTGACAGTCCTTGGGTGCACTGGTTGGGTGATTGGTCCGTGGCGACTGGCTCCTTTGTGGAGAAGGTGTCTGTGCCTGCCAGGATATGCCAACGGATATGCCAGCGGATTCCAAAGTATCCAAAGGTCAGAAAAACGGTGAAGCAGTGAAGCGGGATGCCCTGGCATGCTCTGGCCATCTCCTGCCTTCTGGCTTCGCGGAGACACTGAGCGGCTCTCACCGCTTGGAGCACTCCGTGGTCGAGACGGGGAACGCGACCTGAACTTCTGGAATTCTTGAAATTCTTGAAAGTTCCAGCTTGACCTGCAGTGTAGGCAGAATGAGGCTGGAAGATGCCCGAGGTTCCTGGCTTCGCATAGACCACCTGCCCCTCCTGTGAAAGTCTGACGAAACATGCCCCATCGCTTGATAAATTTCAACCGGTTCAAAACCCCCTAACGACTATGTCTGCTGTGGCGACGATGTGGGCCCCTCAAAACTAGCGAAGCTGCCTAAAAGCAAGCCTCGGCTGGTTGACTTAATGACCCTGATGCCCCAAGCTGCCGCTGCAAATCAAAAGCTACACTATTCTACATTGACAGTTCAAACGATCCGAACTGCCACCAAGCCTATTGAGCTGTTTCAAGGCGACAGGCGCAATGCGGCGGAGGTGTTCACTCCATTTCGAAGGAACAAATTCACTCCGTGCATTTGTCACGGAATGCACTTGAAGAATCATTAACTTGCCGTTGATTCGGGCTATCTGCGCTGACGCTCGTCTCCTTCTTGTTGGGGGCGATGGACAGAATAGTCATCGAAACAATCTTCCAACTCTAAGCTCAACCGCGAGAGACTTGATGCTAGTGGTGCTGATGGCCTCCTCACGAATGGCCTGAACGAAGGGCTCGCACCTTCCAAGCGGTACAGAGGTCCAGCTGTGCCAGCAAGGGAATCGGCACCCCTGGCCAGCGGAAGGGGCGGAGCATGCGACGTGAAACATGCCGAGTTGGTGCTTCGACCGCGAGCGTTGGGTACTGAAGATCGCGTCAACGTAGCTGCCTCTCTCAAAGGTAAGCTCAAAGAGGATGAAGTCAAGGATGGCCCATCAGAGTCTTCCACACCCTCTGGCTCAGGGACCTGGAGGTTAACATGGTTGACATGTCCCTTCCGTGACATGCCTGAGGCCAGTGAGGCCCCTGGGACCCTTTTTTGTGCTGTTTGTACTGCTTGTGCTGTCACAGGCTCCACAGAGCTCTCTATGGAGCCTGCCCTTCCTGCAAGCACCCAACGAACAGTTTCTTGCACCAAATTCTCAACACACCCACAAATATCCCGTGCCGCCCCAATCGAAATCGCTTGCCGAAGTTCCTTTGCAGCATCTTCTACCGCCGGCAATAGTCCCTGCTCTTGTGCTGACTGACTGACTGCGCCGGTCTCTTGTCCCACAGACCTCCAGTGATTGAGGCACTGCCTCCACTGCTTGGACAAGGCAGCAAGTTGAAGGAGATGCTGGCGAGCAGGTGTTAAACAAAGGGCGTGGATGCTTTGCAGCCGCTGCTGTGCTTGTCGGTGGCCTTTCGCCTCACCCTCCCAAGCAAGCTGTAGAGCTTCACTGACTGCACACAGTTCAGGATGTTCAAATTGCTCTGCGGACTGGTTGTGCTGGTTCATGTCAGCCGCTGTCAACTCTGCATTGTGTTGTAGCCGCTGGCGCGCCATGTCATTGTGAGACCTCAAAGCATCAAGCTCCGCCCAATTTTCCCTTTGTATGGCAACCTCATTCTGTAGCCATGCTATGGCCTGGGAGGAATCTACAAGCTCACGTGCAACTTGTAGTGCCCGTTTCTCCGTTTCCACCCCTTTCGATTGACTCTCCTCGACTTGCTCTGCGAGAATATGCTCAGCTCTGCGGAGATCTTCGCAAATCTTCATTTCGGATTGCACTTGCTGATGAATTTGAACTTGGCTCAATGCCTCGCTTTCACCACAAGGCTGGGACGATTCTTGAGCGCCTTGTGCCAGAGATTTCTGCAATTCGGAGATTTCGCGCGAGTATCTGTCGGCATCTATGGCCGAAGCACGGCTGGAGGCAGCAGCAGCGGATTCCGCTTCTGCAGTTGAAGCCCGCAGTCTGCTTGCATGCGCCTCAGCTTCCTGCCAGCGCTGCTCAGCAGAACTTGCTCGGCTAGCGATGATGCCCAAAGCGGTCTCCTGGCCGTATGTTCGCTCCTCAGCCTGCCGTCTCTCTACACCCAGCTTCCTGTCAGCTTCTCGGGCGTCCTCTCGTAGCTTTCTTTCTGTCTGCTCTAAGCTGCCCAGCTCCTGCAGCAGTCTTTGCCTCTCCCTGTGCAACGCCCGAATTCGCTGGCGATCGCAGTCCACAGACCAAGCTGCCGCGGCGTTCTCTGTTCGCAGCTTCGCTACCAGGGCAGCACCTTCTCGAGCTCGCTGCTCGAGGATTCCACCCTCATTCGCAAGAGCAAGTAGTTCGGGTGACGCTAATGGTGTTCGCAAGCCATGCCTGAGGTGAAGCAGATCAGTGCCATTCGCCTCAAGCCTGTCACCCAGCTCACACACTCGAGGTAGCAGCCTGGACGGATCACAAACGCAGCTACCGGGGCAGCCCAGGCCGGACTTGCAGGTGAAGGAAGGAGCCGGAACCTGCGAATGCATCAGCCGCTCTCCCTCGCCCTGTTCTGAACTTTGCCGCTTGATGCTGACAGCTAAGCCAAGCGAAGAGAGGGCGTGCAGCATGAGCAACTGCTTTGGCCATGGACTTGTGTAAGCCGACTTGCAATGAAAGAACCCGCTGCCCGGCCAGTACTCTCAAGCCGAACAAGCAATGGGAGTAGCCTTCGTCATACATCCAGCAGCATTTGCTGCCGCAAGTGCCTGGATGGCTTCTGCCTGGCAGGCGTGATGATTTCCTTCGTGGAAGATGTCAGTGTAGCCTGAGCGCGGTTGGCGCGACGGCCTCATTCAGGCCAGGCTCCCCCAAACCTGGTACCTCCACCGTGATGTTAGCGTGCACTTTTTCAGCCATGCCAGCCATACAAGCACCTGTGGGGCAATCAGCCATCCGCCGCCGACTCGAATCCGGGCAGTTGCTCCATCCTGCAGAATATGATGCAGCGATGCAGATCCATGTCTTCATGCAACGCTGAGACGCGTAGGATCTGCACCGATTTCTGCATCAACGCAGCTAGCCTCAATGCACCAACACCCCAGTCAAGCAATCTTTTGAGCTACAGGAGCATGTAAACCCGTCCACATTAAGGCGGGGACATAGGGCACTGCTTGGCCAAGTGCCCTACCCGGTCGCAGAGCTGACACTGAGGATCAGTCTGGACCTCAGTTGGACGAAAAAGAGTCGAGACCTACGCTTCGTGCCATTTGCTCAACTACGCACTGCTGCCCGCAGGCTTCAAAGTTGGACACAAAACCAGCTTGCTCTGGCAGGCAAGCTGTGCACGTGATAGTGTGCTACAAAACTGCACAGGCTTGCAACAAGAAAGGAATGCAAACGTCTGCCATCAACCTGCTTTTCCACTCCTGGGGTGCCGGCACATGCATCGAAGCAGGTTGGTCGACGCAGTGTTGGGCAATTGGGTGCCAAATGCTCCGCATCTCCGCCTGGGCGGAGGCTGAACGCAAAGCGGACCGAATCTCCTTGCAGCGAATCTTTCCAGGGCATTGGGAAAACGTGCCGGGCTGAATCAGAAAACGTGGCCCGTGCCGTATGCAACGAAAAATCGATGGTCGAACGCAACCGCAACCGGATCAGAAGCAAAGCATTAGCAAAGCTTAGCCATTTGGTCATTCGGTCGCGTTCCAAGGTTCCAATCGACAAACCAAAAGGCATCAGTCGGAAAGCAAAGAGGTCAGTGACGTGGAAGCAGCAAACGAAAAGGCCCGATTCGAAGTTCCCCGAAAAGCCCCAGACCTTCCTAAAGCCTCAAAATTGAAATGTGAAAAGCACAGAAAGGCATTGAAAGTCCGCAAAAATTCGAAACACCCCCGACATGCACAAAGCCTCTGAAGCCATCAAAAATCCGGTCAGCCCTTAAAACCGAAAAAAGCCCGAAAGACACCGAAAGTACCCTACCCTGCCCAGCCTTAAAAGCGCTAAGCAAACTCGAGACGGCTGTCCCGAAAGCATTGTAGAGCCATGCTTCAGACATCACCAATTGAAGGAAATCCTTGACGGCATCCATGCACCATCACGACATCCATGACGACACCCATCCATGCGTCAACGACAACAAAGAAGCTTCACGCAAACCACCTCCGCTGAAAAATGTTCGCCAAATGCTCGTACGTCGCTCGCGAAACGCCGGGAACTCGCAGAGATTGTCGTTCGCGGACGAAAATGCGAACGCCTCCCACGCGCCAGGGCAACGACACGACACGCCAGGAACACGCAGAGGGCTGTCGTTTTGCGGGCGAAAATGCAAACGCCTCACGCGCGCTAGGGAGATGTTTGGGCAGGTGTGGCGAGTCCCGCCAACCCTACCCCGTGCTTTAAATATATTAGTTTCAAGAGGAAGGCCACGAAATCCATGACGCCATCCATCCGTCCATCCATCATCCATCACGAAATCTACCATGCATCAATCTTCCGAAGACCACCTCCGCTTGAAACCCCCGCCATGCCCCCGGGAAAACCCTAAAGCACCTACAGATCGTCGAAACCATACAAGTCTTGCGAACCCTGAGCGCCCCAAAAGCATAAATCCCTAAAGGCCGTAAAGCCCGTCCCTAGAGCCCCTACTAAAACGTACGAAAAACACCAAGAGAAAAAGAAAAAAAAAACTGAAACCGCCTAAAACCCCGAAACCACAAAAAAACCTGACAAATCCGAAAAAAAAACGACAAGAACAAAAATGCTTTAACACCCTAAACCCACGAAAGCCCCTCCAAACTCTAAAGGCCCTAAACAATTTGCTTAGTCAGCAACCATGTGACCCCAAGGAAAACACAGCCTACATGCGACCTGAAGTGGGACACGGATGGCACATGATTTGGTGAGTTTGATTACCTGGTGCGGAGCAAGCGGTCATCGGTTCATCATTGATTCTCTTTTTGGACGTATTTGAGAATACTCGGTTCTTTCAAGGAACCTATTGGTACCAGAGAAGTGCTGAGCTGCTGGACGACGTGACCCACTGAGGCATGTGCAAAGCTGACAGTCTTGGTGCTTGGGTTTCTTGCTGTCAAGCTCCATCTGGCGGATTTGTTGCTGCAGCCTCAAGACGCCCCAAGATCCCACAGAGAAATATGGAATATAGAAACGTATGCACAAAAAAGAACTCCCTAGCTACTGATTTCGACTCAGGTTTGTGCCGGAGAAGTGGGCACTCTGCAATGCTGTGACCTGGAGCACCTTGGATGGGGACAAGCAAGTGCAGGACGGTAAAACCTTCAGCGGCAAGCTTAGATGCAGGAAAAGGCGCCACAATATGCGCACCAGAGTGCCGTGGTCTGTGTGCCTGTGAGTGAACAGACCCCCACTACAGTCAGCATGTAGGCTGGCCCATGCCTGTCGATGCTTCGAGTCCCCGAGACCTTGGCGCAGAATGACTCTTACTACCAACATCGACCTACCCGGTACCCAACCTACCCATGACGCGTGGACATCTGATGTTCCGACCGTTCCACTTCCACAATGAAGGGGACCTTCCGACTTCACGCCATCAAATGTATTCGAAAGTTGGATGCGAACTCGCTTGGACATGTTGGTGTTTCGGAGGAACGAGGAAAAGATATGTTTCGAAGAGATGCTGCAGAAGTGCCACCAACGTTGCTATCTAGGATTCGAATGCTGCGCATGCCGACGGACCAAACGTTTCACACTGAATGGCGCGCGTGCTGACAAACCAAAAGGCTTCACACGGAATGCCAAATGCTCCATGCAGCGTTCGTTGTTCACGTATTCTGAAGTTCAAAGAAACATGCTTCAAACACCAGCCAACAGCGATGACGCTGTACAGAATTCGACCTTGAAGCGTGTGTGATTCATCTGGTGGGGCTTAGGGCTTGCAGCTGTCCTGTACAGTGTACTGTAGGAACCTTGCTCTTAGGGTGCACGGTCACGTAAGTTCACAGGCTTGGGCGGGCTTCCAACTCTACAGCCAAAAGTCTCGGATGGGGAGGAAAATGGGAGTGTGACATCTGGCGCGCCCTGGCATCAAGCCTTTGTCAGTGTAACGATATTCGTCTTGTTGTACTAGTAACTGAATTCCTGTGATGCTACGACTGCCTCTACGAACATGGCACTGAACGCGACGCAACTTGGCGATGTTTGTCAGCAATACGCCTCCTTCTCCACCACCACTTCCACCGGCTTCTCCTCCGAACATAATCGCACACACTCACACACAGGCAATACCACTGGCCATCTAGCTACACGTGGTCCAGCTTTGCCAAGTGCCGCACGACTGTTTTTTCCGTGGGGCAGTCTGCATACATGTACAACAGCTCCACTCGCCATTTTCCTCAGACGCTGACTCCAGCTGACAGTCATGTTTCCTTGAGTGTTTCACCGACAGGGACCTCCCACAACGCATTCGGTCTTGTGGATATCGGGCTTCATGACCTAGGACAAGAAGGCGTAGCCAGCGCGCCCATGCTTCGGCTCTGGCTTCGACAAGGCAAACCAAAAAACATGCTGATTTTGATGACTCATGGAGATGCTTGTGCGTATCTATGTATCCGGACCTCTCCGGCCCTCTCACCCCCACCCGCACCGCTCCCACCGATCACTGCATGTCTTTTGGGTCGTCTGCTTACGATCCGAGCGCGGGTAGCCAGCTAGCTGCTCGTTTGGTTTGTCAAGAGTACATGTTGGCTGCGCGGCTAGTGCAAGACCGAGTCTTGCAGTTTAAAGCCAAAGCCCTACCGTACCTTTTTCGTGCTCTTATGGTCTCCTGCTTGCGGAAACTCTGCTGACTGAAAGACAAGCTGGGGTCCACAAAAGCAAGCGCGAAAACACAAAAACTACCATCAAAGGATTAGCAGCCCACTTTCCCTTGAAGCGCACTCCCAGGAAACTCTGAATTCTCAACCAACAGATACAAGTATTGATCGGAGTGCAAACATGGTCAACTGTCCGATGAGATGGCTTGCCCTAATGAGCCGAAATGGTCAGTACCACCGTCGTTTGCGCTGCCCGGGCAGGATGTCGCTAGTCAAAAAAGTGTTTGTTGTTCTTGTTGGTTTGCGTTCGGTTTTTCTGGGTTTTTGGCCTATGATGGCTCGACAATGTAGCAAAGTTACGTACGTCCTGATTACGTCGTGTGGTCTAAGCATGTGCTGAGCTGCTCAATTCAATCTTATCCTAAACGTAGGGCGCAGGGAAGGGGCCGGACACGGGCAAATCTGCTAGTGGCTCGTGTTTGGCCTCTGCTGTTCGTGTTGTACCTTGGCTGGCATCCAAGCCCCCTTCTCGCTCCCTCCTGCCCTTGTTGCACCTGGCCGTGTGCGCTTCTAGTTCTTTGTCTTGCTTCTTCGCAGAAAGACGGCCGGTAGAGCACCGAGCGGCCCTAAAGTAGACGACAATGCGGGCAGATGCTTTTCCTGCTTCGGGCATGCCACTGTTTAGACTGTGTCACGGTGGATCAAGTCACCTGCGTTAGTGAAGCAGGGGGATGTCGCACATTGATTGCCCAAGGCAATTAAAGGCAGCATGAGTCAGGAATGGCCCCTTGCCTTAAAGGGGGGCGAACCCCGAAAAGTTACCGGTAACATTTCCAGGTCTCTCGCCGTGCATCTGGAAAAAAACATGCAAACCTACCCCACAATCCGTGTACCATAAATTTAATAAACACGACATGAAAGAGACAGAGAACTAAGGGATGTATGTGTAGGTCTTTGTGTGGGCAAGACACACAAGCTAACATGTTACAAAGCCCCCCTTGGAAACATTTCCTAAAGCAGGGGCATAGTCAGGACATACTAGGGACGGTCGGAGCTGGCTTCGACGGATCTTGGGCAACGGCAGCGGTCTCGCCACATTCTTGACCTAGTGCTTGCAGCAGCGCCCCCAAGGCCTCACGAAGCTTTGCCAAGTGTCGTCAACGGCGCAGCCATCGGAATGACTCACACAAAAAACACAAAAACAGCGTGGAGAGAGCGCTCTCGCTCTCCAACTGTTGTTTTTTGTGCATTCTGCATCATTCTGCCTCCGCCGCCGGAGCTTCCGGAGCTGGTCTTCCTGTCAAAAAAAAAAAGAGGTCACCAAAAACAAGGCGGGTGCAGTTTGACGGGTTTTGTGGGTTTCGACTCAAGTGAGAATGCGAAACAACCTACAACTTGGGGGTCTGGGGTACTGCAAGTGGACAGCAAGAGTTCGGGCAGAACTTTCAAGGGCGGAAAGCAAGGTGTCAAGGGCGTGGAGAAACAAGGCTTCAAGGTTTGTGTCGGTTGTGGTTTCCCGGGCGTTTTGATGCTCCACGGCTTTGGTTGAGCACATCGATTCAAGGGTGGTGTTCGGCAACATGGCTTCAAGGGTGTTGAGGAGCAGGAACAGCAACAATAGCCTCAAGGATTGTGCTGAGAAGAAGCAGGCTTCAAATGCTATGTTGAGAAACGGCTGTTACAAAGAGATGGGAACAGAGCATGTTGAGAGCAGGGAGGCGAGTCGACCTCTATGTACCTCAAAGGTCTCTGTGTAAATGGCGGCAATGGCGTTCCATCCGAAAGCCCTGCTTCCATTCCAAGGTTTCCTGTGAACTCTAGGTGACAAGAAGAACTGCACCTTGACGAACCCCTGGGCGTTCCCAAACCCCCAAAAAAAGCCAATTGGGGTTGTATAAAAACCCCGAGTTGAATCTATTCATCCGTCCCAGGGTTATCGTTTCATTTTCTTGATTATCGTTTTACAGGGTTTGGTCCGGGTTTGCGTCGTTCCCGTGAGGCGGCTAGCTTTTCGTTGCTTCGTACTGGAAGCGACGTTCCCGTGAGCCGGCTGGGTTTTCATGGATTTCTAGTACAAGCTTAGTACTGGAATATCGCCTGCCTGCTGCGATATTATACAGTTATCGTTCTATTTTCTTGATTATCGTTTTACGTGCAGAAGCACTGCCCCAACCGCTTCGGGCAAGTCCTTTCATACATCGACTGCGCGGGGTTTTTATACAACCCCAACTAATTTCTGCTTGACCATTTTGTGCCTTCAATCTAGGCCGAAACGTAGGCATGTTGCGTAGTTTGGCGGTCTCAAAACCCACCCAAATGGCAACATTTTGGTGCTTTCTGACCCTTTTTTGCTTTCACAAACCCTGAATGGTGAATACTTGTATCTAGGCAAGGGACATGGAGGTTCCGCGTAAAAAAGTTAAGCATAGCGGAATAGAGAAAATACAAGTTCCCTCTTCAAAGGTAGAGGATATCGAGGTTGAAGATAAACGAGCAAAGGCAACGATCACAAAGCCTACAACATTTCTCGGGTTTAGGGCTCGCTGACACTGTGCTTGCATGCACACGCTGCGCAATGATGCGCAATGATTGGTCCGAAATTGGTCCGAAATTGATCTGCAGAATGCAAAAAAAGCAAGAGAAGTGCCTTTCCCAGCTTCCTTGCTGGGCTTCCGCGAGCTCGGCTTCGGAGCATTGAAGGCCGCCTCCAGATCTTCGGACGTTGAGCCTGACACGTGAGCGAGACTGCATGGCACTGTGTTGCCGCGTTGCCGTGGCTCAAGAGATCTTGCCTGTGCTCAGTCTGCGGAAACTGTGGCGACGCTCGCTCGACAGCACCTGATCTGGCGAGTGCTTCAGATGCACTTGGGGAGCTGGCGAATGTAAACTGGGGTGTGCGCTCGGAATGCTCCATCGCCCCATGGAGCAGGCCCAACATAATCTTCGCAACGTGTCTTGCCGGCACCTTGCTTGCAGTAATTTTGGAATTTAGGGGACATGTCAGGTATATGGACATGCAGGTAAGCTGGCCACACTGGCGGCGATCACCAATGTGAGATCGTTGCTCACCCCGCGTGTAGGTCCCAAAGCGGAACCCTGCCCCTTCGACCTCGCATCTTCAAGCACACGCAGGCAGCAACTCCAGCTTACCCAGAACAACAACCGAAAGTTGCCATTGGCCTGAGGACTGAACATCCCCAAGAGTCGCCGGGTTGGGTTCGCCGTGCAACTCAGACATGCAGTTCGCTTTTTGAGAACAGCAAGCACTCGGACCCTGCAGCCGACAACTTGTCATCTGGCAGGCGGACGGGTTACTCCACTGGATAAATCAGAATACCCCGCGCACGAGTACGTTGACTGGGCTGCACAATCACAAATGTTTCAGTCATGCCCATCTCAGGTCGACTGGCAGGTTCTTCACTTCCAGAGTGCATGCCACACCAATCCACACCACAATCATTTACGAGAAGCCAATACCGCCGCCTGGAGAAAGCTTGTTTTGCCGTGTTGGCTGCGTGTAGATCTCTTGCTGGCACGGATTTATGATGGCATACGACGCGCTTCCAGGCAAACCCGCGCGTGATCGTCCGCTTGACTTTTACGAGGTTCGCCGATCCAACATTGTCAGCCAAAGTACTGTGGCCGGTCTGTCGGTCAACCGCTGGGACAGCTGGTTGAACCAAAATGTTCTGTCAGCTTTTTGAAACAAAATGCTAGCTATTAATGGCTTCGTTGGGCTTGGACCTTTGTTGTTCATCGTCTTTGCTTGAGGTGAGTCAAGAAACGGGAATGCCGAACTCGTTGGCAAACTTAAACTAAACGGAACTTAAAATGCATAAATATGCTGTGCTTAACTAACGTAGCTTGCTTACTTGCGCTTTCGCAGTCCTGCGGATGTGCCAACTCGCCATCACAGCAGATCACTGGAGGTGAGATTCTAAGACTGAAGCAAAGCCGCTGGGAATCTTCTTGTCCTCTGAGGCACCCATGTAGTCCAAAACTTCAGCCTGGTGACAGGAATCTGTCGAAAACGTGTCGAAACCTCACTGTCACTTAGTCGACTTAGTCACTTGCTTGCGTGGCCTGGCGACGCCATGCTTTTGCATCCGAGGTGCGTCAGCCTCGGCCTCTTCAGTCTCGACGCGTTTTTTCTCAGGGCTGGCAGGTCGACCCAACAAGACTGGTCCTGGAGTGGCACCTCAGATTCTTGATACCCGGCCACCCCGTCACCCCTCATCTGTGCTTAGGCATATGGCTGTTGCCACCGCTGTTGCCTCCATTGCTTGAGCGCGCGCCGCTATCTTCCGGAGCAGGAGGCCTGGCAAAGAAATGCTTGGTGCCCATGGCCTGCGGGTCTGACACCAAGCTTGGCCGACGGATCAGACATACTCTTGGACCGCCCTCGCCTCGCTGCAAAGTGCACAGCTTGCTGCCCTATCTTTCGGCAGTCTATGCAGCCCTTCGATGAGCCCATGGACGTAACTTTGAAGTCTCCGAAACTCTGTGTGCTGGGCTGTGGCATGGATCGCTCCTTGACCCTCTGGCCGGCCTCCTGCTAGACGCTCGTCGTCAAATGCAACAGCTTGTGAAGCGCTCGTGCTTTAAGTATGTCTACGACAGTGTGTGACGTGTGGATGTCACGCTAGGTGTTGTGAACCAACAGCTCGCAAACCAGACCAGCCCATGTGCACCTTGGCAGCCTGGACTGCGGAGCCTCAGAAGCGCAGCATGTGAGCATTGAGTGTTGCGAGATGGTGATAGAGCTTCCGTTCGATCAATGGCTCGCAACCCGAACCCGCCAACTCGAAGGCAACCCGGGCATGAACGGGGTTGGCCTGCGGTTCGGCGATAGATTTGTTCGTTCATCTTACGCAGATAGCATGTTCTGACGGAGCCTGCATGCAGGCCAACCGGCCTTTACTAGTCGCGCAACAGGCGCGGCGTGCCACACATTGCCATACATGTAATGCTTTTCCCCCAGGTACTGCACATTTATGTGCAGACCGTCGGCCAGTTAAAGTGCCAAGGTCGGAGAATGTCGGGGACATGGACAATGAACGCTGTGGTGTATGTCGCGGCACGCGTTCTTTTAGTGGTCTACGAAACAGCAAGCGACTTCCTGCGATTTGCACACAGCACGCAGCAATGTAAGATTGCGGCGGTGGACTTCAGGAATGTAAAAGCCACCACCGATTCGAACAGAGTACGGCTTGTGCTGCTCGGGTGGCGGCGGCGGAGCCTGCAAAGGCCAAGGGGCTCGCTATGGCTAGCTGCAGCCTGCGGCTGCATTGCAACTTAGGGCGCTACCACATTGCCTCCACAACTCGAATAAAACATAGCTCTTGCTTGTGCAAGCCCTCACCCTGCCGATTCACTGGCACCTCAGTGCAGTTCGGATTTGGGCCCTGAGATACCCTGAGGTTTGCAAGCCGTGAGAATGAGGCACCGGCATTTGGATGAAACTGCAATGAATGCGAAAGCCTTCAGGAGAATGAAAACCATCGTAGTGGAACGGAAGTCAACTTCCCAGTAACCCATCTTGAGATGAGTGCTGGCCACGAATGAAGTTTCGGCAATGTGTCTTGTGGGCGTCAATGAGAAGCAACCAGCACATGGACCCACAGGTAGAGTCAGTTTCGGTCAGGGCTACCCCTGCCAACACACTTGCTGTTGGCTGCCTGCCAAAACACACCATCTTCCCTTTTTATCTGGAATCGATCTTGCTCTATGGCGCTTCACATAAGTATGCATCGATAACAAGATGATCGGAACACTTCGTGCTGAAGAGCAGTTGTACATGGCTTCCAGGTCAAGATCTGGTGCGATCAAGACCTTCTGCCTACGCTTTTCACAGGATACTTGAACAACTTCTGCATCTTGCTACCATGCATGTCATTGCAACTTTTGCAGCCCGTTCATAAGAACCGGGCCTCAGCGGGCGCAGCATCGACGAGAGAGCATCCACCAATTCTTGGGATTGGCCTGATCCTGTGCCTGTGCGTTTGAGTCCAACACTGTCTGAAACATGGGACCAGGCAAATGCAGTCTGGCCTTCTTCCTCGGGGGGCATTTCGGAGTCGCTCATGACTTGTACCGTTTGCCCGAGCTCAGCTAGGGATGTCTGATCCAAAATGGCCTGTGACTCCAAAACCGACATCCCAGCGCAAGTCTCCACGGCGAGTGTATTTACTTGGACTTGATAAGCCCATGCCAACGTTGACACAGATCGTTTTGGCCATGGAAGAACCATTGCAAGGGAATGGAACAGGGGATTATCTTGTCGATCTGCAAGGCAAGAAGTCAATCGGCGATGTACAGCTTCTGTGGCATTGTGGTGAGTGGCGAGCTCCTCCAGAGCCACATGTCGATGACTCGCGAGCTAGATGTTGAACTACCCTTCTCACAATTGCGCCCCCGGCATCCTGAAAAGGGTAGCAATGCTTGGCATCCAACTCAGCTGGCGCTTTCTTACAATTGTCCTATGTCAACCTTGATGACTATGAGTCTATTCGAAAATGGGATGATGAACTTCAGAAAAATTGAATCATATTCCGGTGGCCAACAATGAAACATCAGAAATGGAAAGGTGCATCGTGGGCTGCAGCCACAGCCAATCCCCCCTCCCCAACAAGAAAAGACGGAGCGCCTTGTCGCTCAAGATTTCAACATATTTCAACAGCTTCCCAAATACCCCAGAAAACATCACCTGCTGGGGGGGTACGCCCTCAACAGCGAGAAGCACCCAGTTGCCAGTCTCATGCTGGGGCCTGAGTTTGTGCAATGTGCAAGCGTAGTGCGAAGTGCGCCTTGTGAGTCATGGTGAGTCGGTTCTTCTGCTCCTCGGATAGGACGTCAGCGGATTGAGCCGGATTGAGCCTGTCGCCGATTGGTAGAGGGGCGTCAGTGAAAGGATCCTAGCATGGGCTGAGTCTGAAGTTTTGGCCGCGTTTGCAGGAATCGGCTTGCGGCCGCACATTCAGTCCATCATCACGCTAGCTCTCTCCTTCGTGCGCTGCCCCTTGCGAGATTGCGCCACCACGGCAGTGAGCGGAGGGACCCCCTCAACACCCAACAATGGAGACGGTAATCGCCTTTGCCACATCCACAAACTGAGTGCTACTGATACGAAGGGTGGTGCCTCCTGTTTGAGGGACGCCGGGAAACATGGTCGTTGCAGGTTGCAGCTGCATATGTGCAGGCACTTTAGGATGCATGTCAACACAGCAGGAGGCCAAGCAAGTCCTGAATTAACTTCATCTCTCTGTCTCCTGCTCTCTCCTGCTCTCTCTCTCTCTCTCTCTCTCTCTCTCTCTCTCTCCATACGCCTAGCCCCCGGAGCTGCCCCGGAGGGCGCGCAGTCCGAAGCTCCTGTCTGTGTGGCCCTGTCCGGGGTGTTCACGGGTGGCTGTCAGGATATGGGCTGAGCCCATCATATATCGAGGATCTGGTGTCTCACTCCCTCAGTCTCTCTCTCTGTCTCTGTCTCTCTCTCTCTCTCTCTCTCTCTTCTTCTTCTTCTTCTTCTTCTTCTGCTGGGCATAGGGGAAGCCCCCCCGCGCACTGGGCGCGCCCGAGGCTGAGTGATCTCTCTCTCTCTCTCTCTCTCTCTCTCTCTGTCCCTTCGGTGCAAGCAAAGCCCTAAACCAACATTCGGGAACTTTTTTGGCTCTCTCTCACTGAATGCTCTCCTTTGTGACCTTGTGGCCTCTGTACCTTTGAGATCCCCCCGTAGCAGGCGAGCATCATGCAACATGATCAGCAGATATCAGCAGCAGCGAAAGTTGCAGGCGAGCATCATTTTGAGTTTCAGGATCCAAGAGGCATCCGTACGTGCTGCACCCAATTGGCGCGACAACGCATTCCGGCATGCCAGGATTCCCATGTGCAGCGAAATCAGGCCCATGCGGCATGCCACGATAATGAACATAATGAACTTCTTAAGTACGGTCATTGATCGAGAGCATGTACAGGCCATGCCGATGCACATCGGGGCAACAAAACTATCAACAAACACACGCTCCTGCTCCAAGTTTTTGGACCAGTGCCGGAAGGGCAAAGTGCATGGCTGCATGTGCCAATCCGTCTCAGTGAGCTCGAGCTTCCTCTTCGGTGACCACTCCCAGCCTCGGATGTCTGCAAAAGCCTTAAAGCCTCGGCTCTAGACTCTAGGAACGAAAGCCTGAGCTTTCAGAACAATAAAACGGGAAGCCGTGCTTGAGAATGCAATCCTAGACTTTTTGCAAGAAAATGCGACATTTTCTTGTGTTTTCACTCAAAGCCGAAAACTTCTGGTTTCCTTTCGGTCGGACACACACAATCCAATTTCTTAAAGTTCTGCAAACCAAACCATATCTTGTTGAATTGCCAAGTGACATCCCATAAGTTCTTCCCGGGAGAGTACAAAAGGCCAAGAAGAAAGAATGCAAAAAGGCAAAACAGACACACACACACACACACACACACACACGCACACGCACACACACGCACACACGCACACATCACACATACACATACACAGACACATATTTCTATATATATATATACATATAGACATTATAAGTAAATATTCTATCCATCTTCGTTCTGGAAACTCCAGTCTCGCTCGTATGCTTCCGAGGTTCCACATCTCAAGTCAGGAAGATACACACTTAGGAGCAGTGTAAAGTATACAACGTTGACTGACACGATATCTACAACTTCCGTCTAGCTTTATGGCCAAACCAATGCTTTTTTATATGTCAAGGAGGGAACCCGAGTAATCCAAGTACTAGAAACATCCGAACATCACGAAACGATGCCAAAATGCAGGCCTGCCAATGCCAAAAACGCAGTTTCCGCAGCCGCCGCCGAGACGCATCAACACATCGCCAAACGATGCCTCATCGCAGGGTTCCGCAGCTGTTTCCGCAATTAAGCCCGTGCGACACGCGAAAGCAACGATGCCAAGCGCAGGTGTTTTGACTTAAGCTGCTGCCTTTACGAGCTATCCGCGTGCATGGACCCTGCTCATCAACACAGATTCTCATGCCGTTGTCGTTGATGCAGTATTCGTCTTGGTCCATGCGATTGGGCTATTTCTTACGCTGAGCAAGCGCGTGCCTTTCAACACAGAACGTTGCCAGTCACGACATCACGTACATGTCATGACTTGGCCTCTTGGCCTTTCTCGAACTGCGAAGCTAAGCTATCGGGTAGGCTCTAAAAACGGCGGTGAAAATTATCTGTGTCTCTATGGCTGCTCATGCTCAAGCAAGACAATCCTACAGGACAGCCCCTGCCGCACGTGCCAACACATATCCACACTTTGATCTCAGCTGTTGTGCGCATGTTCAGGCTATACATGGCCTGTTATACCCTCAGACATCCTCAGACTGCGAAGTGCAATGTCGCGCCCCTGTCGGCTGCGGGCCCGTATGCACCCTTAAGAATGCGTTCGGAATCGGATCTTCTAGCAGTTGATAGATTCGACTCTTAAGATCTCCAGCAGGATATCAAGCAGCAGGCTAATCACTCCACAGCCTGCTTCCAGCCAAGCACCAGATGAAGCTGCACTTAGGTCACTCTCCCTCTCATCATGTTCGCGCCTGTTTCAGTATTCAGTTTTTTGAGGCTGAGGTGCTTCAGTGTTTTCACAGTTCAAGACCTCAAAAAAAAGAAAAAAGGACCGAACAGGCCAGCAGAGGCTTAGTTAACACCAGAAAAGCCGGCATCCATAGTTTGGCCGATGGCCCCTGCACACCTCTGCCACACCGTGTCGTGACTCTCGTGAGATCATCTGCGCTCTGCCGCTTTGACTCGCCCCGTCTTCCGAAGCAATAGCGGAGCGGAGTTGAACTTCAGCGAGCATTGCTCATATATTCTTGGGATTTGTTCGAGATCCAAAAAAGGACTCGAGAGTGGAAGACACGATGCTCAAGGCAGCTTTCCCTGGAAAACCCCATGCTACCCATCTGTATCTGAGCTGAAGGCACGACATGCTCTTTGGAGTTGGGCGAGGTTGCCTCCTTGCAACGCTTGGAACTTCGCGGGACTTCATGCAACCACTTCACGCTCATAATGGTGATTCTGAGCGCTGCACTGGAGATTGCCAGCCATGCGCGTGCATTCCTCTGCAAGCACGCACACGGCACACGCCTCACAACATGCATAAAGTCGGAGCCTTTCGCTGGAAGCCCATGTTCTGATGCCAACGCCTTCGCAGGAATGCAGCAGTCGCACCGATGCAGTCCATGTGAGGTTCGATGCAGATCAGGGATGCCTTCGCGGCAAAAAAGAAGCCTAACATGAGAGGCGGCCTCAGCGTCAGCAAGGATCCAAGCAAAACACTTCACGCATTCAGTGGCTCTGCACAGCCTAGCACTGCAAACAGAGCTGCTTTCGTGAGACATCTCTTGGATTCTTAAGAAGCGAACAGGGCTGACAGCAGCAAGCCCAGGTGAAACGCACCGAATACATCTCGAAACGTGCCTGGACTGTGATCACATTGTACCACATTGGCAGCAGAAAGCCGCAAGCATCAGTTTCAGGCACAGGCCATACCAGAAGGGACCGACACCAGTACCAACCAACCTGGAGCACGGAGCAAGTCAAAAATGCTTGCCGAGCCAGCGGCACGGCCAAAATCTTGAGGTTGGCGCGTGGACAGCTGATTGAAGCCAAGCACTCGGCCAATCTCTTCACGTCCTTGCCGTGCCAAAGGTGCAAGCAGGATGCAAGCAGGATCCGGCAGGACTTGCTGAGGAATTGGCGCACGCCCAGTGCGGTGAAGGCAAGTCCGGCACTGAGAAGGCTCTGGAACACACCTGGCAAGGAACTTCGTTGCACTTTCGTTTCGGCCCAGCCAATGTGCAGACACCTGTGGTTGAACCGCGAATAACACCGTACAGAACGGCGGACGCCCTGCTGCTGATGCACGTAAGCCTCGTGGCTCCATGCAGCACCAACACTGTGTTCTCACACGCTGCTGGCATGTGTCATCGCCTGTAAAAACATGTAAGCCTTACGTAAGCAATTCAGGTGCTTCATTCTCAGGCATATTTGGTACAGTTTGGCTTTCAACTGGGTTGGGGGTTTCACTTTAGCAGGTGCAACCAATTCTTTGCCGAACTGCTGCGTGCAGACACCATGCTACACCGAGGTGAGGGCCACGTTGTGGCAATCGCAGTAACGAAGCCAGCCACGGATAACAGAACCTGCACAGAGAAACGCGATTATGCGTAGCAGGCATTCTCCACAGTTCCGCCGTACACTCAGCCAGAGGCTATCGGAACCCGCTTTTGGCTGCTGCCTGGCAGTTGTGCTCAAGCTACTGATCTGCTATGCTGAAGGTGTTTACTCCCGAATGCGAAGAACAAGGGTTCCTGTGTTAACGTTTTGGGTTCCAGGGGTCGAGGAAGCGTCGCTTTGTGTTCATGAAGCGTCCGCGAGTGTCGCGCATGAGCTGTCTTTGATGAAGCCTCCAGGGTTTGCCATCCTCGTAACTGCAATCGATTTTTGAGCCCTGGTGCTGCGTTCGCGCATCAAAAGTGCGTCCCCGTAACTGTCGTCACTTTTGAAGCTCCGTGTTGCTTTCTAAGTGCTGACAGGCCCACCGAGAAAGAGAGAGAGAGAGAGGTGGGCAGGAAGAGACGGACAAGAAACAAACGAGAGAAAGAGAGGGGGAGAAATAAAGGAAAAAAAGAAATCGAGCGAGAGAGAGAGAGAGAGAGAGAGAGAAAGAGTTGACTTCTGCTGGATGATCTTGGCACATTTCGACGTGGAGAAGCAGCAGAGGCCTCGGAGGACGGATCTGATTCAAAGAAGTTGTTGGGTCAATCTTGGTGCGGCGTTGCAGGAGGAGTGCCAGGGCAAGGCAAAAAGAAGCCTTGACGACTTGTTCCGACAGAATCCTTGATGGCGACGACATGTATGGGGTCCTGCTGGGTGGCTTTGAGTGAGAAGCGGGACATGGGAGGCCCTCTGTGTCGGACCTGTTCAGCCCTTCGTTACCTCCTCATGACCTTATCGATGACCTCACGGACTCGGAGTCAGAGACTTGGAGGGTGAGGCAGGATATCATCATGGTGTTCAATCTTCATGTGGGTGGCTGAGGAGAAGAAACATCCCAGCGAGGAATGCCTGATGGAGCACCCTGAGGATCCGAAGGGGCACAAACCTGGTTGTGGGTACGCTTCACTGTGGGCCTTTCCGGACGCTTGACGAGACTGCTGGGATGCCTGATTTTTGACACATTGCGATATTCGTGGTAGGAGAGGACGCTCCTCCTGTTGGAAGCTTTTCCAACAGCCCAGAGACATCCCAAGGCCTCGTGTGTTAAAGCTGCAAGCCGTTTATCAGCTTACAGCCGCTCTCAGGAGAAGAAGGCTGAGTTGTGCAGGTGTCAGCAGTCGCGGCAATCGGAGCGAATCGAGACATCAACAGAATGACGAACGCACCGAAAGCCAGAAAACACACACTCAAAACAAACACAACAACGAACGAAGAACTGTCATGAGAACGTGCTAGTGGCTAGGCGCATCACTAGATTCTGGCGTCAACAAGGCGCCAAGAAGTCCTTTTTGGGGGTCATTTTTGGCTGCTTGGGCAGTCAGCAAAACCAAATCACAACAGTCCGGTTGCCAGGCCAAACAATCCTGCAGCCCGCATACACATCCTGCGCAGAACGGCTTAACGTTTGCTGCACGACCTTGTGGCGCCGGGGAACAGACTTAAATTGACAACATGGCTGGTGCAAGGCAAAAGTTGTGCAACCCCTAGGTCTGGAAACATTCTGAAGGAAACGAAGCAATCAGATGCATTCGGGCCCGAACTCCGTGCGTCCATGAGCTCACCGACCTTTTCTCCACAAAAAACTGTGTCAGCTGTGCCCAAGAACTGTCCCAAGGGCCGCGGCAAGTGGAGTAGAAAGTGCTGCAGTAAGTGCCATGGGACCAAAGATTAAAATGGACCTGAGGGAGGTGGCCAGCGAATCTTGGAGAATTAAAGGCAAGCAACAAACAGGAATCAAAGGGATGAGGTGCCGAGAGCAAGGCACGTCCAGATCGCCATTCCAGGCCTACACTTCCTTATGTAGTCTACTTGTGTCTACTTGCGAATTTTGGAAACATTGTGCCTCGGCTACCATCTCCACCATGTAGAAATCCTTCGATGCGCTTGCTGGGCGCTGACACAACTGCTGGCATGGGCTTGCCTATGCTGCCGCGCTTTTGCCATCCGAGGCTCGCTGCCACCAAACATGACAGCGTAGAAAAATGTGAACGCAAACAGTGGCCACAAGTCGCGAAGCTCTGGAGCTTCGGCAGGGAGTGCCTGATGTACTCGCTGCTGCTTGCTTTGTCAGTTGCTTTGTCCATGGCACGTAACTGGTACCATCGCCCTTTCTGTCATCGTTGCCTCGCTGGCACCTTTCATGCTGGAAGCATCGGGCTCCTTATCAGGTACGTTTGCTGGACATATCACCTGAAGACAACGAATGACGAATCACCGACATCCACCAACCCTCCTCGACCGATACGGCTGTCCAGCCATCTGGCAACAAGCCACAGACCTGTCTTCAGAATTGTTCATGCAACTTTGTTCAAGGATGCTCAAAGGCATGTTCCGCTGAAGCAATGCCACATGCTGCAGCAGCAGCAGCAGCAGCAGCAGCAGCAAGCCAACAGGCTGGCACACAACATGAAAATACATGAAGCATGCGGCACGATTTATTTCTTTGCCCGGCTTAAGGAGAAAAAAAGCACGTTTCCTCGGGACTTCGTCGTAGCAGCGTTGCGGAGATGGGCGCGAGCAGCAGGTTGGCAAAGGAGCCGGCCTTGGGAGTTTTGGGATTCACGACAAAACTCTTCAAATTTCTCCATTCATGCCGAAGTCTCACAAAAGGGCGGCTCAGGTCGGCTCGAGAGCAGCTGTTTGCCAGCCATGACGTGCAACAATGCCCGAAACCTGCATATGGCAGGCGTGCTGTTGCATGTACAATGTACGGATGCCTGGCTTGCCGCTGGGGAAACCACACATGGTCCAACAAACGCGTTCCCCAACCACTGGAATGTGAATACAACCTCAGCGACAAAGATTCAGAAAGAAATGGATGCCGCAACCTGGAGGAAAACACGGGACATGGTTCTCGGTGCTCTGCAGCTACTGCCCGGCCACGTCGCCGCTGAAACCATTGCCTCGTGCACACAAGTTGCAGGGGTGCCAATGAATAGAATAGAACAGCCGGTCCCAAACCGCATATGGCATGAAGCTCAGGACGGGTGCTGCACGCATGCATTTGGGAACGTTTCAGCCGCGCCAAGCGAAAGCGTGCGCAAGAAAAAGAAGATAAGCACCACCTTCCAAGCTTTTGTTGGCTGTTTGGTCATCCTGCAGCAACGCCTTCTGTCAATGAATATGACGAATATTCCTGCCTCGAAGTACAGTGCCAACCTGTGCGAAACGTAGCTATGCCAACAAAAGGAGGATAGTTGAGGCACCTGACGTCTGCCTGAGGTAACTTGCCCTCAAGTTTGCGCCTTTGCGTCGGGCATGTCCATGAAGCGAAAACTAGGAGTGCGCCACAAAAAGAAACCTGAACGTCGTCCAACATTGACCCCATGGCACCACGCAGCCTGAGGATCCCTGGCCTGCATGACGGGGATGCAAATCCTTGCTCCGAAGTGGTCAATCGCTCGACCCAACCTGAAAACGGTCTTTTCCTGGTCTTGTTAACAGAAACACATGATATGTTCAATCTCAAACTTGGGCTGCAACAATGGCTGCACAAAGCCCGCAAGGATTGTGGCCACCGAAAAAAGACCGCCAAGTTCGGCATGTGACAAACGAAACTCCTGGCACCAAAACCGCAAAGCAAACGTCAGCCACCACTCGCCGATCAAACATGTTGTGTTCTGTGGACAGTCCAGCCTGGAGTAGATGGGGCACCTGCAACAGCGCGAAGCAATGGACACAGCTATGTACGTGTAATTATGCATGCGACGCGCGAACAATACAGACCGACGGCACCGTGTAGGACATCACATTGTTCTGGCCCTGCGCAATGCGCAGGCGTCAGCTAGAAAAGCTTGCACTTCCAGCATACTGGCTTGGAAAACCCTGCCTGCACTTTGAAGATTTTGCAAAGGATGCACACGCCCACGATGACCCACCCATAGAAGATGCAATTCAAGCGCTCGATCGCCCCCGCACCACTTCTGCTCGTTGCCTTTGCCACGACAGCGGCAAGCGGCTTTCCCGCCATATCAGTGCCCAGCAGCAGCACCGCGTCATGCAACAGCTGTTCGGGCACAATGCAGCAGCCTACATATGTAGTTGTCGTTGTTTGGCTGGCACGTTAACACAGCGAGATGAAGCAAGGGGTGTAGTCGTTTTGCTCCTCGAGTTTTTACGATGGCTTATGGAATCATGTGTTTCTGCATCTTGTGTTTTTGTGAGACGACTTCCATTGCAGCACTTATGTCCAAGAAGTGAAAAGGAACATGATGCCACGCACTACCCTGCTTCACGTGTATGGCTTAATATAATTCTTAAGCCCCATGGCTGCATAGTGCATCAGGACTGCCATTCGTACTTGCAGAACAAGTTTGCGAGAGCTTATTCAATCTCCCTTTATACGCTTTATGCGTGCATTGATGGGACTTGGGCGCGTCTTGAAGGCATCGCGTGTGGGTCCCAGCGAAAAGTATCACAAAGCTCCCGGCCATTGCTCCTCCTGCGGGCTCCCCTTTCCCCCGAATACTAAACCCCACCTTAACTTTAAAAGGACCCTCCCGGCTCCCAGCCCAATACCAAACTTGTTTGAGAATTAGGGGGGTTTGAGGGCCTCCGCCCTAGAGCTGAGCCATTAAGGTTTTCAAGTAGGGCTAGGGGCTCCAGGCTCAGAGGGCTGGCTGACAGCTGCGGGATGCGGCCGAGCAGGCGGTTCATGCTCGGCACGTTTGAGGTGCACTGGGCATGGACGTATGCGTCGTGGCCCGGGTGGGAGGGACCGTCGCCGACCCGCGGGGTCCGAGGTGCCAGCTGCAAGGTTGGCTATGGAAGGGGGCTCTTGACCGGCGGCCTTCCAGATGCGGATCGTGAACCCGCGCGCGCTCAGGGCAGAGGATCTTTTTTTTTCACACGCCTTTTTACGTCACCAGTCTCCGACGGTCAGCGCAGCGGCAGGCGGCTGGGTCCTTCCACGTCAGCAAAAGCCAGTCTCATCCAGCTCCGGCGCCGCAGTCAACGCGGGCCCCGGCAGGGCCCGCACGCGTCCAAGGGCTGTGTGGCCGACCGCCTGCTGCACGGAGACGGGGAGCACGCTCCACCAGCGACGGGCCCATGCTGTTCGCGCAGGGGCCCTCACGCCTGGTGGGGCGCGGTGCGCGCGGAGGGCGACCAGGCGCCGAACCAGCTGCACCGCATCTTCGTGCCACCGCCCTCCCACCTCACAACCGAGGACGCATAGGCTTTGCGCGCCACCGGCCACCAGTTCGGGGTAGGTGGCGTGCTTGCGCCGTGCGGCGGCCCTCAAGACAGCCCCGTCCACCGCCGCCGCGCCAGGGTGCGCGCCGTCGCGGTTCAAAGGCGAAACGAGGGTCGCGTCGCAGCAAAGGGCTCCGCCCAGCGGCGTGGCCCCGTAAATGACGAGGTCCAGGCGTCTGCGGTCCTCGGGTGCTACCCCCGGCGCGGTGGTGTGGACTAGCCATTGCTGGGGCACCACATGACCCTCCGGGCCGACGGCCTCGCGGGCTACCCTGCACCATGCGCGCTCCACGAGCTTGGCCCGTCTGGCAAGGAGGCCTGTCCGGGGGCACGCGAGCGCGTGGTCGCCGAGTACATCCGTACGGCGGCCGCAGCCGGGCTCAGCAGCGCTCGGATTGCCACACCGGCACGGGGCGAGCTGGAGCGGGAGTCGGAGCCGCCGACGCAACGCGATCTGCATTGCCTCGGGGTTGAGGGTGGTGTGGGGGTCGCTTGGGATGGCTTGGAGCCAGGCTGCGGCATGTGGTCCTGCTTGGGATCGCAAGAGCGCGCGATGGGATGGCGGCAGGGAGGGCAACAACACGGTGTCGCGGAAGAAAGCGTTCCGTGTACGCGACGCACAGTGTTGCCACCCATGCCTCCACTCACCGGGCTCGGCGGTCCCTTCCTGTCGGTCGGGTGGGCTGGCTCCTTGGACGACGAGCTCCCAGGAGGGCACGTCTGCCCACCCTTCCGCCTCTAGCAGGCTGCGTGCCTCCGAGGCTGCCTGTAGGCACGCAGGCCCCTGCTCATCAGTTAAGCAGCGGGCGGCCCACTGCGCCAAAGCGGGACAGCGCTCGCGCAGCACCGTGAGGGCATCTGCCCACGCGGCCCAATACGGCGGCGCTGACGCGCGTGGCCTGTGAAAGGCCCAGCCTCCTAGGCTAGCAGGGAGCAGGGCCATGTCCCTGGCTGTGTACCCCATATGGCCGCGTCGCGTGCCGCTGCGTACGGTGCAATGAGGTCGGGCGGAACCGTCCTCAAGCGCGTGGTTTGCCAGTGGCGCTGCGCAGAAGCTGAGGAGGAGCCACGCGCACTGGAGGTCGGGCAGCAGGGGAGCTGGCGGAGCAACGCGTCGTCAACTTCGAGCCTTTCCACGCCCCAAGTGCGGACGTACTCCGGCGTGCCGATGGGGGTGCCCAAAGCCACGAAGCCACGCTCCTGGGGAGGCTTATCGCCACGCCAAACCTCAAGGCCCAAATCGGCGACCCCGGGCGGCGGCGGGCCACCCGCGTAGTTGAAGACGCGCGTCTTGCCCAAATTGGCGGCGATTCCGGTGTGGGCCTCAAGGGTGCCTGTGACGAGGTCCATAGCGGTTCGCGCCCGGGCGGGTTCCGGCAGGAGGACGTAGAGGTCGTCCAGGAAAGCCATGAGCGACTCGCCAGGCCCCAACTGCTAGTCGGCCCGACGCAACGCGTCGTGTTGGCCTAGTGCGAAAAGGGCAGGGCACCCAAAGGATAAATCATCCAGCAGCGGCCGAACTCGCTCAGGGTCAGCGACGACGTTGATGTTGTCAAGGAAAGCGAAGGCAGCCTCACCCGGGAGAAGTTGGCCCTGGAGCTCAGCGAGCGCAGGGTGCTGCGCGAGGGCATAGAGCGCCGCATCAAAGGGTCGCCTTGCTTCACGCTATGGATGCGATGACCGAGCCCAGAATCGCCATACCAACTGTAGGAATTACTCTTGGCGTAGACTTGCCGCACGCAGGGCAATAAAAGCCGCAGCGCCGGGTGCTCGCTAAGTCAACCAGATCCAGTCACCAAGCCTTAAGGACGCGCGTACGCAATATCGCAAAAATTCGAAAATTCGAAAATCGGTTGCCCGTCCGTTTTCGCGAAATTGCGAAAATTCGAAAATTCAGAAGTTCTAAAATTTCCAGATTTTTGAATTTTCGCGTCCGCGCGCCAACCGTAAATTCGAAAAATTTCGGGTGTTTTTTCCGTGTCAAGAAAAAACTCAAAAAAAATATATGTTTTTGGAAATTTTCGCGTCCGCGCGCCAACCTTCATTTCGAAATTCCGCATTTTCGAGATTGTCCGCACACCAAACAGAAATTCAACAAATCCGAAACTACGAAATTTCGTTATTTTCACATCCGCGCGCCAGCCAGCGCCCCCCGACCTCACAACCATTCAACACCTCCAAAATTTTCGCGTCCCACACACAGGTTCGGGTTGAGGGTTCAGGGTGTCGACTCTCACGCTGGCGAACTGCGTGCGGGCGAGGACGCTGGTTCGAGCGTCGAGACAAACACACTTGCTTGCAGCTCAGCAGTGCCCCCCCCTTATGGGGGTGGGGGGGTGGGGGCTGGTCCGGATATAGGCGGCCCGTGTATTTCGCTTTCTTAAGGTTTCGGGGGGGGAGGGGGACTGTAGCAAGGCATGTTCTCTCAAAAAAGGCACTCGGACAGAAACCATTTTAGCGCGAGCTGTCTTCACCGGCGTCTGTGTCTGCTGCGTGTCTGATTTGAAACCTCGATCCTGAGTGTATGTTGCATAGCCAAATTGAGTTTGTGAAGTGTGGCCCCGGGAGTGTTGCTCGCCCAAAGTGGCTAGGCACAGCCCACATGTGACAGTTTGTCCTTTTTTGTGTCTGTTCCTGAACCTACAACACGACGGCGGGTGAAATTCGCAAGACCTCAATGAGTTTCACCCGCCATCGTGTTGCAGCCCGTTCCGGAACAGACACAAAAGGGACAAGCTGTCACATGTGGGCTGTGCCTATCCGCCCCAAAACTTCCTCGCCTTCCCCGTCCATTTGGCATGCGCTTGGGAAGCCTTTATCCCAGCTGCAGAGGGCGGGAAGGGGACTATAGCGTGCAAGAAGCCCTGTCTGGCGGTCTGTGGGACGTGTTGTGCGACTGTTAGGATGTTTTCTGGCTGTCTGTGGGACCCTGGGACCGGGAACGCCCCAAAAAATGAGCGGGAAGGAGGGGGGGACTGTGGCGAGCAAGAGGCCCTGCCCTTTATGTCCAGCAACTCATGATATGTTGGTTGCTTCCGTTTTTTTTCTTTTTTAAAAAAAGGAAGCCGGCAGCAAGGCTGGCAGAGCCGGCAGCCTTGCTGCCGGACTTAAAAGGAAGCAATCAATATATTATGGGGACTTTTTGTGAGATTGTGAGAGACGGTCAAAGCGAAGGCAAACAAAGCCCCACAGAAGGGCAGGGAAGGACTCGAAAGTTGCATGGACGTCCTCGAGCCAGGCCTGCGCACATAAGCAGTGAGGGTCTTCGTTCATGTCGCGGAGGAGGCGCCCGCTTCTAGCTTACAAGGAGTGAAAGGAAGAGAGCACCAGGATGACACGGCCAGAAGGTCTAGAATCCAGCTCAGTCGTTCACTTGAAGGCCCCAATTATAATTTTCATGCGTGTTTTTAGAGTATTATTACGGTAACAAACAGAAGCGAACGAGGGTGTGGAGTGAGTAAGCGAACGCATGATATTAATGATCTGGCTTCGTGATGATATTACGATTAGCCGATTAGATTATTTTTTCGTGTATTCTTATAATGTAAAATCACGCGCGATCATAACATTCGTACGGGACATCATCACGCGGCGAACAGAAACAGTACAGCAGAGGTGTTCACGACGTAGGCGGGGGAGATTCTCTGACCAGGCCCACAATCGAGGACGAAAGCTGCATACGCTTGAGACGCAGTCACGCACTGACGGCCAACGTGGAGAAGCAAACATCCTCAACAGGAAGCGAGGACATGAGGTTCTCATGGTCGCTACCGAGGACCACACAACATCGGCTTTCAGCACACCCGCACGGACCATCGTGCACAACAGCAGTACACATGCCCAACGTCCGCGACGCCAAAAACAAGCATCTGCGCATGAATTGCGAATCCTTGGAGCGCGCCGCGCAATCGAATCCACGAATTGCTGTCAGGAACATCCGGCGAGAACTTGGAACCTCCAGGCACTTTGTCCCTCGCTGCATGCTTCTGCATCGCCCGTGGGCTGTTACGTTGAGGGTGAAGCTTGCTTTGAATGCTTTGATGCCTTGCGATGTTCCGGCTTCCGATGCTTCCGCCGTGACAAGCCCTGGCGGGAGCGGGGTTGATGCCACAAAATCTGGCACCTTGTCTCCGCCGGTTGCGTGAAGAGATGGCTTATACGACCGGCCTGTTGGATTACTCGTTTTTTTGAACCGGAACTTGTCAAGAACTGCCCTTGAAGAAAGCACCGGGTCCCGACGGCGATGAGATTTTTCGTTCGGCGCTACGGTCTTTCCTTGAGCTCGTTCGGTTCTGGGTTGTTGTCCCCGCGGTGTGGCGGACTGCTCTAGTCAAGCCCTTGCAGAAAACCGGTTCGGCCGAGGATTTCACAAATTATCGACCCATAACTTTGTTGTGTTGCACATCAAAGATTTTCGAGAGCGCCTGTGGCCACATGTCAGCCCGCAAATTGATGAAAGTCAGGCGGGCTTCCGCTTGGGCACTGAAGAACACATTTACACTCTTCTTGTTTGTTTCTTTTTCTCGCGCGGTTTTTGCGTCCGCCGCAGTCACGGTCGGGTGCGCGGCTCCCGTTCGGGGGCCCGGGGCAGAGACCTAGGCCTGGCTGGGCACGCGGCTGATGACGGCTGGGCACGGGGCCCTCGCTCCAGCGGGCGTCGAAGCCGTGCAAGGCTTTGGGGGTGCTGCACAGGGCTCAAACGGGATGGGGAGCTGCCACAAGCGCGCTCTGCGCAGCGACGCAGATGATGCCACTCCGGATGGACCCACGCAGCCTGGGCGGAAGCCCGGACTGCGGCGGGGGTGCCAGCCGCGAACGAAGGTGGCTGCCTCAGAGTCCCAGCGGCCCCACTTCGAGCCCGAAAAGGACGAGCCGGCAGCGCTGTTCGGGATTAGTTTGCCACCGCTTGCGGCACGCAGCGTTGCGAAGGGCGCTACCAGGGTGCTTGCGGCAGCCCATCGCGCGTCACAGGGCTGACGAGGGTTGCATCAACCAACCGCGAGCTGTGCGCCGTGCCACAAATGGGCCACAAATTGAGGCTGTTGCACACGACTTCGATGCGCCGTGCGTCGTGGACAGGCGCGCTCTAGGGGCAGCCCATGCTTTGAAACAGGCTTGCACATCTTGAAAAAAACGGGGCGGGGGGTGGGGGGGGGGGCCATTTGCGGTTTTGTAGGAGCCTTGCGGAGGGATTGAAGGAAGGAAGGAATCGACCAGTGGCACACGGCCACGGCCACGCTGAGCATCTTTTCGGCGCCTCGTTTCCCGCAGCCTCGCACGGATCTTCGCTGAGGCCTTCGATGAGGTGACCCGTCCGTACCAGTTCGCATTGCCGACCCGTGCTGCTGCGGGTTGCTGTCGACCCTGCAACCACAGACAGTCGCGTCGCTCCACGGCCGCAACGCGTACGGTACGACCTCGCGCGCCGCGTTCCTGCGCAAACTGTCCGATCACGGCTGCTGGGAGCCCCGTCGGGAAGGCGGCAGCTCACCTGGTGCAGCACTGCGCATCGCCCACCGCGTGAATTAAACTCCGCACCTACCTCGAGCTCACTCACGCCTCTCGACCGTCGGTGCCACACCCGCTCTGTGCCGCATGCAGTCCAGCCGTCCCGCCGCCATGTCTGCCCTTGCTTATGCTAGGTCGGCCCTCCTCGCCTTCGCCGCGGCCCTTCCCTTGCTATCGCTTCCCATCGCTGGTAGATGGAAAGTTACTCCCCTTGCCGCCCTTCGCCAGCCGCATGCCGTGACTTGGCTGCCTGGCCAAGACCCAACCGACGATGTCGGCAAGCCTGCTGTGCACGTGGACGACGCACATGGCGCTCTCCGGCTGTGAACGCGCATGGTGACGACCTCCAGGAGATGCACAGCCCGCTCCGAATCGTGACGACGTAGAGGTCGTCCAGGAACGCGGCGAGCCGCTCACCCGGCCGCAACGACGCGCTTGCTGCGACCAGGGAGTCATGCTGGCCAAAGCGCGTACAGGCCCGGCGCTGACGAGTCCCCTTGTTCGATGGTTTGGCCTGTGGTATCTCATGCAGCCCGCCCTCCGCGTCCCACCACAAGTAATTAAGTGGAATTACGAGCGTACATGGCCCGGACGAAGGGGAGCAAGGCTGGCACACTTTCGCGGAGCTTGCACAGGATGGTTTCGCAGCTGAGAGTGTCGTACGCGCTGCGCCCATTGAGAAGCCATCGAGAGAGACGACCGTTGTCTCGGGGTCTAGCTCAACTGTCCGTGCCAGCTCCACATTCGTGCTCGCTTGGAACGGCGCGTCCTCTCTTGCAAACCTGCCTGAGTTGCTTGCTGCAGCCGCTCCCCGCACTCAAGCTTGCAGCCTGCCACCCGTGAGGTCGAGCGTGGCGACATGCCGCCGGCGTTCCCATCGGCCATCCCGCGTTCGTTTGTGTTGCATTACGAGGACACGAACGAGCGAGAGCGAGAGCGAAAGCGAGAGCGAAAGCGAGAGCGAAAGCGAGAGCGAAAGCGAGAGAGAAAGCGAAAAAGTCCAAGAGTCTAAGCGGGAACGTGTTGAATGGACGCCTGTGACATCCTGTGACAACATTAGTTTATACCAGACCTGCCATCCGCCAGTGTGCCGGGCGGGGCTACTGCATCGCAAGCAGGTGATGCGTGCCGGATCGTAGGCATGATGCTCGCGGGGCGGGTATTGTTCGGCGGAGCTAACTGGAAACCTCCGATCCGATACATCGCATGGCTCTTGACACTCACAGGATCGGGCGAAACTCGTGAAGTTGCCATGTTTCCTCGCGAGTCGACGTGCCGATGCCTTATACTGCAGACGCATCATCATGCCTTTTTGTGCGTCCAGGCCCTGCCAACATCAGCTCGGGCCCCAATCATCGCAGGCCGGAAGAATGTCCAAAAGCGGCGGAAGCCGCGACCTGTGAACCCTAAACTTGCCTAAGTTACCTAGCATCCCTACAACAGGAAAGGAGAACGGAGCAACTCAGAGTACGGAGTGGCCCATGCTCTGTAATGCCAAAATCTTCTGACCTGGGTAAGGGGCATGTGATGCCGTTGTGAACTTAAGCAGAACGCGGGGACGATAGAAAGAAATGGAACGAGTCACAAATGACCCAATGTACCCATGCGTCGCACCTCTTTGCTAGCCACACTTGCTCCTTTTCTCATCCTTATTCTCCTTATGAATCTGCTGCAGCTAACCCCGAACCCATCCGAACGCTCGCAGGTTGAAACCTGGACCCTGGGCAAGCAATTTTACGCGGGATATGCAAGTTCGGAGCACGGAAAGGTCACGCTGAGGTGACGTGTGCCCTCGCCAGGTCACCTTCTGCCTGCACTTCAGGCATGAGGTAGGACCGAATCCGGTCTGAGTATCGACGGCGGATGCTTGTGATCCCATTAAATTCACGTGCATTCGTGATAAGTGTACAAACCAGACTCTTGTTGAGCCTAGTTCCCACCTCAGCAGTCAGGTCTTGATGCACCACACAGTAAATGAAGTGAGTCCTGAGGCCCTGTCAGGAACATACGCACCAGCTGCCATTGTTGTCGATTTCGGTTTTGTCTGGCATGTGTAGGCGCTCGTCCTTGCTGCATTCGGAAGTCTTACATGCATGTGATCCCACGTGTCGTGGTCGATGTGTCACAACAATAGAAGCATGGTCCTGCACAGTCTCTTCAAGCTCCCTTATGGAAGCATTCAACGAAATGTAGGCAGGATCCACCTCCAGTTTCTGAAGATGTGGAGTTGTCTGAACTGAACAGTCCATGTCATGAGGTGCCCAAGACGCGTGCAGCGGGTTCGACCTCTTTCCCATCGCGTTCCTTTGATGCGCACGCAGCTTTGCAGACATGCGCGACGAAGATGTCGTTGAACCATGTAAACACTGTGTATGCATGATGTACACGTACCCAGGCAGGCGCCCAAGTCGGCTCCTCACTCTGGCCCCACTCCTCCCTTTCCTGATCAGAACAGAATTCAGCCTTTCTTTTCGAACTGTCAACTGAGTCAACTGCCAACTTCACACCCCGCCTGCTGCACCAGCCCATCCGTGTTCTCTGATTCCCTCTGCGCTGCTTGTTCCTCCTTGCTTGCTCGAGCCCCAACACCAATCATACTTCGTAGGCTCAAATCTTGCAAAACTCTTGACTCCATGGACGCAATGACTGCAACAAGCCCTACAGGCTCCAGCGAGACATTCTTCACAAACTAGTTTCGTTTCCCCATTGACTTTGCTCTCCAGCTGCGGGCTTGGCTTAAGCAACTCAGGCTGACTTTACCCGGACCCTACCCGGACCCTGCAATCGAGAACTTGATGATTCACGAGTGCTGGGTTCCACATTTGTCTGTCTTTGGGGCCCTGGGTCCGTGGTGCTATTGGCGTTTGAAGATGTTCGTTCCAGTACTGACAGGCGGCCGAACCTGAGCTCCAGCAATGAAACAAAGTCACATTGATAAGCATACACTGGCTGGGGGGATTTTGGTGGGGTGTAATTTGGGGGGGTTCATCGGAATGTTCCATTGATCTCCCTTGTGTCCTCCCTCTTGGCCTCCTCGGCCTGCTTCAGCTGCATGATCACCGCAGCCTGAGCACTTGGCCCTGGAGCAGTCCCTCAGGCTCAAGAGACATAGTCAACAGTCTGGGCATTGGGGGCCTGAATCATGGCAGGAGTGGCGTTTGAAGGTACTTCGCCTGCGGACCTCAAGGCATGTACTGGTGATCAAGCACCGAAGCACCAGGGACGGAGCTGCGACAGGTAAGCTGCTCGCTCCCGCATTTTGCGAATAACTTTGTCATACTCTTTGTGGTCGCGCGTGTCCATCTGGTCAAGTCAACTGACAGACGCTCAGCAGGAAGCTGCGATGCAACACAAGCCAGCTGTGCAACATCATGGCCATCTTTGGCCGTGCACCTTACCTAAGCTGTTCATGAGGGCACGACAATGCAGGACATGCCTTGTTCTCTCACAAAGTGCTCGACAGACTTCAGGGCGCTGCAACGTCTGTATAGTGTTTGGTATCTATCCGCTGACCCCGGCTAAGGGGTGAGCGCTGAGTGAAGACGCCCTTCTTCCTTTGCTTGTCCGACGGACACCCCAAGAGCCTTCAACCTCTTCGAAAGGCCCACCCAAGACGACAGGCTGTGTGTCCGCTCTGCCGACCCCAGGCCACAGTGTCGCGAGGTATAAACATAAATGATTCTTTGGTGTTCGAAGGCAAAACGAAGCAAACGAAGCTCCAAAAGTGTCGACCGTTGCAAGGATGGCACACCCATCGCGGACGCTTCGCGGACGCAAGACACGACGTCGGGTCACCTCCTCGACCCCTGGAACCCCATGCAACCTTTAACACGGGAAGCTTTGTGCTAAGCATTCGGGAGGAAAAAACATGAACCCTGCAGTCGCTTCCTAAGTCCTTGTCTGGTTTGGCCGTGGCCGGCAGTTGGCGACAGCCCCGTTCCATGAAAGAAATGGAAATGTCGCCTTAGGCTTAAGATCTACTACGATCTACAGTGCTATGAGAGAATCTGTACTGTGCTGCGAACGCTTTCCGGAAACTACAGGACCCAACTGGGCGTTGCCAAAAGATCTCTGCCAATCTCAGCCTGCTGCCCATCCTGTGCGGCCCCGCTCAGGGCCTTCCTCGACGTTGACGAAAGCTACAGGGCACCTGCTAGGCACGGCAAAAGCGAGAGCAATGGAATGGCACCCATGGCATTTCCAAGACCCCCGGCCATCCTCCAGCGACCTCCACATTGTTGATGTCTTTTACAAGGACAAGGCAGCCCGAAGATGCCTGCAAATCAGCCGCAAATCGCTCGAAGCCCAGCTCGACGACTCGCAACGTCTCGGGCCTTGAAGACCTCTTGGCTCTTCAGCTCCGGCCCCAGGCGCACGACAGCCTTCTCCAGCATGCGATACGTAGCACCAACCTGGCACCAGAGAAACTCTGAGAATGGCATTGCTTTTCCTTGACACCTGCCTCCCAAGGACAGTTGCCCCCTTGATGATAAGACTTCTTGAGGCCTCTCAGCAATCTAAAGCCTAGAGGAAACGCAGCGAAATACAACAAAAGCAACACACGCTCGAATTTCAGGGCTGCAGGCCCATCTTGCCTGTTGCAGATTGTCTCAGAGACTGCCTGTGCAGTTCCACAACCTGGTGTGAGACAGAGCTCAAAAAAACATCTTGGGCCAGAGCATCCGACACATTTTTGCTGGGCATTGCTGGGCCCTGCCTTTCTGCTGAGCAGGTTCACAGGTTCCAGCAGCTGGTCACCGTCCCCCGTTTCAGGACTCATCCTCAGGCATTCCATTTGATGCATCGATCTTGTCGGAGCCCTTCGACATCCTCATGTTTCTGCAGCCTTTACGTACTGTGAATTTACGAGGACGCAGCCAGCCGATCTTGTCATCTGCACTTATGAGCGCACGGAGTCGAGCCTTGGGCTTCAATAAATCAAGCAGAGCTTCAAGCGGAAGGTGCTAAACTGCTAGTGTCCCACAACTTTTGTCCCTGCCTTGTCCTTGCCGCTGGTCCCGGCGATGACTCCAAAGTCAAGGAGCAGGACCTTGTAACATCTTGTATCGTTGTAACATCTTGTAACATCCAACAAAAGACTCGCCCGCTACCCGCATCAATGAAGTCTTTTGAGATTTGCAAGGTGCCTGAGAGCAGTGCCTCAGCACCGACTTTCAACTCACCGACCCATCCACTGCCAATCTCAGGACCTGCGCCGTAGATAGTCGGAGTGTGGCAAAGCAAAGCGCATTGGCGGCATAGCAAGCAATAGCTGTAACATGCTTAGAGTTTACTTAGCAAGGCAGGGCAATTACGGCATGGCGTTCGCATGCGTTCGCCCTTGCCTTCTCGAAGAGTCGCGGGGTTGCGGACCGTGTAACGCGCACGAAGATCCCAAGATCCTGCTTGCTAGTTAGCTCAAGTTTCACATCACTGAAAGACACGTCAAATTTACTTCAAAGTACTAATCTCTCATAATCGCTTGCGAAACACTCCGGTGCCTGGCAACGCGAAGGAATCCAATGCTGGCTGCACTCGGCTGCCGCGCTGTGCATCCTGGCACCACTGCCATTGGCCCGTGTTGGCCCTGATGGCGCCCCTAAGAACACCGACTCAGCGCACGCCTCCAAGGAGATAAATCCTGCAGCGTGATGTTCAGCAGGCTGAGGAATGACCAGGGCGCGTGAACCTAAGCATTCGTCACATCTAGCCAGAACAGCTTTTTCGAACAAGAGCGTGAATTGCGGGTGCCTTGCCTTCTCTGGAGAGTTGAATGACTAGGACCGTGTCCTTCACGTGCCGCTCGCAGTCTGGGTGATATTCACACTTTGCACGGCTGCCTTCTTCGGAACCAAGGACTCCAAGCGGGTACCATCCAAACTCCTTGCGGATGACTTTGTTTGCACAGAGAAGCACATGAAACAAGACCATAGAAAGCCTTTTGCTTGACATCTGAATGAAATGAATGAAATACTCATTCTTAAGCTTTTGGCTCGTTGCTCCACACTTCCAGCGGCCGTGCAACTTTGTACCGCCCACCGACCTGCAGAAAGCGGGAGACGGAGACGGAGACAGAGTGTGTGCGTGGGTGTGACCGGGTGTGAAAGAGACAGAAAAAGAGGGGCAGAGAGGCCTCCAAAGTTAAAAGAGAACTCTCGGAGAGCACCCCTCTGCAAAGAAAGGAAAAAAGAGAGCACTGAGCAGCTCGGCACTATCTAGTAGAGATCTGCAATGCGCTTCGGCACTTTGACTTCGCAAGTTCTTGCGACGGCCTGGTAACTGCACGAGCCATCAGGATCGCTGTCAAGCCTGTGGATCAAGTCTCCGTGCAAACTCAAATTTGAAGACAACTGCTCTACCATGCGGCCTGCTAGGGGCTGCAAGAAAGCAACCCATCGGGGAGGGAAGGGCCCCACCCCGCTTGCACAAGAGCCATCTTGCAGCAGAGCACTATGGGCGCGCTGAGCACAAGCCATGCAAAGACCAGGACAACGTCAACACATGCACATTGACGTCTGCAGCCTGTGCAAAGCAGATGTAGTTAGACGCCATCAAGCTTTCCGGCCATAAATCCAGGCTCAGCTTTTAAAGCTTGCTGCATCTTTGGAACAAGCGCAGTTTCCGCGTCGACTGCAAGCGCGCACAGCGCCTACAGCTCTCCCCCAATGTCAGAACGACATCCGGAACCTCATGTTGAGGCTGGACACATTCCGACGTAGAGCATGTCAACATCATGTGACCTTGAATTTCGGGGCCGTGTTCCATGTACAGGATGCCCGCGGAATGCACACATCTCCGCCAAGTTGAGGCATCGTATGTCATCGTCAAGGGGGGAAATGACATGGACTGCAGGGACTGCAGACCCATGGCGCTACCGCGTGCAGCTACTCCTCGCAAGGACTTGTCAGCCTTTCCGCACACTTGCCGAGAATTGCTCGCCTCAGGCCGGCTCGGCATAAACGAGAAGCAAGCGTCGAGAAGCAATCATGCTGAGTGTAGAAATGTGTAGAGGACTTGCTCGCGAAAGTGCAGCCTTCATGTGGTGCTCCTTTGGATCACGAGAAAGATGCTGGCACCTGTGAGTAAAAGTGCTATGGACGACACTCCAAAAACGCATGAGTCTGGTCAGCGCAAACTTCCCGACGCAGTACAACTCTTCATTGGGCCTTTTGTTGCATGGCCAACTCTGCGACGCAGAGTTGCCATGCATGAGTCGTGTCACATTGCTGCTCCAGTTCAGCCTGACAGCGCTCCGCACTATGCAGGATGAACCGCAATGTTGCTGCGGGCACGTTTACCCCTTTGCCCACCGACATAAACAGACAGCCAAAGCGATCTGAACGAACTTTGGGCAGGGACTGTGAAAAGTTGAGGTAGGCTGAGGTCGCACAATTACTTGAGAGTAGTTTGTGCAGATTTTAGCTTGTAACAACTTCTAGTTGCACAGAAGCGCAGCTGAAAGCTCCTAAGACTATGGAGTCGGCTTCTATAAGAGAAAATGGCGACTTCGCAAGCACCGGTCGGCCTGCGAGGTGTAAAACTTTCGACGACTGGACCTTTCAGCCCGTTTGCCTTGCCAGGCGTTACTCGATCGACTGTTTTGCACACACAATTTTTGGACTTCAAGTCGAAACCGAGCACCTGCAAACAAGACTGTAATTGTTGGGAAACAATGAAGGTGAAGTATGAGAACAAGGTCGGGCAACCGATGTCCCCTGGAGCACTTGTTGCTGCTGCTTTGACGAGCAAGCAAGTCTGTTTCGAACTTTACGACAGCTCCTTGGATCACTCGTGAAATGAAGAGATCAAGACCGGCAGCAACGAAGCACACTTTTCTGATGAAATGGAAAGATTCGCTATGAGACATGTTTCGCCCCTGAACGCTGGGGCTCGTCAGCCTGAGCCAAGGTATCGGTCTGGGCAGTTCGGTGTTTCACTTTGTTCATCCGGGCGTGTATCAGCTGCCGTCGCAACTCAAGGGGGGATTTCCGAAAGATTTCCTTTGCTTTGGCATATAACTCCCTTCAAACGTTTCAGCACATGTTGCTGATGTTTGCTACTTTTCGCATCCGTGTGGAAATCTTCACTGCCACATTCTCCAAATGTTGGACTTGCAAACACGAGGATTGCCCAAGCGTATCTCTCGGCTGACACAAAGTCTGTGCGGTCAATCACGTTCATCAGATGCCCAGTTTCCAAGATTGCCATCTACCTAGCTATCAAAAGTTACTTGTACGCAGCTTCACTTCGAGTACAGACACATGATCGCGCCGATCATCGCTGACCCGATCTACCTCAAACAAAGTACTCTGCTCATGGATCCATGACCCCACGGAAAGCTAGTCGTCGCCAGCTCCGTTCTGACAGAACAAGGCATGCATAACTCAAGGCGGTACACAGGGCACGTGATAGCGCGAACTTTCAACACATCATAGCCATAGCATGCTCTTTGACTCGTCCTTGACTCTTTCAGGACTGTGGAACTGTGATTGCATTGGACATGTGAGTAGCATCCCTTCGGTTCGGCCTCGAGCAGCTTGTGAGCAGCGACGAGCTGCCGAGCCTCGCTCAAGGCATCGAAGTACATGTCAATGTCAATTTATGTGTTGTGTTCTGATGTCTTTACTTAGAGCATGGTTCTACGTCGAGTTGTGGTTCAACACATATAAATTCACGTTAAGTCGACTCAGGATTGGCTTCAGAAAGACGGAGTCGATCTTCATAACGGTTCTTCCACCATCACATGCCAAAATCTCCACTACAATTTAAACCCAGTGAGCAACCTTGAAACTGACAACCTCGATGCCGTTCGCCTTCATCTGCACGGTTCAGAGTTTAGCAGTGTCAGGTCAAGAGGAGTCATTCAACGCAAGAGTCGCAGTCTAGTACTTGGACTCCGACTCCAATGTGATTGATCAGTGATGGATTCAAGGCAACAAGCTACAGGGGCTTTGGATGGCTTCCAGCTCTTGGGTTCGGCAATGCATGCAACAGGTACGCATAGATGTCATATATACGCATGCAATGTATGCAATGCTCAATGCTCAAAACCTTCCCGAACCGCCTCCTGGACCAAGACCGAGTTTCGTTGTCGTTCCTTACATCTCCGCATGAATGACAAGGGCGGTAAAGGCGGTGAGGTGCCGACGACGAAGGATTCGTAAGGCATCAGCTCGCTCCACTTTGGACACGTGTGCCTCCTCTCGGCCTTCCGCATCCTGGCTCCCAAGGTTGTTCAGTTGTTCATGTTCGCCGAGTGTCAATAGAGTTCACTCACATCCTCAACCCACACTCTTCACCAAACTGGAAGCGGCAGAAAGCGGAAAACATGAGAACACCGTGGCGGCTTCAACAACCTCTCAGCCGAAACAGATAAGGAGTTTTTGAAGTTCGAAGCATCACGAGAACTGATTTGGCACTGCATGCTGCCTGCCCTTCCAAGAGCATGGATGCCATCAATCGTTTCCCCACAAGGCTCTCATTCTGGCGTCACCTAAAGAAGTCCCAAGGACCCAAGGTGCAGAGTGACGTGGACCGGGCACCCCTAAACACCTCCGCCGCAACTCCTCAGAAACCGCTCAGAACTTGACACTCCCTAGCGCTAGATGGGCTGGTCATGCTTGTAGTAGGGTGAGGACTGGTGACTTCACGATAGGGGGCTCTTCCAACAGTCCCCCGACCCAGAAAGAGAGAGAGAGAGAGAGAGAGAATGAGCAGAGGAGTGATGATGTGTGGACATGTTGGAAATTGTCGGAATGTGCATCTGCCATTCTCTGCCTGCACTTCAGCAGCAGCTCTCACGCTTGAGGCCTTGCGAAGGGACCGCAACAGTGAGCCAAGAAGTGACTCCAAGAAGTGATTCCACTCAGTGATTCCAAGGTGTGGCACCAGCTGTGCTTCTTGGTACCGACAAGAACATACAAGGACATACAAAAGAACAACCAGATCCCTGAATCCCTGCGCCTCTGACTCTTGCAAGGCAGCCTTGAGATCCTGGACTTGATGATGCAAGGCAGCCTGTGCTGGAGTCCACGAGAATTCCACGAGGCAATCACAACTTTCAACAACCATACAACGGAACGCAGACTGCCATGTTCACACTGTGAGTTCATGGCATGAGGTCAGAGGACGTCACATGGCGAATCATGGCGAGGATTGACATACCATTGGCTGTGCCATGCTTGCCTGCGCTCCCTCCTGCGTCGTGGCCAACATTCTTTGAAGCTTGGTTCGCTGCTCCTGCATCTGCTTTCACACTACATTACGTCGGTGCTGCTCAGATTCTTGCGGAACATCCACATCGCGACAAAAAGCGTGCAAGCAGTTCTTTTGTAGGTTGCAACTCTCTGTACATGGTGCAGCTAGCCTTAAAAGGGTGCGGTGCTTTGCTTGCATCAAGATTTTCATGGCTACGTACAATCAACTTCGGCGGCTACAGTCCCTCAGCACTTAATGCGCAGCACCCAACTGTGCAAAGATGCAGGCAGCCCCGCAAGTCACGGCGACGCCCATTGCGAAGCCACTTTCCGGATTCTGAACGGAACACGGTCTACGTGTTCCAGGCATGAAATCCTTCATTCGTGGTTCGCCAGGCGTGTCCTGTCCAGTCTTCCGGTCTAACACAGCTGACATCTGCCGACACTGATTCCATTATTCAGGCTCCGACTGCATTTCTTCAAAAGACCCCCTGAGCTCGCCATGCGCATCAGCCAAAATGCGCCGCACAAGCTTTGCCACATGTCCATGTGCCACGGTGGACGGCCTGGGGGCCAGGCTCGGGGCCTAGCACTTGGATCAGCTGGACCGAAACCTCCGTAGACTCTGTTGCATTTCTCGAATCTCACGTCCCCCACTATTCCCTGTGTCCACTCTCTACTCCACCCACTGTCTCTTGATTGAGTCTCTTGACACATTTGACATTCTTCATACCTCATCCGTACACCGCACCAAGTGCCGTCGATGAGTTTTTGTTGACGGCTTTAACAACGCAGCATGCGGCTGCTCACAAGCAGATGTGCAACTCCAATCTGCTGTCTGCTTGTTCGACTCGACAGCTATCACTGCCTTTACTACTGCTCAGCAGTTCGCTTCAGCCGCCGGGGACAGCTTCGAAGATGCTTTGAGACGCTTGAAGCCCCGGCCCTTCACCCCATGGGCACCGGGTACGGGTGTGTGAGGGTTTTCAGGATTTTGGCACCCAATCACTCGTGAAATAAACAACGTCCTAACATTTTCCAACACACTGCAGACATTCAATCCAACAGTCACTCACTCTCTCGATCGCTTACTCGCTCACTCTACTCGCTGGACTCACTCCGGTCATTCCAACTACTCCACTAACTCATCTTTCCAGCAACGTGAAGACATTTGATGCATTGTGATGCGGTCGCTTACAAAGTGTCCCTTCAAGATTGCTCAGGCAGCTGCGAAGGTGGCCGTGGTGATCGAAAAGCCCCAGATCCAGAGAAGACACTCTGACCGGTACCCACCAAGGGCAAATGGTTTGCTCGTCCTCAACAAAGACACACTTCAAAGAACTTCAAAGAACTTCAATGCGAGGCTCAGCCGATGAGTTAAGTGCAGCTTCCGAGCCTCGCAGAGATCCCAAAGAACCCAATGCCACACAATACGCAAAGTACCTGGGATCGGAAACAGAGTCTGTGATCTGCGGCAACAAATCACAGTTCGCAATAGTTCGCAGAGGGGTCACAGGAAAATGGCAGCCTTTGTGAGATTCCCAATCGGTCCAGGCCTTACTCCAGTGCGCAAGTTGTCCTGATTTGTTCTATTTGCAGTTCTGCCAAAACGAGTCTGGACTCCCTTTGCCGTTCCACACCGAGAGGACGACGATGCGCCGATGAACTGGAGCAGGAAATTGGCCGGGAATCTGGCAATATTCAAAAGTCAGTGTCGTTGGTTCTGAGTCACTCGTCACCAGTCAGCTGGCCGCACACCACCAACTTGTTGGACTTCATTCACATTGACAATCTCTCTGACTCAGCACGGACGAAAGCTACTTTGAAGATCTGACTTTCTAACGGCCACAGCGGCCGAGCAGAGCGCAATGTAAGCATTTCCGGTTTGTCCAGGCGACACTGGGTATCGCGCATATTGCGCACGAACCATCTCAAATCTGACAAAATGTAAACCACCTACCATGCTTTGTCTGTACACCACACACCACTTCCTGCCCATCACACCCCGCATCACCCTCTTGGAACAAGCAGCAAACCGGCAAGCGAGACTGCATCATCATCAGCGTTGATGCCTGCTGGCCTGCTGGCTAGCAAGTTTGATGATGCTCCACGCAACACACGAGCTGACAGCCACGGGCCTATAGAACGTGTAAAAGGATGAAGCGACCTCGTGTCAGCAAGGTGATCTGCCAGCTTGCTCAGAAAGAGGTTCCAGCTTGGGCAAGCGCTTGTTCCTTGCCTCAGTTGACACAGTTCTGGCAGCTCGTGCATCACATATATATATATATATATATATAACTGGTTCAATATGCCACACATATATGACAGTAATGTGACTGAATATTATTGTGCCTATACACTACATAGACAATTATGTCTATATCCCATGAAAAACACTACATCAAAGCTTTGGAAATATTCAAAAGTTTAAAGGCTGTTAAGCACGAAAAAGTATGATTAGTGTTTTGTTCAACAACGGTATGTTCCATGCCGATACAACATGCGCTATACCTCTATATCCTTATCTGGGTACATGCGTGTGTGTGTGTGTGTCTCTGTGTGAAAGTCAATATCTACGATCCTTAAAAATACTTTCTTGTACATGTTGCGAAAGGGGGTAGAAAGGATTCGTGTGTTTTCTGAAGCAACTGCCAATGTTTCGCACGGATGTGGCTCCCTCCACCCCGAGCCACAGGGCCGCATCATGACCAGCCACGCCGGCAGCCCTGATCGGACGGCTCCATCTTTTGAGCAGATGATCTCCCACGCCAGAAGGGCCAGAAGCCCACTGATTCTGGAAGCGCAGATGCTCCAAGGGCCGGTCGAATCAGCTGGGCCTTTGAGACTGCCAGCTTCGCCGGCGGGCGTCACGGGAGCGTGCGGGATGCGGGCACCATGCAGGGCGCGAGCCGTTGAGCTCACAAAAACGGCTAAACCCCCGTCAATTAATTTTGGACATGCTCTTATTTCTGGCTGGTGTGCTTCGGGTGATTTTTGCATCACAACTCCTGGCATTCCCATGCGGCATGTGCTGACGCATCCATCCCTTGTCGATCGCGCAAGTTGCTGCCAAGATATGCAACTCCAAAGCATGAAGAGGAGACAGTGCCAAGTGCAGCACAGGTGCGACGAGGCCATAAATCGCCACTATGCAAAGAAGATTTGCGAATTTGGACGAGTGGTATGCCTCGGGCGTGGAAACGTTGGCTTTGCAGTTGCAACTTCGTTGGAGCTTTACTTTTAAGGCCCCTGCCAGGACCAAAGGCAGCAGTGGCTTCAGCAGAAGCTCGCGCAGCATCGTCGAGCTGGCAAAAAGTTGGGCACCATAGGGTATTGCTTGCACCTAGGTGGTGCAGTCAGGCAGCCCCTGCACCATGTTGCTGCTTCGTAGCCAGCACAGCCAAGAAACGAGAGGCGCCACGAAGCACGCAGCACCCAAAAGTCTCGCCGCGACCTGCAAAGTCGATATGGTCTGAGCGACGGCTAGATGACGCACAACTGGGCGTGACGCTGGTGTGCCAGAAGACCCAGAAAACCTGCGTGGTCTCCTGCCTGGAATGAAAATCATATGCCAAAGACAACAAAATACAACATGCATCGGTCCTTCAACCACAGCGACATCACAACACTGCAAGGCATGATGCAGGTCAGGTCTTTGAACCGAGATCGCCTACAGGAGACATTCGCACTTGCCGCGTTTCCTCTGCCTGTGCAAGGGCACAATTCCGGCATTCACGATTGACCAGCAATAATGGACGGCAAGCGGAGCAAGCGGGGCAAGTGACGCATTTCCCCCATGATGCTTGAAAGGACAGCACATGGCCACATGCGACGAAATGAGCGGGAAGGCCTTCCTGCGCTTCCCACTCTTCATTCTACCTACCTTGCACTTGCACATGCTTGCGGACACATTCTCAGCGCATCATACAACATGGCCGCACGGCATGTACTTATGCGGGCAATGACCCTGAAATATTGTGAGTCGCCGACCTCTCTCCTCAAACTGTCATACAATAGCCGATCACTGGCAGACCTTGTCGGGGCCATTACCGCTGCTGACATCGGTATACTATTGCATGCAATACTGTATATTTTTGTTCTTGCATGCTATTGCTTTCTATGCTATACTATGGTATACTATTGGATACTGTGGGTACTATTGTATACAATTTTATACTTGTATACTTTTACATACTCTTGTATAGTCTTGTATACTCTTGTATACTTTTGTGTACTCTTGTATACTCTTGTATCCTCTTGTATACTCTCGTATACTCTCTTGTATACGATTGTATACAACTTCGACAACTGTATAGTATTGTACGTTCTTGTATGCCACTGTGTGCTACAGCATACTGCCGTGTACTGCTTTCTGCTGTTGAAGACTGTTGTTTACTGTTGTATGTTTTTGTATACTTGCTGTGCACGACGAGGGCCTTACGCATCGGCCTTCCTTGCAGTCGGCGCTCGCTGCGCCAGCAAGACCTCGCCCCATCCAAACTACACGTTTGTAAGTCCAGTTGTTGTTGCATCGGAACGTGGGCCAATGAAAGCTTGAAATTTGAAGAGGCAACGCTGAAACAAAAGCTTTGCAACATTCCGAAACAAGTTCTCGTACGGAGATCCTGCAGCGATCAAAGAGCAGTTTGGCTCCAGTCATGGAGCTGAGTAGTCCTCTTTGTTGTTTTACGTGTTCTGATTTGGGAGCCGGGTCGAGGCCCGTTAAACCCAATGTCAAATGAACACCTGCCGTGAAGGGCAAGGTGAGAGACCCGAAGCGGTGAGGGCCGGAGGCCGGAGGAAAGAGTCAGCACGAGAGCTTTCAATCCGCAGGAAACCTGTACTTTCGACACCGCACAGGCATTTTCGAGGTGCTGAGGCCACTGTCAACACATGTCAACACTCTCAACGCTGCCGAGGTGCTGTCCCAGCCAGCATCAGTCTGATGGGATGACAGAGTCTGGCTTCGGATGAGTTTCGAAGATGGAAACTTCTGCCTGCAGGTCAAGGTGTGGCAAGCGTTCAGAGAATAATCGGCCATGACCAGGCCATATACGTGCCATAGCCATGCCCCAAGCCTGGCAGCTGAATGGGCACTCTGGGTGGCCTGGCCAGAGTTAAACTAAATAGAGCTCTGATAGCGCCTGATAGCGGTGCGGCTCGGACCTTCTTTCCGGGGCACCGTACGCTGAGTGTGCCATGGCTGAAAAAACTCCAGCAGTTGTCATGGCGAGCTACGCGGCGTCCGCCACAGACAAGGAATCGTAAAATGATGACACGGGTGCTGAGTTCTTCAACCAAGTGCTCAACACTTACCTTTGCAACAGAGAAAGAAGCAGCACTGACATGTCGCCATGCTCCGAGGGTTGTGCTAAGTCTGACTTATCTGATCAAGCCTATGCAGGTCTTGAAGCGAGGGGAAGGTACATCACTTGAAGTTAGTGATATGTGGACCTTCCGTCAGACATGTTCAGAAGCTGCTGATTGTGCATGGTCAGTGCAGCATCGTCCTCGGCTCCAAGTTCCCGCTGCAGAGCCTCCAGAATTTCGAGGGGAGCCTCTCCAACCACACTTGCGGCCATGGCGGCCTCCGCCTTTGTACTGGCAACCTCTTCTTTCAGAAAGCCCATGCGATGTCGCAGTGCAGCCGTATTTTCCATCACCTCATCCAGCTCCGTGCTCTTTGCCTCGCATCGTCGGCTTAAGCCCCGCAAATCCTGCAAAGCACTCTGCAAAGCAGCATTCTGCACAGCGTTCGCCCGCTGCCGATGCTGCCGGAGCCGGGCAACGCCGATCAGCCGGCGCAGGTTCCGAACGTCTCTGCAGCGCTGGAGCTGGCATTCTGCCAGCTCACTGACCTAAAAGGGAACATGCTCCTCGCTTGCAACAATACAGTGTCCTAGTCGTCCTACATAGTCCTAATACGCCTAATTTGCTGAACATACTTCGACCGCTGAAGCCCGAAAGCCTCTTCAGCAAGGGTTTCTGTCTCCTTCCGCAGCCCAAGAATACCGGGAACACCATCCAGGTGCAAGGTGCCGGATGTAGCCGAGGTAGCGGCGGCTACTTTGGGGTCAGGCTCGACATGCTCCCCTGAAACCTCTGCAAAACCACGCTCCTCCTCCATCAAGGTGCAAAGATGTTGCCGGCTCTCCGCTAACTCCCTGGCAAGATGCGAACTCGCTGTTGTGGCAGCATGCAGACGTGCTCGCCAGCGTTCTGCATCGGCTCGAACCGCAACAAGTTCGTGTCGCAGTGCATCAAGACGCCGTGGTGAACATGCAGCTCCCCATGCATCGCAACGGCTTTGATATCGAAGGCATTTGCACTCCGGCGCTTCCGACACGGGTACTGCGACCGCAGCTCCAGGCCGTCCTAGCGCAGCTGCGCCTGCCTCTCCTGAGCTCCAAGCTGAGGTGTAAAAACATGTAAAATATTGTAGAACGGCACAAAACTGAATCTGCCGTCCCCACCGCCCACTGCACCCGCACTGATTACCACTCGCCGCCCACACCCCTCTCGCGGCTGCCCCTCCTTACTTGTAAAGGTTGGGCTTCATCGCGCCCCAACCCCCCAAGGCATAGTCAAAATTCGTCGACCAGGCCACTGGAGCCAGTGCGAACTGTTGTGGGTGTCGCTGCATCGGAAAGCTGTATCCTGCGACACAAGTTTAACAAACTTGAATTCAGCTTCATTGGACAAGGCATGATAAGGATGCAAGAATATTCACAAGATGTTTCTAATCTGCAATCATTCTAACGGTTCTAACACTTACTCACGTCCTTGACGGTACGCTGGAGCTCCGCCGAGCATGAAGCGAGGCATAGCTGCGATGCATACTCTAAATTTCGCACAACGTCCACAACAACCCCAAGTCCACATTAGGCGAATATTGTCTGAAAATTAGCGAGATCGGCTTTGGGACATGCAGCCCAAACACGAACCCCAAACCAACCTTCCTCCCCATTTGCGCTCGAGTGACTTCCAATTATTCAGACTAGATCTGCGGTGGACGGCGAAAGTATCTTGAACATGCACGGGGGCTAAATTTAATGATCAGAAGAAGGGATTAGGATGGATGAAAGAATGTCGCCGAAGTGACACATCGTGACATTTGCCATCGACTAAAGTCGGAGTCACCGAAAGACTGGAAGGCCCTGAAGGGTTCGGGTTTACAATCATTCGCCCGTTTCCTCTCCTGTCTTGGCAGTGTGCGACCCAACTCGCCGGTTTTTGGGGACTTCCCAAATATCCAAAACACCCTATGCCTCTCAACATCTCTCAACCCGGAGGTCGACTGTCCACACATGTCTGCACAGGCTGCCAGTCTGGTCATAGCATCCCAGAATGTGGAGTGATGTGGAGTGATGTGGTGTGATGTGGTGTGATGTGGTGTGATGTGGTGTGATGTGGTGTGATGTGGTGTGATGTGGAGTGATGTGGAGTGTGGAGTGATGTGGAGTGACGTGGGGAGGGATGTTGCCATCCTTGGCCATCGTCTCATTGCCGAAGCGACCCTGGGACCGACTGGAAGTGCATGCCGAGGCATATGCAAAACCTTGAGCCTGTTCATTGAGATTCTCTCTTCTTGCCGGTTGTCGACTCGTGAACCCCAGCAATGAAGGGCCTCATTTCTGTGTGCTCATTGCCGGAGATGAACACATGCTTGCAAGAAGCTGGCTCTGCAGAATGGCCAAGGAGCCAAGAAGTTGTGTAAGGATGTAGGATGCTTTGAACATCTCTTCTCTCTGACATGCTGCCTGTATGACCGAGAAACAGCACATTCAGAGGCGCACGCTTTTGGAGCTTGTCGCTGCTTCTGGGGTCACACAGCTGGCAATTGAGATGCGCAGCACGTGGCACGTTAGCAGTGTGAAGGCACAGTGAAGCTGACGGACTTCTCTGCACAGGCACAGTCGTGCAAATCTGTTTATATAGGCTCATACAATCTCTTCGGTCAACATTGACAAATGCATCAGTGAAGTCCCGCGTAGCCAGCCCTGGGCAAGTGCCCTTGCTGCGTTCGATTGTCGCCCGACGCACTCCGGATCATGTTGAAGGACTCGCAGGGTCGAGACATTGTTGGACTTTGAACATTTGGCACATATTTTGGGACACGCTGAAAGGTCCCAGCCTTTGCTTCGACGTCGTTGTGGGCACTGAAGCCAGAACCACCGCGTTCCAGCTTTAACAGATCCTCCAAAATTGGAGGTGCACACCACGGCGTTTATTTGGAGTTGCCCGCAATGTCAACTTCGATTGAATGTTCTCCGTGACCACCTGCCTCTTCGCCCCGCAGCTTCTTTCCAGTCACCTCATGGACCAACGAACTTGGTTTCATTGAGGTTCAAGCTCCTCGTGTCTCTTCGTGCAGGCAGGTCGCCGGGCACTTCATCTCCTTGCTGACTATGTCCTTCCACACGCTTTCTAGGATGACAACCTCAATGAAAGTCTTTGTGCATTCCAGTCGAGAATCTGAAGTCTTTGCAATTGCACCTGTTGAAACCGATGCTACACAGCTGCATCCTGAAAATGCAAAAGCACAAGAATCAAGACCAAGTGAAATAACAATAAGGCATCAGCTCCGCTGGGCTTCAGCAGAAACGCCTCTTCAGCGACATGTTGCAAAGGCTGCGCCTAGAACCGGACATACAGCACCTGCCGGTCACCGGCCTGCTGATGGATTATGGGGTTCTTGGATACTGCGCAGCAGTACACGCCTTTTCCTGCGCTTCACAACTTGCAGAAAACAATGCATGAAAGCATCGTTTCCAGGATGCCTCCTCCTTGGTCCATCAACTTCTGATCGGCCACCTCCATCTTCACGGGAATCAAATCCTCTCATTGAGAAATGGAGAGTCAGTCAAGTTGAGAGATGCGGAGAATGGGGAGACCTCCCACTCCCCCCCCCTCTGAAAAGAGCCCTGAGGTTTGATGAGGTTTGCCTTCACCTTCAGCTTCTTGCCTGTCATGGGACATCTAGTTGTCGCATCGACCTGGGAGTAGCAACAGGGGCCATGTGCCGTGGGCAGAGCAAAAGGCAGAGCCGTGCAAAAAAACTCGTCGCCAGGGAGAAGACCTTTTTCACTTCGGTGGGTGCAGCTGTGGGTGTGAACTCCTCGTCGGGGGGTCCAAGGACTTGCACATCTTGCAACACGTCGAAGCTGTGTTGAAATTTACCCGATCAGCTCCTTTGTCCAAAAACTTTTGGCTCTCCTGGAAGATGGCGCTCTGCAACGTTCTACGAAAGCTGTCTACCACAAACCGGAGCTTTAGTATCGCAGACAATGTGCTGAGGCTGACGTGTTTCAGCTGAGATGCAGCTGACTCTTGTCAACAACCAGCAGTTCACCTCTTCTCAGCTTCTTCTCGGGCCTTGCCAAGAAGCCCGCTTTTGCTGGCAACAAAACTCCGAATAAAGAAAAAGGCTAGGCTGCCAACACACCTTCTCGGACCGCATCTGCCTGTTCGAGGGCCCGTTTATGCCTGGAGTCCTGCAAGGGTAGTGGCGGGACAAGGAGACAGGAGTCAGGCGGAGTCAGGAACAATAAGAGACACAGTATCCGTCCAGCTGTTCGGTTACTGCTCCTGAGAGAGCAGGCCCTGCTCGGCACGGGTAAAAGCCTCGAGCTCTTTCATCTCGACCTCTCAAGAAAACCGCAGACTGTCAGTGGCAGAGCGTGAGCCATTTCACACACAAACAACTTCAAACAACTCAATGCTCACTGTTCGGACACGGCACTTCTTTGTCGGCCGAGAGGAGTCTCTGCTCGCGCTTTCTTTCCTCCACAACAACTCCCTCCTCCACAACAACCCTCTCATTTTTTGGGGGGGCTCTCTCTTATTATTCTTATTCTTCTTCTTCTTCTTATTATTATTCTTCTTCTTCTTCTTCTTATTCTTCTTCTTCTTCTTCTTATTCTTATTCTTATTCTTCTTCTTCTTCTTCTTCTTCTTCTTCTTCTTCTTCTTCTTCTTCTTCTTCTTCTTCTTCTTCTTCTTCTTCTTCTTCTTCTTCTTCTTCTTCTTCTTCTTCTTCTTCTTCTTCTGCCGGGCGGGCGCGCCCGAATCCGGTCTCAAGTGAAACTTCCCCCTTGTAGACGCGAGAAGGTTTATGATTTCCCCAAACGGCAAAAACTTACAGAACAGATATGACTCCCCCTTCCCCAGGGACATTGCCCTGTGCATCCCTAGTCCTGCGGACCTGGGTGGGCGTCTCTTACCACACGTGCTTTTCCGTGCGGTACTGCGTTTGTACTTGGCCTTCGCCTCAGTGTTCGGGGTCCTTCTTCTACCCAAGCTCCGTGGATCATGTGTTCCCCACCCTCTCTCTCTCTCTCTCTCCCTCTGTCTCTCTTTCTCTCTCTCTCTCTCTCTCTCTCTCTCTCTCCCTCGCTCTCTTTTTCAAAGAAAAGCTTTCGGGAGCCATGATGATGAAAGAACCTGCCTGCTCTTCGAACTTTTTCTGCTCTGCCTGCGTTGGCATAACCCATATCACAGCCCCCATGTGACGCGTGTGAGCTTGAGACCAGAGCCTCAGCAAAGGCTAGAGGAGGTAGCACCGTGGAGGAGAGTGTGGAGTTTGGGGCGAATGCGCACAAGAAATAAGAAGGATTTCACTTCGATGCATGCACCCCTAAGGTAAGGGGGAGTTTTCTGGGCGTGGGGGGGAGGAAACGATCCCTAGCATCGGGCAGAAATAAAGCAGCACAACCAGAAGCACTATGCCTGTACTACAATGAAAATGAGGACAAGCTACAAAGTTCAGCTACAACAAAAAGCCAAGATCATGTGTAACATGTTCTGCAACTTTGGCCGGTGCTTCAGATCCATCCATGCCACCACAACTCGTTGCAAAGGATCTCGAAACGGTTTTTTCTAGCGGCCCGCCTGAGAAAAAATGAAAAACACACCGGAAAAAAAGTTAAGTTGCCGCCTTGGAAAAACCACCGGCTTTTCTTGCCGCCACCTAAGAAAAACAGCAGGCTTTCGAGCCGCGGCGTTAGAAAACCACCCGAAAAAACAATGGCTTTCCTAGCCACATAAACAACACGGGTTTCACCTGTTTCTAGCGTCCGCCTTAGCCGCCTTACAAAACCAGCTTAGGCAAAACACCAGTAGCATTAGGAATAAACCAACTTAGAATGACGGGAAAACCATTCCGCGTTCCAAAAAAAAACTGCTCCCCGCTTTCCAAAGTGGCCCCGTTCCCGTTGAATCGGGGGCACGTTTTGTTTTCTTTCTGCCTCCGCTCATCTGAGCTGGAACTATAAGCAAGCAACACAAGCTTTTCTCAGTCCCGCCGGGAGGAGGCGGGGGCCTCCTGGTAGCTTTCCTAACTTGGGGCCATGGGGCCACCCCTGGAATTGTAGGAGTTGTAGGGGTGGCTTCTAGAAAGCAAGAAAAGCAAGGCCGCAATGTTTAAAGCGCGCTCTCCTGGATGTCAAGCTTCTGTTGCAGCAGATATTCCAGGATGGCTTCCCGATCAAAGATGTGGCCGGTAGGCCTCTCACGCTGACTCCGTGCTTCGCGAACGTGCACAGCTCACGTTTGGGGCTATCGGCCCTTCAAAACTTCGCACATCTTCGAACATCCAAGTATCTCACGTTGCCACGGGATCCTGCCAAGAGACGTGGATGCTCCATCTGCTTTACCACTGCCTTACCGGTTGTCCTTAAAGGCTTGGTGTTGTCGTTTGTGTTGTCAGTCCTTCGGGGCCTTCAGAGTGAGCCCACAGAAGCCAAACGGAAGGAAGCAGTCAGTGCCCATTACCTCCTCACAAAGGGCATCGAAAGCAAACACGACCATCAGTGCCTATCAGCGTCCGCCCCTGCTACTATACCGCTCCGCATCCACAAGGGGTCCTTCCGTGTCTTCGAATATCCGGCATCCGCGCGCTCTTTGGCCGTAAAAAACATCCGATCATTGGAATGCTTCGAATGCCGAGACATGGCCTCGAAATGCGGTTTCAGCATCCGCACAGGTCTGCACAGCAGTTGTTGAATGTTGTTGAATGTTGTTAACATCTGCCAGAGGCCAGCCTCGGATGCCTCCCGGCGCCGGCCCAGATTCCGACGAGAAGCTTGATCAACAACACGGCTGGCATAGAAGCGTTTCGACACCTTCCCTAAGGCAGCATTGCAAGCGACACCTGCAGCGAATATGCAGCGCAAGGTCTTCGACATGTTTCAGTCGGATCGCCAGCAGTTGTTGCAGGACCGTTACGAAAGCATATGCTTCCGCTACAACGCTTCAAGCCACGGCGCTGCCACAATAGCAAAGCAACTTGCAGCATACATATGTACAGTAGCCTCCCACTCTTTCCCATTCTTTCCCGCTCTAGAGTCTAGAGTGGGAGATATTGGGGGCTCGGAAAACCATCCATCTGAAAACCGTCTCACCTTGTGTCTTCCGTGTGAGATGTCGGCAAAGGCATAGTGTAGAGGCAAGATGCCTGCAGAATGCCTAACTAGGAAAATCAGAGTGGAAGAGAGGAGGCCGCATGGGCGGCCCCAAGCTTCAAGGCATTTTAAAAATAAAAGTTGTTAAAAGTTGCGCAGCAGCTCAAGTGTCGAGAATATGAGGAATCCTTCTGGTGGTTGTGAGCTGCTGCAAGCAAGAGATTTGCGCTAATTGGCACAACATTGAGCCTACTCTTGATCGCAGGAGGCCTGCTCTGCCTCCGCGACTCTTCAGCTTAAAGCCAGTACTTGCATGGTTCATGAAGTCTTTCGAACATCGGGAGGTCCTGCGACTCGTGGACTCGTCGGATTCACGTGAATGACAGAATGCAATGTCTAAGGTGTCGACGTAATCGCCGCCTGCCTGAATCGTCGGTTCAGGCGGCGAACCTTTGTCAGTTCACAGGAAGCTTTTTGTTTCCCATAATCCTTGTAAAGCCGCAAAATTGTGGACAAGCCATGCCAAGGCCATGGCCAACAACAATCCTGCCACATTGGCGGTTCAGGTGACATCATGTTTGCACGACGTGCGTGCACGACCCGTGTGCACGACGCGTGCGAGCGAGCGTGCCTCGTGCTCTCGAATAAACAGATTCACGACACTCTCACTATGACTCGTGGCCACTGCATGCCGCTGCATGCCACTGCTCACTCTGTCTTGCTCTTCCTCTCCGTGTGACCGCTGTGCTACATGAGGCTGTCAGTAGTTCCACACAGTCTAACCACAATCGACGACTAGCCCCCCGCCAGCGCCTGCTCTGCGCAGAGAAGGGTCCACATGGTCGGCATGGTCCGCCTAAGACATGCGCAATATAGTGCAATGGGACGGCAACACATTGAGACTTTAAGCTGCGAGCCCCCATAACTGGATAGCTTCGGCATTTGAAGAGGAAGTTGGCTGAGAGCTTGTATTGCGGCCTTCCAAATCTTCCAGCATTGCAGGGTATCCCTGAATGTGGCGAGACGGAGAATGCACAGTGCAGCCTCGACCCCAGCACATGAGGACCGCTGCTTTTCATGCTTTGGATAGCGACATTTTTGCCAATCTGAATCTGTATCCAGGGTCTACTAATTTCACGTGAGACAAATTGCAGACAAGTCGGAGACAGAGACAAACAGTCGCAGCAGCATCCAGGGTCTGCTCACTTCACAAGGCAAACACAATCCCAGAGAGGCGTCGCAGCATCCAGGGTTTGCTCACTGCAAAAACAAAAGGGGACAAATGAGAGACAACAGGAGTACTGCCGCGAGACATCCAACAGAACGTTTCAGAAAGCATTCCTTAAACAAACTAAACAAGTCCCCCAGGCTCAAGCTGTTCGGCGAAGACATGGGAGACAAATAGGAGACAACAGTCCCAGACTGGCAGCACAGCATCCAGTGTCCAATTTAAATTGGAGACAAAATAGGAGACAAGACTCGCCTTCGTGATGCAAATCGTCTTCGCCCTCCGACAAGACATGAACAGAAAATCGTCTTTCACATATCGTCTCTGCCACCCTGACATGTCCCCGCTGCCACTGCCTCGTGCCGAAACCCGAAAAACGAATCACTTTCACGAGTGCCGCATCCGCTGCACATTCCATCGTGCAACTATTGAACATGTGCGACTCACTGCAAGAAAAGAGCAAGAGCGCGAGGCTGGACCGCTGACGTCCAGAAAACATTGTTTTGTTTCTGTGCTGTCGGCATCAGGACAATAATAATCAACATTGCGTGCACACTCAAGTGAGCACAGTGCCAACAGTGCCGACAATGGCGGAGAGTAAACATGTAAAGGAATGCCCTGAAACAATAACTTGTCCCACAAAGTGAGAATGCATGCAGCATCATGCAGCATCATGCAGCAGCGAGTTCGGGCGCCTCCAAGGCAACAGAGTGCCTCAGACATGTAAAAAGAGGACAACGGAGTGGACAAGGAAGAAACCGTGATACCTTCTGCTCGTTAACTGTTCTCGCTCTCCCCTACTGACATGTGCTCTAAGCATCTTTGGGCATAATTTGACCCAACACATCTGATATCTCCCAACTCCAGGGATGTCCAAGACTCCAAGTCAAAACGCTACAAACGACTCTAAGGCTGCAGCTGAATCTCTTGGCGAATGGCCACCTGCGATGTCGGCTGGGACTTGGCTGGTACTCAGAATGCAGCCAAGTGCCTTGCACAAGTCAAATGGATCGACCCCTGCGCACTTCAGGAACTCCAGCCCACTTGAAAGCTGTCGCAACGGATGTCATACCAAGCCCAGACAGCTTGCTTTCTCGTACCTGCAACACAAAGCCCAGATCCAACCCCCGCACGAGCCACAAAACATCGCACAACAGGTCTTTCGAGCCGAACAAGTGATTCTTTGATGCACCGTACATCACTGCGCCTCTTTCAAAGCATCCTCGAAATTGATTCGGCGACCATTCCGGAATACAACCGGACGATACTGATCATTCCTTCGATGGCGGCAAGACTGGCTTCAAAAAGAACATTGTCTCAAGCAAGGCTCTTTATCAATGGCACGATATCATAGATGTCATACTGACGACCCGTGACACAGGGCAAGAACAAGCTGGCTTCAAAGATGTGCGCATCAACGTCGCCATCCTCGCAACTGTCGTCCCTTTTGGCTGGTCTATACAGCACTACAACAGGATCCCCAAAAGGAATGATTGCCGCCCGAAGCCTCTCAAAGCCCTGAAGCCTAACAGCACATCCACACCCGCGATCCCCGGTTTGGGTTGCCTCGCCGCTACGCAAAACCCAGGCCCTCGGGTCATGAACCAGAGCAGCAACGGAATTGGACACATTCGATTCAAGGTTTTGGCCCGCGCAGGCCGCTCTCTCACGCGTCTGTGCTATTTAGCACCGCTAGAAGACAAAGCAACAAATCAAAAGAACAAAAAAAAGAACGCACACGGGAAAACTTTCGCGGGAACACCGATCCGATCTTCCAGCCTGGACAGCAGCACGACTCGGTGCTCGAAGTGCTCCAGGTTGGCTTCGAGACCTCAACTTTTCCCATCTTTCCTTTTGGAGCATTTTGCACCAGATGTCGGAAAAAATGGAAACAATTTTGTACTGTATGTATATATGGTGATTGCACATCTCATGATGCAGATCAGCAGAATGTAGCATTCAAAGCACGTAACACGGAGCTATCCTCTTTCCCTCTGCACCTTGTAAATGAGCACTGGAGACGGCAGCCACCTGCTTTGAAACAGGTCATCTGAGGGAGTACGTCTCATTTGATGCTCCGTTCAACACTGCAGCCATGTGGACACGATGCACTTGCGTTGAAGGCGCCGGGCATGCAAAACGAGACGAAATCACCCAATCAAATTGTGTAACTCACACTTCTTCGATTCTGAAGACATGGTTTGATAAGCTTGCCTACCGATTCTTCGCTCCTTGGGCTGTGTCTCAAGCTTCTCTTCGCGGTGGGCTTTACGCCAAATTTGTATGAAGCACAAATCATGCAGGATCCTCGTACGTTTCCTACAGAAGCATGGCCCGCATATGGCGTACAATGGCCCGCCACGTCAACAGCGGAGCTGCTTGCGAATGAGTTGCTGATGCTGCATCAAGCTGCAACATTCAGATGCGTCTGTGACCGATTGCTTCCTTCAGCCCTGTTCCGAAACCTTCGCACTGGCTCCGGGAGCATGCGCGAAACATAGGAGTTGGCGGTAGATTACAGCAGTCTTCCCACCAGTTGATGCCACGGACCGTCAGACTGGCTCAACAAAATGCTGTAAAATGCTCAACGTGTAGCTTCGCAGATCTCGTCACCAAACAAAGAGCAACCATCAAGGAGCCTTGCGGCTCTTGAAGCTCTGGAACTGCCGACCATGAAACTCGTTTCGGAAGTTCTCTGCCTGACCAGTCCATGAGTCCATGACCAGCCCCACCCAAAGGGCCAAAGTCCAAAAAGCATCAAGGCCTGTTCTGGGGAAAGGAAGTTTAGAAAAGCGTAGGCGACGTTGCTTCGGTTGCGTACGTCCTGACAGTAATACGAAGCAACCGTCTGATTGGTTTCTGCAAGATGCAATGCACACATCAATCTACACCGTGCTGCGCACCACATGCTTTGGGGCATTTTGGAGCACTGCGATCGGAAAACTACTCAGCAAGCGCTAGGGCCAAGTCCATCGGGAGGTAGAAGAAGTCAAACGTGCCATGAAACCCACGCGCGTCAATCTCCTAGGCTGAGCTTAAAGACATGTTCTGCAGAAGATTTTAAGTATCCTGAACACATGGCCTGCATCAATGACTTCTGCGTGTGCTTGTTCGGAATGTTTCTCAACATCCTGGTCGCAAATTGTCGCAAGTAGTTCGTGGAGTTTGCCACATCGGTTACCACATGCTACCACTCTGGGCACTGGGCAAAGTTGTCACAGGCTGGTTGCTGAAAGCACCCTGTGGCCACGAATGCGCGCGAATGCGCACGAATCTTGCACACTTGCGCTGACGTGCGCTGACGTGCGCTGACGTGCGCCGACTGCGAGTCGGCAAAACTTGGCACCTCGAGATTAGAAGATCGCGGGACAACCTTCGAGTGGTAGGGCTTAAAACCTGTCCGTGTTCGCCATAGGCAGCAGCAGCACGGTGCAACTGCAACATCAGCTGACTGCTGACAGCTCTTGCTCCGGCCTTTCCTGCTTCCGTAACCATCCTCCAACTCGCAGCACTACAAAGGAGCTCACTTTCCACAGAGTTGTTACGCAGTCTGCAGCAGATTCAGCAGAATTGTCCTCTGAAACGCCTTCAGGTGCGTGACGGGGCACACTACCTCGAACTGTGTGAAAAACACTGTGTAAACTTGTGAACACTCTGAGATAGCACTTGCTTGTCGGCTTGAGTTCGACGATTCAGAGACTGTCTCCTCGAGCTGCCGCCCGGCTGCACATGGACGTGAGCGGGAGCAGCGAGAGCCGAGATGTCGGTCTTCACGCAAGTTTTTGCATGTGACGTTCAGCCGTTCAGCTATATCATTGGAATCACGAAAGAACGCACACATGATCGGAGGACCGGCGCGCCTGAGCCTGCGTAGGGCAAGTTTTACAAACACTTTTAAAGCAAATCTTGGGCCGAAGCGGACAACAAGGAACATCGAACAGGAAGTTGCAATGAGTTGCTATGTGACAGCACCAAGTCTAGCCTGAATAGCATGACAAGAACAGCGAGTTGCCATCTACGCATGCAAGCTTTGTGAAACCATCAACCCGGTTCCGAGGCACAAGCACTGAAGCTGACAGATCCCCCCGGCACAGCGCGAAAACCGAACTCCTGCCTCTTGCTTCAGGTGCCTTCAAACGGGAATGCCTACGTGGTACTGATTCCGAGAGCGATGCTGTTCCTGAGGCCATATCGGGCCAAACTTACTTTCGAGAAGCACTCGCTTGCATACTGAGTTGCATGCCTGGGAACTCATTCTGACTCGATTTGCTCATCCCGTGCTGCTACAGGAGGCCCAAGGGACTGTAGACTGACTCCCCGAAATGCCAAACACATTGCAAGCAAACGACACTTTTTAAGTGAAACTTAGAAGACGGCCCATGGTCCAAAGACAACCGCGCAACCCCTGCCCTGCATCAACAAGGTCATGATATGCATGATGCACAGCACTGAATCTCTCATGTTTCCCATCCAGTGAGTCGCTGCAGATGTATGCCGAGCTTGCAGGCTGCGGACGCAGTGCCAGGGATTCGAGGACGTCGTTTTCTCGGCTCCGGCTTCAGGCTTGGGCCAGCTTGGGACACCCGGCTGCCGAGAGCTGCCCAAGGTGCCCAAAGAACTGCCATGGGCAAGCCAACTGGCCTGGGACTTCTTCTCCTTCAAGATTCTTTATGAAGAACGTATTGGCAACTTGTTGTCAGAGCGCTGTCACTTCACAGGAGCCTTCCAGTTCGAAGACCGTCGGACCCCGGACTTCCGCTGGCGGTGCTCGGAAGGCCGGCGAGGTTGGCGAGACTGGCCAGGTTGGGATGGGTGTAGGCCCTGTATGCCCTGCATGCCCTGTAGGCATGGGCGATGGCAAGCAGAGGGGTCGATCTGGAGAGTTGGGAAGGTCGTCGTCGTCCACTTCAAGCTCCACGATGCTGCCCATACTCTTCAGCTCATCGTCACGACATCCGCATTGCGACATGCACAACGGAGCCACCTTTTCCTTGCTTGCACAATTGGGCGACATGGACAGAAGTACGAACACTCTTGGACAAAGCTAATTTGGCCTGGAGACCGGTTCGCTCCGCAACTGGCCGATGCCCATCGCTCCCCGCCGTGGGGCGCCGTGGGGCTACGGGGCTACAGAGACTTCTGAAACTGACCGCATTGGCGTTACGTTCTAGCTGGTGTCCTTCGCAATGCTGCGCCATGCTTAGCTCTCGCGACGTGTGTTGCTCGGTTTTGGCCGGGGAATGCCTCACGTGCTGCGTGTCACGTATGGAGACGTTGGATTGTCTCATGACAACCACCTGAGCGGCTCATGTGACCGGCTCTGGGCTCTCTCGAGGCTGCTAGGGCTGCCAGGGCCGCGTGAGGGCAATTTAGGGCACAGTCTTGCGGTCCGCGGTTCACAGTTGCACTTCCACACTTTCAGTCACTTTCACACTTTCACACTTTCACACAAGCCGAAAGAGAGCTCAGCTACGGTGGCCATAGGCTACGGCGTACGGCGTGGTCGAGACAGTCAAGCCTGGTGGTGTGCTCAAACGGCTCAAAGCCAAGAGCTGCAATAATGGCTCAACCCGGAGCCTTCCCCAAGCGTTGTGGCACCATGAGCGACATCAATCTGAGGACACCTCCACACACCACTCACCCAACGCATCGGGAACAGTACCAGATGTTCATCCCTGCCTGATCGTACGTGTTCCTCCTCGTCGCCTGAAATAGTGAGTTGGACCCACCTGGCACACACATGCACACACCCTTCACCTCACTTCTAACCGCAACGTTTCAAGAATGCCACTTCGCCCTCAACCACCTAACTAGAACCGTTGACCCTTGACCCTTGACCATCAACCTCAATTCATGTTTCAATTGGAATTGCAGTAGCTTCATATCTTGAATGACCAGTACTCCGGACTCTTCCTCCCGACGCATCCTCGCTCACAAAGTTTTCCAAACATTTGGGGCTTCTTTCTGCCCTGCTGTGTCTCTGCCTCTCTGCTGCCTACACCGCGTGGAGAGAAGCTGTCAATCCGCAAATCCGGCGCAACTTAAACTTGCAGGAGAGTCCTTCCAAAAAGAGCACCCGAGGAGAACAGAGTAGAGAAGAGGCAAACGGCTTCCAATAAAATCTCGGCTTCAGCAAAGCGACAAGAGGTGCAAAATGCGTGCCACCTAAAGAGACACAAACGAATAGTGGAACTGTCTCCTAGAGATGACACGCGCAGATCAAGCAGTGCCATGAGCAGTCGAAGCATTTCCACTGCAGAAAAACTACCATGAGATCAGGGATCAAGCACATATGAAGGACGCGGCGACGTGTGATAAAGGGCCGGGCACATTTTGAGGATGCCATGGCTGTGTTTTAGATGCGGAGTTAGAGTCATGCAGCCAGCGCACAAGAATGACGTCGCCAGAGCGCAGCGACATGCAGCGACGTGTTACAAAAAGGCTGTCCAACCCTCCAGGCGATGTTCTTTTGTACTAGGTGAACAGTGAAGGATCCAAGGCACACACGCACCTTCCAACTTCGGTCTAGTTGCCAAGTACGCCCTTCTACAGTCAACCTATACGGTTGAAAAGGATGCCACGACTTTTGCCGGGCATTCGCGAAATGAGCCAAGCGTGTTGTCACCAGATGAATGAATCGCACGACAAACCACAACACAGGAATGAAACATAATGAAACATGCGCACTCACAGTCACAGACATGTGAGTCGCGGGAGCTTCAGGCTCCGCTGATTCCGAGGCCCATAGGTTGTGAACAGAGTTGAACGGAGGCTGAAAAGGCTACATGGAACCCAAGGAAATCCACGAGGTTCTGAAAGAGTGGTGCCGATCTGTCGAAGCTATACTATCAGCGAAGATGACAGGGATAAGGCGGCTAAGCGCGAAATGTCGAATGAGACTGCTGGTGCACGATGTCCTATTGTCAGCTTTCAAATATCAAGCTTCACGGGAGCGAGAGGTGATATGGTGCGTGAATCGTGTAGTGTGACTTGCATCACTTACATCAGAATTGCAATCAGCGCGCCTTCCATGATGAGACTCTGCGCCAGCGTCGTGCGCTTCTACGCGGAGGCCACTAGCATCCAGCGCCTCTATCCTGAAAAGTTGCAAGGAGGTGGGAAAACTCGGGAAAAAAGATTCCAAAAACCTTCAAGAATCATGGGGCCGACACCATCCTTTGTCCTGTAGCTCGGCAAAAAGTTCTCGCGGCACAGGAACCATTTGCCTGGTGGGTAGACATGGTCCTGTGACATTCCCCGGGGAGCCTGATCTCAGCTTAGCGAAAGGCGAGGGCACCCTGTTTCTGCGCGTTTCAAGCTCCTGGTCGCGGTGGAACGGTAGCGAGACATGTGAATGTCAGACTGTCAGGCCACAGGCAACTTTGGATGTGTGGATTCGACATGATCCGCTTTTCAAAAGGCCTCGTTCTTGCGATCTGCAACCTCCTTGGCACGCTTCAGCATCTCAATAGCCTGGCTCGAGAAGAGTGACGAAGATGGGAAAGCAGTTTGTGTGGTGGACATTTGATGATGGCCTTCATTCTGTTGCCTTCGTTGCGGCGCTTGGAGGTTTTGGGTGAAATCCCCGCAAAAGGTATGGCATTCGACCCGTATCCTGGCACGACGGTGACGGCGGCCAGCGAACTGGAGTGCAAAACTTGGAACCTGCGAGCCTTCACCCGGCGTATAAGCTCGAATGCCTTCGGGTAGAGGGGGCTCTACCTTGCAGCCATCGATTTCTGACAAAGCCAGAAAGCCAATGCCTGGGCTGAATTTCTTGGCTTCCAACCAGGTGCCGATTCCGGATCCTGCCCTTCTGCCTGCCCTCCTGCACCAAGCTGGTGGCCCCGGCAGCCTTTGCAACTTGAGACGGCGAGGCACAATCGAGTCACGATGCTGCGCACCACCCCGGCACTGATCTGCCCTGCATTGCCATGGCCCTCAGCCTCGGATCGAGGAGCGATCGCAACTTCGGCCTCATCCTCTGCCAGGTACTCGAGCTGCTCCAGATCTTCTTCGCGCTCTGCGAGATCTGCGAGCTCGCCCTGGCCATCCTTTCCAACCTGCTGAACCCTCAAAACCTACATGACCACAACGAAACTACAAAACCGAACCGCAGCAGGCCATGCCGGTGCCTCTGTAGGCAGCAAGTCAGTGTCACCTCAATGAAATGGCCGTACTGCCCAAGCCCGCCCAAGTCACGTGTGCACTTTGAGCCTGCCCTTCGTCGAGCGTGCTTTCTTGCCATGGGCCGCTGAATGGCCTGTCCAACACATTCCAACATTGTCTGTACCTGTCACAGGCACTGTTCCACTTCGTCTCAGAGGCAGACCCGGCAGACCCCCGCGAAGCCGACCGCACCCAGCGTGCGCAGCGCTTGCCGCTGAAAGCACAGAGTCCTCGTCACAACTTGTCGTCCCTCCCTTGCTCCCGCTCTCTGCTCTTGTCAATTACCTCAGGGCAGGGCCCTCCAGGCTCAAGGCGCGTCCCTTTGAGGCTTGCTTCGCCGATCGGTGCCTCATGGATCAGACTCGACAATCCAGTAGTCTCAAGCAGCACGCTGGCATCGGCATTCCGACGCTGTCCTGCCAGCTGCTGGAGGTGCTCGGCGAATGTCCTCAGTCGCTGTTTTCGGTTGGGCCAACCTCATGGATCCCAGCTCTTTTTTTGAACTTCTTATGGAGAAGAACTTGGCAAGCTGCCGCACTTCGTGGGAAGGACGACGCCTCGCCATTCCATGTTGTCAGCGCTTTTGCCGACTGAACAGTGGCAAAAAAGATGTGGGGAGAGATGTGGCTACTGGGCTATATGCACTCTTCTGACGGCAATTGTCGGATACCGCAGGAGGTTGTGCGCGCTACAATTATCTGCACACCGGGCTCTGAATGCTTGAGATCATGTTAAGAACAGGATTCGTTCGGCAACTGCAAGCTCGGCTGCAAGCTCTTTGCATGGCAGCAGAGCAACATGCTGGCATGTACTGGCATTGCGGGTGACCCGGTTGGATTTTTTCAACTTCTGTCTAACAGCTGGGCGATCAAGTATGGACCCAGCGCAATCACCAAGACCAGTAAGAAAAGCAGGGTGACCTCGAAGGCAGACCATGCAGCTTATGGGCAAGAGCATAAACAATCAAGAGCAGCGAGCCAATGGCACGCACACTTGGATCCGAACCTGCCACTTCTGCTCAAGTCCCCAAACTTCTTCCGCTTCTTCACTTTCTTTTCTGTTAGGCTTGTTGCTTCGCTGTGTTCCATTGCACATCTGTTTCGCCCTCGCTGCTTTCGATGAACCAGCGCGTTCCTTCTTGGAATTGGCCACTCTTGAGTGGTGCTGGTGTGCAATGATGGAGGCGGCCCTTTCAGTCGCTTCTGTCTTGCTTGGTCCATCAACCGTGGTGCAGACATTCGTTGTCTCGGCCTGAATCAGCAGAGCTCGTGAAGCTAAGGCAGCACTACTGTCTCCCAAGCAATTAAATAAATGCAATTGACTGCCGCAGATTTTGCCCACTCAGCTGTTCCTTTGCCAAGTCCTGCAACCACCCGCTCCAAGCTCGCCAGGCCTGTTTCGACAGTTGCTGCTGGAGCTTCACAACCTGCATATCGCAGCGCTGACTTCAGGGATGCAATGGATGATGAACCATGGCAATGCATTTTGGCAATTCGAGAGAGCCAGTAGAGTCAGGCTGCTGAGAGCCTGCTTTTGAAAAGACACAATACGTCATGTCGTGCCTAAACAAACTGCATCATTGAGCTTCGCTAAGCAGCAAAACTTCGAGTTAGTCGCGCTGCAGGCGTACACGCAACTGCTGCGGAGATTTCATGCCGAAGGGCACACAGTTCACAAGATGGCCTCTGCCTTCGTCTGAGAGCGCCTGGCTTCAAACCTTTTCACTCGAGCCTGCCAGAGACAAAATTGCTCATGAGGATCCCAGTCTCCCCATCACGATTGCTATGATTTCAACCAATCCTCTTCGGGACATGTTTGGGAGCCCTATCTCCCTACGCTTCGTACCGCAGGTATACGCTTTAATTCTGCAGTGCGAAGGGTCTGGGTTGCCCACTCCGGCTTCGTCTCTCTGATGTGGGTTCTGGGCTCAAAAAGTTCAGGGCTCAGGGTATTCTGCAATTTTGGAAGCCTTGCCATCGCAATAGGCGTCTGGCAATCAGCAGATTTTTGATTTATGCACTTTGAACCTTCGACCCGGCCGAGGCAAAAGCACCCGCAGCACAGAAAAACCGCATATGCTAAGAGTTCGCATGGTGAAGAACGCATTCCCCCGGCGTTCGAGCGAGGATCTCAGCCTCGGCCCTGGCGAGGTGCAGCGCGTGCTCGGCTGCCACCTCTCTCAGACCTGGGAGCACAGAACTCAGCACCCGTTTTCAGCACTCCTTGCCGAGTGTGTGTCCGTCCTAACCGTTGGGGGGAAGCAAAAAGTGACATAAAGTGACCTGACCCACAGATTACTGCGACACGAGCGTTGCCAACCTGCCTTGTTGTGTATAAATTATATATAGGTATGTACTTATGCTCTGCTTTTGCCCGTCTGCCGGATCCGGGTGGTCAGGGCTTGGCTCCGGAAACCTTTCTCGGGATCTGGTTCAGGGCCTGTCCAACAGCATATCTTCCTGTCTTAAGCGTCTTTAAGAAATATCTAGCCCAACGCCCAGACCATTTTCGACTCGACAACTCCCCACATCCGAATTTGGGGTTGAGGCTTTCCGAGATCGACAATGATTGACTACGGCTTTCTGCACAAAAGCCAAGATGGGGCGGTTGGGCACAACATTTGTGTTTTGGAGATCCCAGGCTTCGCATTCCAAGCCCCGAGCGCCCGTTCGCCTTTTCCAAAGTCTGAACTTGTTCGACAGCAAGGGCCTCAGCAGCGAAGTCAGCTAAGTCAGCCATCAATCAACTGACCAGACGACTTTGCGCTGCACCTGGTGGCGCTCAAGAGACTCCAGTTCCTCTTGCCACTCTCTTGCGCTGGCTTTGTGTACATCCGTGCTCCTGCTGCAAAACAAAACCCTTAGACAATCTCAAGCATCTCAGCAGGACATGAGGCTGCAGGGCAAGAGCCTGGCAAACTCCTCCAGCTTGGCTCGCAGCTCCTGCTGCTGGCCCATAAGAGCCTCCATGGGTTTGATAACTCTCGTGTGAGGCAGCTTAGGTATTGCGCATGTTGCACCAGTTTCCATCAGTTTCCGAGAGATGTTAGACACGTGCGTGTGCTTGTGCGTGTGCGTGTGCGTATGCGTGTGCTTGTGCGTGTGCGTGTGCGTGTGCGGGTGCGGGTGCGTGTGCGTGTGCGTGTGTGGTTGGTTGGTTGTTCTTTGTCGTTGATGTTAAGGTAGAGGAAGCGCAGGCACTTGCTTCTCGAACTCTGCGGACAATCTGGAGATTGCTTATCGACATGGCAAAGCCTGACCTCACCGACATAACAAGAAATTGACAGATGTGAGTCCGCCGGCGTGGCTAGTTTCGCGCCGATGCGGCAGAACGACCGGGCCGACATGTCACACATGGCAAAATCTCGCAGGACATGGCCAAAACTAACGCCGACATGCTAAAACTGGCTAAAACACTTCTGGGCTGGTATCTCGTTGTTTTCCGTCTCGCGTTGTCTCTGTTTGTTCATTTGTGCTCATGTTTTGCTCATTTTCTCATAGTTGCTCATATATCTTCGTCGATGGGCCACTTGCGTCTGCAGTCTGCGCTCGTCTGCGCGCTTGTCTGCGAGTTCGTCCGCGCTCATGCGGGGCTACCTACAATCACATCGGCACCGGCCTTGGAGAAGAGAGTTCTCTCTCTGATTGACTCATAAGTTTAAGGACATCACTCTCCCTTGGCTCTCAATTCTGGTTCTCTTTCAGTCTGCCCCTTTTTTGAGTGCCCCTTTTTTCCTCCCACACAAAGCACACTGAGATCTCACGGCATGGACCCCCAAACGTACAGCTTTCCAAGCGGGGAAGAGAAAAGAGGTGGCCATGTGATGACGACAAGGTGGCGTGACACAGTACGTGGCCTATTTGTAAGGTGGACTTGGGCCTGCTTGTGCAACCAAACCGCCGCATTCTACCCTCTGTTCCACCAAAACGCATCTAAGAGCTGCTCTTTCAAGTCGTTGGTCAAAGTCGGTCGTCACCGCTGCATCGGAGGTGCATGCAGCTACATCTTGCAGCCACAAGATGCCACAAGCACTCGGTAGATCAGAGTCTGGCTACCATCTCTGCGGCTCATGCCCGCCTCCCGCCGCTTTCCCCCGAGCAACGTCTCGGATGCAGCCTTGACCATCATCCAGAAAGTGTCCAATGTTGGGCTCGAGTGCATCGTGTCCAGACACTCTCACCGTGCCTGAGTCTTCAGCCGGAGTTCTTCTTCGCGAGCTGCAACTGTGTCATTGCGCAGCCTCCCAGATCTAGCTTGTTCTAATTCGCCCCGCGGCAAAATCATACCAAGCTGCCAAGCGCCTTGCAAGATCTTCTTTCAGCCTCATGACAGCGACTCTACGCCTCAGTTTGTGTTGTCAGCTTGTACAAGAACATTCCCGAGCAAAAAGCGGGTCTTCGAGGGTGTGGCTCTGCCATCCGTTGCCTTGCGCGTTCAACCTGAAGCGCCTCAGTAACTCACTGATGTTCTCACAAGCCGAGAAGTGAATTTGCGAGACGCTTGTCAAAAACAATTCCCAAGCACAGCTCGAGCGATTTGCCGCATTCACCCGCTTCGAGAGGTGTCCGTTCTGCTCTTTCTGCACCTCCACCGCCTTGACCGATGCGCGATCTCTCGTCCAGTTGCTGGGCCCGTGCTGAGCGCTGGCTCGTGCAGAGGCATATCAGGCCTCCGACTTCAGATTGCTCCGAAGATCGAGACAAGGGTGGAAAGTGCTGAGCAAAGAGGGCTGCTTCCGGCGCAGCGTTCGACTCTATGTCGTTCTGGTGGTTCACATGCTCCAGGCGCCTCGCAAAAACCGTCTCCACTCACACAGGTCACACAGGACTGCCGATGCGATCGCCTCGAGCTTCGAGACGCCATCAGAGGGCCTGACATGATGATACACTGTACTTCACAACAAACAACACACACACACACACCACGCTCACAAAAGGTTGATGAAGATCAAGACGCTGTCAAGCACTACACCAGTGCAGCTGTTGCAACGGAAACCGGGAATGTAACGGAAACCAAGGAGCAGATAACGGGAAGCATGACCCCAAACCCTAAACCTCCAACCCTCAAGTTGACCCTCAACAAAGACATAAGCTCTCAAATGGTAGAACCTTGAAAGTGAGTTGTTTAAGCTCAAACAAGATGACACAGCGCAAAGCCTTGTCGCCGGAAAAGCCTGCAATGTTGGAAAGCCGGCCCCAAAAAACACCAAACATATCTAGAGTGGGAAACGTTTCGGTATACAACTTAGATAGATAAACCCTAAGGCCCTAAAAACCCTAAACATCCAAAACCCTACACAAGAGGTTTCTGCTACGGCTCGGGCTTGGATTGAGTTGCCGGTTGCACTCTCGGGGGTTACGGCTTGAGCCCTTCAGCTGTTACCGCAGCTGATCCCTCCCAGATCCTCCCAGCCTTGCGCCGCAGGAACCGCTGTCACCGCAGGCTCAGGCCGCCAAGTGATAAACTTTATAAACACAAAGAAGACGAAAGAAGCAATGAAGCTGCCGTGAAAACCTAAGGACCCGTTGCCATGCTGCTACGTGACTGTATGGATAAGGCAAGGCATGTCAGCGCTGTTGCGACACCTCACTAACCTTGAGATTGGCTTTAGCCATTGGTGTGATCATGTGCGGCTTCAAGCCATGATCCCAGGTTAAGGTGCATACTGCTCAAGTCCGGCACTCTTTGGGCAAAATCTTGCCGGCACAATCAAGCGCGCATGATCCTCTTTGAAATGCTCGCAGTCGGAAGCTAGAGAAATGCTAGTCAGCTACTCCCCACATGGGAACACATCGCAGCGATCAGCATACGCATACGTGGTACATCTAGGTTTACCACATCATCAGTATGCTATTCTTCTGACATTTTATTTGTTTATGCTTTGTTTCCAATTTCCTGTCACACTAGCTCTGTCATAACCTTCCTACCGGCCTACCGCATCGGCTCTCGGAGTCAGATCGAGGCGCGCCTCTCACCTGAAAGGAGGAGGGGGGGGGGGGGGAAAGGGTCAAAGGGAAGAGGGGGGGGGGGGGGCGAAGGAAGTAACAAAAGAGAAATGGAGGAAGAAAGAGAGCCAGCAGAGCCAGCAGAGCTCCAGGAGAAAATTGTCTTGTTCCCACATTGGCAATTCCAATTCCATGTCGCTGCTGATATTCCCAGCCTTCACAGCTTCATCCAGAGAACCGATCGCCGCTTCTCCTTTGTTCTTACTCATGATGCTGTGATCACCACACATGACGTTCAGAAGTGTTCTCAAGCTGTCCTGCTGGAAGAACTCGATCTTGAACTTGTCTCCCGGCGCCCCGCGGATTACCCACGACTTCTCCTGTGCAAGAAATGGACGTTGCTTCCCGCAGGCGCGCTTGTGTGTGGCCCTTGCGCTTGCCCTTGCATGGCCCTTGGCACACAGCCTCGTTTAATCGGGGGGGTGGGGGGGTCCTTGGCCGCTGTCTTGGGCCCTTGGACCTGCGCCACCTGTGGAGTTGAGATGCAGCAAAAGGCGGCAAAGAATACCTGTTCATGTACTGTGCACATGCTTGCATGCTTGGCGTTGGCCTTTGACGTGCAGTTCGGGCGGTCAGGGCAGTACACCTTGCTTAGGCCACATGGTGGAGTCCGGTGAGCCTAGCTTTTTACCTATGCAATGCAGTTCGGCAATGGCAATGTCAAAAGCAAGGCAGTGACTTTTTCATCATCGTTGTCCGCGATAATCTGAAAGTGCTCCTGATTGCAATGATGACACTTTGCATTTCCATCAGACATGATCAGACGCAAGGGCGTAAGACGTAACAAAAACACATGGATAGGATGCTGAGGATGCTGTTGTCTTGTCTGGGAGCGATGCAGATCCGGTGCTGCCGACTGTGATCTCACCGACCCACAGCCCCAAAATGGAATCCGACCTACATGAGCTTGAAATGTACCCTGCCGGTTGAGCGCGCGATTCGCTATCCACCATGCCACAAAGACCCTGCCTATCCATCGCTTCAGCTTCCCAGTTGTTGAACCTTGCTCAAACATCTCTCTGTCCACAACATGTGCTTTCTGTAGATCTCTGATGAGCTCTGACAATTCTGAGGTTTCCACGTGCCCTGCAAAGAAAAGTCGTCGCCCCAGTCGACGAGTTCCTGGGACGCAGAGTTCTGCGTCGTAAGTTTTGAAGTCGAGTGATTTTGATTGCACTTTGCAGCCCCCCCCCCCCCCCGCCCTGTTGCTCAAGTTTACTCAGCGCCACACCTCATCAACCTTTTCCCAGGTTGCAACACCATCCTCACAATAGAGTATGCAGTATGCAGTATGCTCTCTCGATCAGAGGGTGCTGCTCTCAAGAGTTGGCACCGTGCTTTGTCCCCTTTGCCTCGTCTAACTCTATCATGTATCGGTCGCCGATCTGCCCTGCTGGATCAAGCCTTCGGGAGCTACTTTTCGGTACTTTTCGGTAGTCTTGCATTACCTACCAGAAGGCATAGTCGATGATGCAGCTTGCCAAGGCGAGCACCCAGTCGTCTCCCAGTCCCGCACATCATCGCCGTTCATGGTGATCTCAGCCGGCGGCGCCTGAACATTCCATTTGAGAAAGGTCAGGGGTGTATCACAATACATGCATTAAGCCAACATGGGGCTCGCATGCAGTCCCCTTCCACTCTTCGCCAAGACAGTACTGTTGAGCGGTCAGGCCCTCTTTGGTAAGCAAGAACTAACCTGCTCGTGTTTGAAAGCATGGGCGAACTTTGCACAACAGCCAAAGCAAGTTTCAAAAAAGATGCACTGTCCCCCCACCAGATCTCAACCCTTGAAAACCTGACTCATTGTTTTTGCGATGCAACAATACTAATTGGCCACATCTCACGGAATCCCAGGAGACCCCACCTTCGCCAACTTTCGCTCGAAGAGCTTGATCGGATCAGAGACCATACATCCGCGAGAGTTCATGATGTTCTTGCCCCAGGCCTCAACATTGCAAGCATCCTGCGAAGCATACACCATGCTATACGATGCTACACGATGCTACACGATGCTACACGATGCTATACCATGCTAAAAACCATGGATACCATGCTACAACGCCACACACACACTCCCATGGCCATGCGCGGCCTCTGCATGCGCGTTTGTACCACCGAAGCCTCGGCAACATGCACACCAGTGCACACCATTGCACACCAACACATGTTCTCCACTGTCTTCGGTATCCTGCGGGCACAGAAGGCACGCCTGTAAACGCATTAAGGACCTAGTGGCTCAGCCCCAGACCCACCTGGCCCTCTTCCCCCAGACCCCGTGCGAAGCTCTTATAGTATTATAGCGTGAGCAGCATGAGCATAAGCGGTTGGGGGCCCAGGGCTCTGGGGAGCTTGCACAAGCGAGGAACACCCTTTCTTGCGTTTTCGGTGGCTCACCCAAATCCTTGACCCATGGTCCCCAGGAGCATCAGCAGGGCCTGGCACTGGAATCCTGGAATCGATCTTTCCGTGAGCCCTGCCCAGTTTACGACATGTGCCCTTGGAGCCTGCTGCCAAAGACGTCGCCGTGTGGCGTGCAAGGAGCACAATACAACAAAGGAAGTTGTGCTGCACAGAACTGCTGAATTACGCCATGAGGACCGAAAGAGGAGACACCGGAATAAGCCGCATCCTGCCAATCAATGGTCTCGCAAGCGGCTGCAGGCTGACGGCTGTCAACACAAAATGTCCCAGTCCTCTCGCATCGCGACAGCTTCGGAAAGAATCTGACACGGGAAGCCCTTAGTTCGATTCGAATCAACCGTTAGAATCCGGTAGAACAAGCCATATCTGCAAAAGGTTGAAACGTGGAGGTCAGTTCTGAATTCTCTCGAAAGCCAAGACCCCGACTTCCATGTCTAAGTGGGGATTTCTCACCTTGGACAGCTTTTTTCGGATGCTTTTCGGATGCTCCAATTTTTGCATTTTCACATTTGCAAGCCGACATGCGTGCGCCCCTCCCGCGGGCACCTTCAAGTGCACGTTTGCTGCACCCTCACAGTTCGACACCTGCACAAGTGCGCAGAGCCCATCTCTGACTCCAGATTAAGGATCATCTCAGCAGACATAGAATTTCAAGGCAGCCTGCAAGCAGCACTTGAAAAAGCCCGCCAAGCCCGCGCCTGAAAACACAGCGATGCTGTGAGATGATACGTGATGTGAGCATGAGGGAAATAAGCGAAGTGTCACGAAAAGCTTTGAGGCATCCAAGACACCACCCTCTCCGTGTGCAATGTTGGACTTCGACGACCTTTCCAGGCAGAAAACAGCTTCGGCTCCTCGCCGACCTCTCTCCAATGCGACCAGGTGGCGTGATCACCAGCGGCTCTTTCCTCGGAGTTGCGCTCATCACCTGCATCATCCGGTGAGATACCATGCCGAATGCAGGGCGAGTGCAAGCAGTTGACCGCACGCCTTTCGGAAGGAGCCGACTTCAATCGGATCACCCAGTGCCCTGAGCGCATCTGCAAAGTGAGCCTGCTTGTGTGTTAGGTAATCCTGAGGTCACCACGTGCCAGTCCCATGACACTCGATGCAATCAACTTCTGTTGGCGTCAGCTTGCACTCCCTGAGCACGGCCTTGATACACTTCTCCTGCAATCCCATACACTCCCACAGCTGCCCCCCGTACACGATTGCCCGGACTGGCGCTCTACTCGATCCTGAGCCGGCCCATTCGGAGCCGTCAAGCTTGCACTTCGGCCGTCCTGTCAACCCATCAAGCCAGGCACACTGGAAGCCATGACCAAGGAAGAGACAGTCATATGGCAAAGCAAACAATGCTGCTCTCCTGATTTGACTGGCTGCCTGCTAGACAGCAGATGGATCCGGTGGCTGGATCGAACTGCTTGAGCTTGAAGCACAAGGCTCCGCACCTCTGATCTTTAATCCACATGGTCATGGTCAAGGAGAGCAAGAGGACTGAGGCTGATAGACGGCGAGGAATGGTGCTAAGGTTCACGCAACTCACCTCTGGCATAACCATCGGCGGTGGAGTTGAACGTGAAGCACCTCTTCCAGTCAACGCAACCATGAGCATCAACATTGGCTTGGATAAACATGCCAAGCAAAACTTGATCCTTGCCTGCCATCATGGCTAAGCATACCGGCTGCACAGCAGCCAACAAATGGTCCCGGAAACAGCATCAGGTTCAAACCTTGAAAGTTACACGGTGTGCCATAGTGTACAAGAGTTGCAATAGTTTGTAGAATTCGTGTGCGCCGCACTGCACTCAGCAGACTGCCGTTCACAATGCTCGCTGGCATCGGCTCATAGTCCTTGAAGCGCAGGTGCAGCTTGGAGACGTGCGTGCACACCTTAGCATCTCCCAGTCTCTTTGCAAACAGCCTGCAAACACTTTCTGTTAAGCAGCGTTTCGGGGACTTGAGGTGACACAGAGGCACCGACCAGAGAAGACGAACATGCAGTGTCGATGGTCATGCTTGCTCCCTGTGGTATTGCAGAACGAGATCGGCATTGCTCCAACACACATCAGTCAATGTGCATTACTCGATCAAAGCACCTTCAAGTTCATGGAGTAGGAAAAGCGATTGGATGTAATGGCATTGGCTGCAGCAGCTGCACCATGGGCACCACCACCAGTGTCCAGCATGCCAGCAGCGCCCATGCCTGAGCAGCATACAACGACTTGAGAAGTGCTCTAAGACGAGTCCAATGGACGTGAGCAATAGAAGACTGTCTGCGCACGTGCATGTATTCAGAACGTGACCCCATCAAAGAAGCGAGAGCGCCAGCACCGTTTCAAAAAACACTGCACTAAAACAGATAAGCTTGGTGGCACATCCAGTCATCCTTGTCGATACCAACGAAGTGGCCGATGTGCTGCGCCTCCCGTTGCAAGCTCCTGACAGGCACCGACATGCACGAGCCGGAGAACCCTCACTGCAATTTCAAAGTGATGCTGGCCTCTTGTCGTAGCCACCCTCCAGAAGCGCCATGTAGGACACTTCCATCACCTGATCAAGTGCTCGTGCTTTAGGCTGTGGCTTCACAGTGCTTCACAATGCTTCAAAGGTGAAGAAGCACACTTGACCTGGCCTGGCGCTGGCAGGGATCCATGCCCTTGGCCTCCATTGGGGAAATCTCGAAGAACTTGCAGTCGAAGAGATCGACTCCTTCAATACCAAAGCAGCCATGTCTGGTGTAGGATCCGCCAAACTGCTGGTCAGGATCAAAGTACGGTCCATGATCCCAGCGAGTAACAGGGACTTCTGTGAGGCCGTCGCACGATGCTTTGGCGGATGCCTGCCAAAACTGGTGACGGCCATCGGCCTGCATGCCGTACCGGCAGTACATGGACTCGATGGTGCAGTGCTCACCGGGGGGAGGCGGAGGACCGGTTGATTGTCCTGTCAAGTTTTCCACGTTCCCCTGAATCTCATCCTCCAGACAATAGATGGCGGGCTCGGCCAACATGAAGCTTTGCAGAGCAAGAGCTTTGCCAGCAGGACTATAGCTATACTCCCAGCGGCTGTTGAGCATGACGAGCATTGTATGCGGGTCAGCAACAAGGTCAATCTCCTCATCGCCCTCCTTCATTGGCAGAAGCTTCAGGGACCCACCTGCCGGCCCGACAAACTGTAGCACCGTGAGCCTTCGCCGGTACATGAGATGCATGAAGCCTTCAGCATCACCATCGTCAATGTCAGCAGGCGGGTATTTGTCTTCTTCACCATCAGCAAGCGGCATGCGAAGGAGCATCTCGGTCCTGCTGTAGATTTCGAAGCCCAGGTTCTCCTCCGAGTACTTCGACAACATCGAGCAGAGCTGACCAAAGTTATTGTCCATAGTCTTCAGCGGAGAACGCTTGATGAAGTCAGGAGTATCCGAGGCTTCCAGGCCAACATGCACTGTTTTAGCATTTCCTTCGTCACCCAAGTAGCCTCTCTCAAACTCAATCGCAAGGCGACTGAACTGGTCATTGTCGTCCAGCTGCTGGGCCACGGAAACCATTTCCGCAGCATCTTCTTCCGCGACAATAAGCTTCACCAGCGCGTAGCCTTTTGTAGCTAGTGCTCTCGTGATCTCCTGCCCTGATATCTCAAAATCAGATTTAGGGCCCAAAACAAAATCATATTTTTGGACAGCCTCCGACTGCACTGTGCTGATGTTCTTCTGATCAATCGCAATCATTCGTCCAGAAAACGTTGCTGCGATCCATTTCTTGGCAGCCTTGTCATACTGCACCAGCTGCGCTGAAACGCCGTTCAAGTCGACCGCTTCAACGCCGTCCGCCGCTGCGCTGGGAACTGGCTCTGCTTTGCCAGGCAGGCCACTGATTTCTACCAACGTGCCTGGTATCAACGCCATGGCCAGCGGCAAGCGAAAGTACAAATTTGCTGACAAACGTTTACAAGGCTGTGGAGCCGGGAAATGTGTGTGGTGCTTGGGAAAAGGGTTGAATGGGACCTCTGTTTCTGCGAAGTTGATTTGAACGGCTGGTGACTTGGGCCCCTCCCGGCCTGAACCACAACGTTAGAGTCCGTTAGATGCACAATGGCGCGCACCATATGTATGCACTTGACCGGTGGTCACAAGACGTGGCTCAAACCAGCAAAGCAAGCACCACCGTTTTCTCACTTGATGGCTTGAGTACAACACCACCCATCCACGTGCCCACCGCACTCTGCACAGTGCTGCAGCGTGATGGTCTCTCCCACATTTGCTGGTGAAAACAGGCTGCTTCAAGCGCAGCAGGTCCGTCAACTTCGAGATTGACAGACTGTGCGGAGCAACCCTTTGGCAAGAGAGCCATGTCCGCTGCCAAACAACCGTTCTGGAGTGCTCAACTCGGTGGCGTATGCTACGTGTTGAAAAACACTGCCAACTGCGTGCTAACACTTCCGGCATCTTGCACATCAGGTCTACAGTTTTGCAGGCTTTGCATATGTTGCCGCGCGGTTGGGCTCAAAAAATTTGCTGAAGCGAAGCAGCAAGCTATGGCAAGCTACCCCTTGCCTGCCTTGCCTGCGCTTTCTCAGTGCCGTTCCGGCCACCAGAAACTGTGACTACCAGCTTGCCGTTCTTGCCGGTCTTGCCGGTCTTGCCGGTCTGAATCTCGCTGATTCTCTGATTTCTCTGTGTTCCTGCGTCTCAAACCTCCCGACCGCAACGCCTGAACCGCGGGTTGCAGCTCTGGTGTTTCGGCCAATTCGGGGAGCGGTGCCGTTCGGCCAACTGAGGCCTGACCCACCACAGGCGGAGTATAGGAAGTCACCAGGATGTCTCTACCGGAGGACCGTCGGAGGTCTTCCGCCGCGGCACGAAAGCCCAAGGCGTCACTGTCTGTCTGTACCTGCAGTAGTGACAGTAGTGATGTGGCGGCACTGCTGCAGCCGACCCGTCAGTAAAAAGCATGAGCCTCGCGTCTGGATCTGCGAGGACGGGGCTCGTTTGCAACCTCGGAAGCGCACTGTAGAATGACGTAGACACAGCAACAAAAGTGAGTTCGGCCCACCTCCGCACGAGGTCGCTTTCTGCTCGGCGCGCTGGCACCTAAAGCGAAGAACACACTCGGAATCAGGTTCTCGAAAGTGCAGATCAAAAGCCATTGAAGGGGGACCTGCTGCGACGGCTTGCGCTGGCCTGGGTTCATCCGGCCTGTGAGCAGATCTCTTCTGTTCTGAATGTGCTAAGCTTGCAACATGTGCATGCAACATACACACGTGCGTTTTTGCATGTCGTGCCTCTGCGCTGCACCACGCAGAATAATGTAATCGCTCTTCAATGCCCCAATGCTGACCTGTTTACATCCCGTCATCGCTTGGATCCCAGACTGCCAAGATGTTTGGATACGACGGCCTTCAGCGACTTTGCGATATTCACAAAGGTACGCAGCTGAAGAGTCCCTGCCCAGCCTTCGGCAAATCCCACAACCACCCCATAACCACTTCTCCATGCTACAAGCAAGCTCATCATTGCCTTTACTGGGGAAGATGACTGACACCTGCAAGCTGCGTGTGCACTCAGACCCAGAAGAATAGATGCCCAACAAGTAAGGCAGGAGCCAAGTTCGGCAGACATCCCAACATGTATTGGAAGTCCTGCTTGCTGATGGAGGACATCTCCCTGACAGAGAAAGTCTGCATAACACAAAAATAACACAAACATCTCTGAGACCGCTCAGATGCTGACAGAGTTGACAGATCCAAGTGCTGGATCTGCAGGGCGAATCGCCTTCCGTCGTGACTCGAGTCCCTGGGTGCCATGTTCAGTGCATGAGTACGTTCCGGCACGCCTTGTGCGCAGGCATTCTCGCAGCATTCTCAACTCACGAAGCTCTCCTCCCGGCAGAGCCTGAAGAAAACCAAAAGAACGAACTTGTATCAAAAGAGGTCTGCCTGCCACACAAACACAAAACCACAGAGAAGGACGGCACGCGCCCACGCTTTGACCTCGCCGTATGCCGACCGAAGTCGGCAATCCGAAAATTCGCCAGTTGGCCTGGAACCATCCAACAATCCAATCACACAGGACAGTCTCAAAGGTTTGCTGCAGTTCTTGGCCGCCGGCGCTTTGTTGCACCGGCAGACGCGCTGTAGGCGCGTCGGCTGGTTGTGGTCACTCTGACTAACTCGCAGAGGGTGAGCAGGCCAGGGCAAAAGACTCCCTCGTGCTTCTCCAGCCTGGCACTGAGCATACTCACAGGACCCCACACAGTCTGATGTCGATGCGTTCTCAAGACGAAAGGCGGCGGCACAAGAGTTCAAGAAGCCCCTTCTTGCGTGGAGCACTGAGAGATCCTGGCAGGCATCGGGAACACCTTTGAAGACTTCGAGTGACTTCGAGTCGCTGGACAAGCCTCTGTGCCCGTGCCCATAGGGCACCAAGGCCGAGCAACCTTGCAACTGATTTGCGAAAAGCCTTTCAACGATTCGAAGCATCGCGATAGACACGCTCACCTCTTTCACTCCTGCCCGCAATGGCTGGAACCTTGGTGTAACAACTTCAACTGTCACTCAAAAAGTTCCAAGCTCAGCCAAGCTCTCTCTCTCTCTCTCTTTCCATGGGAGCGCTCTCTGAGTGTTGGACACTGACGGCTTTGTCCTGGAAAATGGAGAGGAAAAACGAAAGACGGTCTCACTAAGGAAGAAGGAAAACTGACAAATCCTCAAATCTACGGGACATTCAAGCGATTTGAGACCAACTTGACAAAAAGGCCTTCAAAGCTGGAGCTCCACGGAGGTTTCCGCAGTGGCGCACAATGGCCTCTCACTATGCAATGATTGAGCGAACAAATAAAGCATGGTAGAAAACACACACCCACACACACACACACACTTCTCTCAAAAAACAGCGGTTCGGTGTTTCTCTAAGCATGTGCACTTTGAGCACAAAGCGAGAACATTGGCGCTCATGTGGGGGGTGCCTCTCGAATACAATTTTGCACCTCCATGTCATCCTGTACACGCTTGAGAAGTTGTTCTCGTTGCGGCTTTGACAATGACATGGCCCTGCAGAACCTCAGCTGCAGTGCCATTTTCCATCACCACTGGCGAAGCAGGAGGAAGAAGCGGGGGGAAGGCTCTGGGATGCCGGCTTTGCAAAGCCCTTCACCGGCACCTAAAGCCAAGGCGCAGGGCAGTAGCACAGTCTTGACCAGCAAGCAGCAGAAAGCCACACCAAGCACTCCACGGCGTAGCCTTCCGCCTGAGCGAGGGAGTAGCGACCACGCTCTTGTGTGTTAATATAACGGATAAGGACGAGTACAGACGAAGCTTTTGGAGCACACTGCGCAAATACGGAAGCGGAGAGCCCAGCCTGTCCCTCCCGCCCGTCGGTCTCTGCCTTCCAGGCCGCAGTCTTTGCTCTTGTACGGGTTGAGAATTTGTTCGCCGCAAGACGAGTTTGCACGGTTTTGAAAGGATTCCGATGGTTTTAATGCAAGCTCTTTTCTGGGCATAAAGTTTGTCAAGCAGGGGGGGGGGTTGGGGGTGCCCCCGCCCCAGTTGCATGCAAGACGGGTTCTGAATGGTGCAAAAAATTGTTTTTTATATTTGTTTGTTTTCTGTATTTCTTCTTTCGTTGTGCGCTTCCTTCTTTCGTCTCTACTTCGGTTCTTCCTTTCTTCTCCATGCGCCAGGGCATGGGTGCTAAGTAACACATTGTGAGAACTGGTGGGCTGTTGATGGGTTTGGCACGTTATGAGCTTCAACCAGAGCATTGACAATCGACCTCCTCGCCAATCGAGCTCCGGACGTCCTCCGCATGGCTACGCTTGTACTACAACTCCGGACGTCCTCCGCATGGTACGTTTGTAAAAATGCCAGATTCGCAGGATCCGAAAGTGCTGCCTGCCAATGCAATTTTCTCGACTCTTCAAGTTGAAGCCTTTTAGTTTTTACACGCTGCTTCGGGCATGAATGGTCCCGGCTTCGTCACGTCATGATGAGAGGCAGAACATGAACGAGAAACCCTAAGGGAAGGGTTTTGAACTTATTGCATCGTATTGCGTAGATCAAGCACGTGAGGTGCCGCAATCTGACATCGATGCGCCCGGTCGCCATAACACTACACGCCACGTGAGAGGTGCGAGGCTTCAAAAAGCGAATCCCCTATGTCACGCACCTCACGAGCATGTTTAGAAAGTGCCCGAAATCAGGATTTTGACTCCTGTCATACTTTCACAGCTTGCGCCCTTTGTAAGAATGTGAAGGCGCCAGAGACACGCATGATGATGTGGGAATCGTAAACAGAAACTTGTGGGGGACCGCAGGAACGAAAGCTAGTGCAATTGTTGGAGAAGCCACTCAGGAGAACAGCATTGACCGAACAGGCAAGTGTGAGACCTGCCGTTGACTAACCAGTGCACGGCCGGTCTACTCCTCGCCCATCACCCGTATCCCACCCCCAGAGCAAGAATCCCTTGCCAGAGCATCCCCCAGAGAACCCTGGAGCAAAAAATCCGTCGAGTGCCCAGCCGCAAGACCATCCCAGAGAATGCCTGGAGTGCCCAACTTCAGAGAATGCCAGGACCACAGAATCCTGGAGTGCTCAGCCACGAGTGCAAAATTCAGAGCACTTCTGGAATGCCCAACCCCAAAGTATCCCCAAAGAGTTTTTGGAGTGCCCAACCCAGAGTATGCCCGGAAAATACCTGGAGTGTCCAGGCTTAAGAGCATCCCGCAAAACCCTGCAGCGCCCAACCCCAGAGTGCAGAGCATCACCAGAGAATCCCCGGAGTGCCCAGCCTGGAGTGCCCAACCCCACAGTGTCCCCAGAAATTCCCTGGGTTGCCCCAGAGAAGCACCTGGAGTGCAACCCAGAGTACCCCCAAAGAATCTATCTGCACAGAATCCCTGGAGTGCCCAACAGCACTGTCCCCAGAGTCCCAGAGAATCGCCTGAGCAATAAACCCACTCGTATATGGTTTCGACGCTGCTGTTCAAAAAGTACTTACCTCACCCGTGCCTGTGGAGATGTGGTAACATCGTTTCGACGCTGTCTTGAAAATTTTCGCAGCAGATGTTCGACCCTGAGCCTTCGGGTGCGCTTAGCCCAAGCGCCCCCTAAGACTGAGCATCAATTTTCGAGCCGACAAGGTACCGTTGGGGACCTCAAAAAGGTAGGGCTCGGCCACCGAGTTCCGGTGGGGTTTAGCCCCAATTTGCACGCACCCCAGCTGGGCCCTATCCCCACACCCCTGTTGTTCAACCTTGCGGTTGGTAAGAAACTCGGGTAATTAGCTCCCACGGGCCAGCTTTCGTGACTTTTCACAACTGCTCGGCTGCGAAGACAAAGCGACCGTCTGTGATGCCAACACAAGAAGCAGTGAACAGTGGTCACACGCGGTCACACCCGCAGAGCCTGCGGGACTTCAGGAGCTGCCGGTGCCGCCGGGGCTTCCGGTGCTTCCGATGCTTCATCGGCCGGCGGCGCCGGCAGCGCTAGAGGAGCCGTTCTTGGCAGAATCCGGAGGAAAACGGAAGGTACATGAAGGCATGAAAAGAACAAAGGTATCAATCACAAACTCTCTGCTCTCAAGCAGAAAATCATGCAGAAACACGGTAATTGGGAAGCCGACTGCCGCTGGCGTGCTGCCTCCTGCTCCAAATAAAGTATGTACACCGTCACTCTAAACTCCAATCGTTCCTCTCGCCGCAGGTGCTCTAGGACGGCCAAGACCTCCTGCAACATGGCGGCCTGGCACAGCTGGCAAGGCACTCTGCGGTCAGGTGCGCATTCGTGGGCACGCGCCTGTCTGGCTTTCTGAAGATCCCTCTGCCTGCACAGAAAGCAGCTCACTGCTGCTTTCAAGACGCTGCGCTAGTTGCACAAGGCACTTCTTTTCGTAAGTCTTGGCATCCCGAATCTCTTTATCGATGTCTTGCGACCTGGGTCAAGGGGAAAGAGCTTAATGACATAATTGCTTCGACGCATATCAGCGCATCGGTGTATGTGACGCGAGACGCAAGCAAGCACACTACTTTCATTGCCACTTTTGCCTGAACCGATCTAGATGCATCTGACGTATGGTTTGAACCAGCACCTATCATACCTGTCATACCTTCACTGCTCTACAATACGAAAAGCCCACCTGCAAACTACGACCGTCTCATCAACAGATCCGATGGTTCCTTGCTTGGCTGCTGCATCGCAGAATCAGCCCCTGGCCCACCCTGAACTTGAAACTAAAAAGCAGGTAGGACTGGTGGCTTGAGACTCACTGGGTGGGCAAAAGTGTTCCTCTCCGCAGCAAAGCCCTTTGCGAGGCCCACCTCCAGACTTTTCAATCGCTTCACATGCGTCTGGCACGCTCAGCACAGGTAAAAACAATTTGTTGTGTCTGCACGCGCATCACCCATTGATCTCATTGCAGCCAAGACTAACGACGACAACAGTGAGAGTGATGGGGTGATGGTGATGATGCTGATGATGCTGCCGCTTACGACGACGACGACGACGAGGACGACGACGACGACGACGACGACGACGACGACGACGACGACGATGGATAAGTCCCCGCCCAAACCGAAACGCTGTCGAAGCCCCTGTAAGTCCCTGGATAGCGTGCATGTTGCCCATGCCCTGTGGAGATACTTTCCGTTGCGTCTTTGGCATGTGGCATGGCCACACAGCCCACGAACCCTCCGCTCATGTTCATCTTGGAATGATACGGCTTTGCCCTGCCTGCAAAAGAAGATGCTCTCTGCCAGCACTGCGTAGTAAGCTGCGATGTTTTTTGCATTGTTCCACATGTTGGTTCTTGTTTTTCCGTCGTCCTCACTTCAGTTGCCCCATCCTGGCGCAGGCGCTGCTGCCTAAAGAGCCGTATCCGCACCCTATAGCCTCAGAAATCTGCAGCCCAACTTCCGGCTGCTTCCTCAACAATGCGCTGCTTGTTAAATAAAATGCTTCTGACAAAGAGTGTCACTGCTTCAGGTGCATCGCCCGGGCTGTGCACCGCCCGGCGACTCATGGATGTTGATGGGACACTGCTGCCGTGCGCCGAGGACGGTACGATCCGCGCATGTCCCGAAGCTGCTGCACTCTGTTCCGCAGCTGCAAAGCCTGCAACAGCAAAAACCAATGATGTATGAAATGTAGGCTTTTGGGGGGGCCACGAAGACATGCCAGGGACGCAGTCTCGAGGCGATGAGTGAAAGGACCGTTGATCACTTTCTTCGCCTGGCACAGAGGGAGGCAACAAAAGCTGCGTCGCTGCGTCAGCCACAGCCTTGACATGCCTTGACAGTATGATGCCCGCTGAGATGTCCGCAAGATGTCCGTCCGGCCTCCCTGATGCTCACCCGGAAGCTCAGAACCAGCTTCAATTCCGGATCGGCCTCGTAGGTTTCTTCGAGTGCTTCCTTAGCATTGCTGGGGGGGCCCAGACGGCTCACATGCAAAGGAGAGTGTCTCTTTCAGAGATCATAGTTGCTATGACCGAAAGCCTCCTCTGAAGTCACATCGGTAGGTAGCTGATCTCAAAAGACATGGATATAAGATTTCGGAGGGCATCCGCTCTGAGGGGACTCAGACGCCCGTAGCAGCCGAAGGAAAGCATGAAGCGCAACCAAGTCGCTCTGAAGGCTTCCCGTTCCGAAGCAGCCGATCTTGCTTTTTCATCTACCTGACAACAAGCGGATGGTGGTGAAGCTGAAAGGCACTGAAAAGCCTCACAAACTTTCTGCGGCCTTCCGGCGCAGCTCTACCTGCGAAAGATGTCAGAGCACAATCATGATGGACAAGATGGACAGAATGGACATGATGGGCATGGACTGCGCATGTGCAACAACATGTCCATGGCCGTGAAGAATTCGGGCACTCTTGGTAAGCTTCAGGCGAGGGCCACATGCCAATCGTGCGCTCTTTCAATGTCGTGAACGTTGAAGATTGCGCACTGGACTTTGCGTATAGACAGGCCTCTCAGTGTTGCACAGTGTTGCTACAGGATGCCCCGAACACCTGCGGATGTAAACGAAGTTGACGGAGCACAGGAGTCTGAGCAACGGGCTGACCTCCCAACTGCCTGCTGGCACTTGTCATGGGATCTCCGCACGTATCCGAACATTGCAACTTGCATCCCACCTCGCTTGGTCTGGTAGAGGCCTCGAACGGCGGGGCCATCAGCATTGACGGCGGCAGACCTTGGAAGCGATGTGAGCAGAAGACAAATTAGAACACCTCACAAACTTGGCCGAGCAACTCTTTGGCTGCTTGACCACGCAGATTCGGCGCTTCCCTTGAGATTCCATGCTCCATCGCAGTTCGAGCGAAAATTGAGGTTGCAATGAAACACATCCAACAAGCCGGGCAGCCGTGATCTGTGCAGCTGCCTCCGGCAACATTCCAGGACCTGCGGCATCCACTCAGCGGTTCGCTTACGTGCGGCATGCGTTCTTCTCTCTTATCTCTGTGCCTTTCAGCGCGAAAAAGGCAAGTTTTTCTTTCTCGCGACATGTTCCGAAACTCCTTGGCCGGTCGAGGTTCTGTGGCTTTGGAGTTCGCCACCCCCCCCGGCCTCAAATTTTGCAGTTCTACGTTTGCTTTGCTCCCCTTCCCTCCTCCCCAATCATTCAAGCTATGTGTTGCACTTTTTCCTATCAGTTCACTGTTGAGACCTCCAAAGCCCAAAACGATGCCAAAACGCTGGGTTTCTGCAACTACAGCCGATGTGCACCACGCGAAGGCGCTTCGGACGCTCTTGAACGCTCCGATTCGTGCGCTTTCGTGCGCTTTCGAACACAAAGCGCACGATGTCGGGTAAACTCCTGAGGAAAAAGGCCTTGCGAGGATGAGGCATGTTGGGGGGGGCGGCATTCTCGTGACCCTCATCACTTTTGGACTTGGGCCTCATGTTCGTGGCTCCGACGTGCTGACAGCTACGAAGATGAGGCAAGTGAGGTGCGTCCTCGTAACTGCGTCATTTTCTTTCTTCCTCTCCTCCTCCCTTCCTTCCTTCTTCCTTTTTCCCTCTTTCTCTCATACGTCCTGTATTTCGACATGTTTTGTTCTTTCATTCTTTCTTTCTTTACTTGTTTATTTCTTTATTTCCTTCTTTAAATATTTCCTTTTTTATTTGTTTATTCATTTGTTAGTTCTTTGTTTCTTTCGGTTTTGTGTATGTATTTATTTCGCTTGGCGTTGATTTCGTTATTTCTTTCTTGTTTTTTCTCATTTCGTTATTTGGCTTTCATTCGTTTTTGATTCTCTTTGTATCTATGTATTCATTTGTTTTTGAATTCATTTGTTTTGTTTTTCCCTTTTCTTGTTGTTGTTGTTGCTGCTATGTCTTTTGTTATGTTTGTTGGTCTTTCGTTCTTTCCTTATGTATTTCTGTATTTCTTTCTTTATGTATTTCTTTATTGCTTTCTGCATTGATGTCTTTCCTTCGTTCGTTCGTTCGTCTTTGTTTCGGTCCTTCCTTCCCTATCCCATCCTTCCCTTTCCTTTCCTTTCCCTTCCCTTCCTTTCCCTTCCTTTCCTTTCCTTTCTTCCTTTCCTTGCCGTTCCTTTCTTTCCTTCCTTTCCGTTCCTTTCCCTTCGCTTCCTTCTTTCTTTCAGTCCTCTTCTTCCTCGATCCCAGCCCCAGGCTCTTCTCTCTTCGAGAAAGAAGAGGTTTGCCTAGTGAAACATAGAGACATATGGAGAAAATAGAGGTTTAGAGGATTGCCTCCTAAAATAAAAAAAATAAAGGATTTCCAAGCACCCCCTCAACAGAACACAAAAGGCGAAAAACATCGGGCCCTCCCCATACCCTACCTCATGTCAGCGTACAGAAATCTCCTGGCAGCCTCAAGGCTCGCCAAAATCCCAGCGCTCTTGTGCTCGTTTATTGGGCTTGCTGCTCACAGCCAGATCACAAGTCGCACACCAGCTGTGACCGAACATCTCCAAGCCTCTGCAGTATGCAGCTCCAGCGCAGCTGCCCATGCAGACTCTGGAAGATCCATCATGCCAACGACTGTCCTGAGCGCTGTGCATCGCTCAGAAAAGCCTTCGGCAAAAGGTTTCGGGAAGGCAGTCCTGGCAGCCTCCTGCCAAGGTGTGTCACCCATCCTGAGCGTTGCTGGAGCATTACAGCACTGACACAACAACATACAACAACTGCAACTCCGCCAAGTGAAAGGCAAGGCGAGCGGTTGCCCCGTTGAGGCTGATGGTGCACCGGAGCCTGAAGCTTCAATACCACGGCAGCATTGGCAAGGAATCAAGATCAACAAGGCAGCAGACATGCAGTCAGAGCCTGGCCTGTGGCCGAAGCTGTCGGCGTGAACGTCGGCTCATCGGCGTCTGCTTAGGATGGACTCTCGAATCTAAGAATCTAACTCTCAAATCAAGACGTACTGTGCGCCTTGTCCTGCGGCTCTCAACTCAGCATCGTATTCTGCACGTAGCCTCTGATCACTCAGCACCTCAAAGGCTCTGTGCATCTCTGTGCGTCACTTTGGCTGATTTCGGCTGCCAAAAAACGATCTGCAATAAGCTGGTCAAACTTAAATGCATGAAGCGTATCAAATGCATAGCGAACGGAATTCGAAGTTCACCGTACAGCCACTGCGCTGTGCCTCGAAGGCCTGGCGAACCCGGACGTAGGCATCGTGAGTACCGCCCTGGGGGCAGACAGCCGCTTCTGCACAGCTATGCATCTCCATATCTATCAATCTATGTATATACATATATGTATGAAGATATATATATATATGAAGATATCCGGCAGGCGGGTTTGTTTTTGTTCCGTCAGCTTTTGGTCAGCACGTTTGTTGGTAACGTGCGCGGCCAGCAAAAAAGGGGGGCGCGCTCTTCTTTTGCTCGGCACACAGCTGGTCGAGCAAAAACACAATGCAGGGATCATTCGAGGCGCTCTTGTTGTTCGGCACACGGTTGGCCGAGCAAAAAAACACGGGGCACGCCCGGAACGTATGGCGACCAGCGGGTTGTTCAACACTCCCTCAACAGATATTTATACTGGGTCGGTCGATCAGGGTCGGGCCCGGGTGGCCATTCAAAACAGTCGTGCCACCCCTACGCTCCACCAGCACCACCACCCCCGCACCACCCCAATCTGCATGGCTCAGGGGGCCTGGCTGCCCTGTAACCTTGCGAGCCTAAATATTGAGCTTGCGTTGTGGTCGGAATTGACTCCCCGTTTCTCAATGTCAACGAGGGCGGGGGTTTAGCACACCTTGATCAAACAGCTCCGTTTTTCACGTGTTCAACGTCATGCCGTAGCGGGTGGCCTCTTTTGCCAGCACAGGCAGCATACTTTCCAATTGCATTGTTGTCAATCCTAGAAGACATGTATGTATCGTCCGCATACTCCACGTCATACGTAGGATACCGCACAGACCATGTGATAGTAGGAACGAACGCCTTAGTTCAGCAGCCCGCCCTCCACGTCAGTCATCATGATGGATAGTGAAAACATACCGGCCAAGCGGACACCCTTAGCGAATGCCTGCGAACACCTCACCTTGGCTACACCATTAACCTCGAATGTGGTCCACCAAAGCTGGTATGTCCGAAGAATCTCCGAACCTTTTCAATGCTATCTTGAGTACGTGTGATCAAACGCCCCCCCCCACCCCCACCCCCAAGGGGGACGTGGGGGCAGCGACGCGGCACATTTTTGCCTGGGCGGGCAAATACAATGGTCTTTGCAAGTCCTCTTCATGGGCTGATGTTCTTGACAAAGCAAGCTTGCGCGGGCTAAAACAAACGAAGAAGCGGCGTGGGTTGAGGGCACAGCCCCCACCCCCCCCACCCCCACCCCCACAATTTGCAAACTCAATGCTTGCATGATGGGTTTGGAAAGAATTCGCATGTTTGTTTAAGGTCTTGAATGCAAAGTCTCGTCGTGGCATGATCTTCCTTACAAAGCAAGTTCGTCCTGCTGTGGCACATATTTTTTGTTCGCAAAGCGCCCGGTCACTCACTCATCCCGCTCACTGCGTCTAGTCCAGGGGCGCGTGTTTTTTTGTTCGTCCCGCCACGCAGCTTGCCCAGCCAAAGCAAAGAAACACATATCCGGGGCACGCTTTTGGTTCTGCACGCGGCTGGCTCAGCAAAAATGGACAAACAAATAGGGCTGGCCGAGCAACAAACACACGTTCCGCATATATCCCCATGCCCTGCTGCGGGCCTTGTCAGGGTGAGTTTGGAGCGCTTTCTGCCGGTATGCTGTACAGACGGCACGGTGGCTCGCTGACGGACCCAGTCCAAGCTCACCTCAGCTTCGTAGCTACGTGCCCTGTGAGCTGTTTTGTGGTGAACCAAATCTGGACCGCTGTAAGCTCGACACTGTAGTACGTCATCTGTCACAACGTGAAGTGAAAGCCTGAGGTGTGTGAGTCAGTATGTTTTCTGGTGGCCTGCGCGATGCTGATACATGCTGAGGCGGCGACCCCTGTCATGGACATCGAGCTGCTGCGCCCCGTTTCCCCATGGCTCTCTGTCAGCTGCGGATGCATCCTCATCAGACATGTGGATGTGGCCCTAACATGCCCTAACAAGCAAAGGCTCCAGAGCAGACCACAAGACCGGACTTGTGACTTGTAACTCCCAGGCGCCACTCACTCAGATTCTGCTGTACACATCTGGATCCTCTGGGAACAGTGACCATTCTGTAGCGGCCCAACAAGCTGCCATGGCGCTGTGAAACTGCAACTCGCACGGTGTGAACCAGACAGAAAACATTTTGCAGTCTCATGGAGCCTTCCTCTCTGCACACAACTCGGAATATTGCGAAGATGCACGCGGTTTTGGGAATTCTGCACTCTGCACTGGTTCTACACCATGTCAAGTACCATCTTGGCGGAGAGCTCCAAGCTGCAGGTCAGGAAGGCATGGCCTGAGCTCACAAATCTCACAATTTGAACAGAAGGCTCTTTGGACTTAAGGATTGAGCTGGGGCAGCTAAGGTCTACACATCTTGACCGTCTGAGGCGTCTCTTGGCGCTGCCCAAGCCCCTTCGGACAGGCCTCAAGAGGGCACCTCATCGTGAACGACAACATCAGGAGGACAGAAGCATCTGGTGGGAGAAAATGTGCGAGTGCGATCTTGTAACGTTCAAAAAAAGCTGGACTCTTTGTGCCTTCTTTCTTTCATGTGTCTTCCTTCCCTTCCTTTTCCTTCCCTTCCTTTTCCTTCCTTTCCTTTTCCTTCCTTTCCTTTTCCTTCCCTTCCTTTTCCTTCCCTTCCTTCTCCTTCCCTTCCTTTTCCTTCCCTTCCTTTTCCTTCCCTTCCTTTTCCTTCCCTTCCTTTTCCTTCCCTTCCTTTTCCTTCCCTTCCTTTTCCTTCCCTTCCCTTCCTTCACCTCCTTCCCTTCCGTCCCCTGCTTCCCCTCCTTCCCCTCCTTCCCCTCCTTCCCCTCCTTCGCTTCCTTCCCTTCCTTCCCTTCCTTCCCTGCCCTCTCTTCCTTCCTTTCCTTCCCTTCCCGCCCTTCCTTCCTTCCCTTCTTTCCTTCCTTCTTGTATTCCCCACCGTCGGTCTGTTAAATTTTAAGTTAACCACGCTCCTCGCCTCCTCGCCTCTTCGCCTCCTCCCCTCCTCGCCTCCTCCCTCGCCTCCTCCCTCGTCTCCTCCCTCGCCTCCTCCTCCTCCTCCTCCTCCTCCTCCTCCTCCTCCTCCTCCTCCTCCTCCTCCTCCTCCTCCTCGTCGCCTCCTCGCACGCCAAAGCCCGCAGAAAATCCCGCCGAGTATCACACACGCGCTCTCACTTTCTCTCTCTCTCTCTCTCTCTTGCTGGCTTGCTTGCTTGCTCGCTCGCTTGCTTGCTTGCTTGCTGTGCATATCTCTCTCTCTGCACGCTTAACCACCCCCAAAAGAGGCCGCCCCCAGGGGCGCGCGACGTCCAAAGTTCGGCTTCCCCACCTGCCCCCACCTCTTTTTGTTCTCTCTCTCTCTCTCTCTCTTTCTTTCTTTCTTTCTTTCTTTTGGGCATGGGGGAAAACCCCCGCGCTCTCTCTCTCTCTCTCATGCAACGCTTGTGACACTCTTTCGTTTCCCCTCGAGGCAAGGACTGTGACGCACATAGTGCACACCGAGGATGCCGCGCGTTCGTACACGGTGAACCACGATCGAACACGTTGAAACACGGCAAAACATCCCCGCACCGCTCCAGCAAGCGGAGCTCCCCAAAATTCCAACAATCAAACACAGGCAACCAAAGATTTCTAATGCGGGACAGTGGAGGCGAAACCCAAAACTGCCGCAAAGCTCCACTGCCGAACCAAACTGCAGTGCTGGACGTGGCAGGATCAGATGTGTTCAGAAGGTTCATCTGCCGACAAAAACGTGAGGGCCCGTGAGGGCGGAGCTCTCCGGGCTCTCCGGGCTCTCCGGGCTCTGAATCACAGCGAGGTCCTCAAAGCGCAGCTTACGGAAGACTTGAAGAAGGGCTAGAACGGACTCGTTCTGGTTCATTGCTGCTCATTGCCCACATCTGCTACACCGCAAGAAACTTCGAGCGCAGGACGTGGTGAAAGGCTGGCTGTGCAATTGCTTGCCGAAGCACTCGATGGCGAATCTGCTGCGCTGGAGTGTACTGAGGGAACAGCAGAGGACTTACATGACAAGGGCGCTTGTACAGGGTCCGGACGTCCGCTGCTCCAACAAGTTGAGGCCCATGTTGCTGTGGCACACCATAGCACACCATAGCACACCATAGCACACCATAGCACACCATAGCACACCCCTTGGCACAATCTTCAGACGCAGCCACACCCCATCGAAGTTGCATCCTCCAAGTTTCAATCCCGCCCTTTCGAATAGGCTGCATGTGCTGCGCACAAGGGTACAAAGAATTTCTTGGGGCCAACAGGCAGTCCCTTTCCTTCCTGAGCGTCGAAAAAACCTGTTTGAGACTCTCTCCTCATCGAAATGTTCGTACTCTTTGCATTCCCCCGAGCAGCTATGCAAATATGAGGGATTGGAAAAGTCGCCAATACCCACCAGGGCTGGACACACAAGCTCAGCTGATGAGCGTCCGGAACATTCCACCTGCTTTGGCTCACGTCTCACATGAAGTAGTCAGCTGTGGTGCCACGCCCCAAGTCCACAAGTTCCAAGGCACTCCCCTTCATCTGTATACCAGGTACCAAGAAGATGCATTTCGGCAATCTGAACTGTACCAACTTTTCCAACTACAAGCTGACAGCTTTCTTATGCCCACACCTTCCACGGGCAGATTTATGGGCGTCATGCGGGAGGTGGCCATGACCCCTCGATCATGGAGCTAACCCTACATGTGTGCTTTGGCAGCATTCAACTTGCCACACACAATACGCACTCTGCGCCCTACGCAATTTGGATCAGGAACAACAAAAACAACCGCCACCTACCCCACCCCGATTTCTTGCGGTAGGTCCGAGGGTTGCATGGTTGCCCAAGCAGAGACTTGGGTCGTCTATCCCTACTGACGCCCTATTGACCCGCATGTTTTGCTATGTCTATGTTTTTCTATGACCACCCTCTGGACCTTTCACGGGATTCCATAGACTCATGGAACCACTACAAACCCCAAACGAACCTCCGCCCCCATCTCTCATGAACACAAACAGCCGCATTCGGCCCTCTTCACCTGCTAGCGCCTGAGACATCCAGCTGACGTGCAAGCCAAGCCGTGGCGGGACGCGATAGCGTTAATATAATGTCAAAAGGCCAACGCTCCAGAGGAGGCTTCCGGGACAGGCGAAGAATTCCAGCTACTTGTAGAGATGCGCCGGAGGACAATGCGACACGAAAAAACCACGTGAACAAGGAAGGGCAAGATAGGGCAAGCATTGCAAAAGTCGGACCTTCCACCTGGAGGCTCTCCCGAGGCTGCTCAGAGCAAAGCCTCACTGTTGCATGTGTTTACTGTGGTACGGAACCGCTAGTGCCGCTAGTGATGTTAGCCAAGCTCGCTTTGGAAAGATCCTCGCACACAGATCACACAGTCTGGCACGGTGCACCGGTGGTGCGGAGCATCTTTGCAAGGCCCGGGCTTCGGCTCGGTCTCTGGCTCCGCATCCTTCGCCTGAGAAACGAGAATTGACGAGAGTGGCACAAAAATGACGTTAAGAATGACGTTAAGAATGATGGAGGGCACTTCTCCTACGGTCCAAGACGGTCTCTCACGGAATGGGGCCTCTGCCAGCCTCTCGATGCGACTCCTGGCCTGAGGCTTCGAGAATGCGGATAAAGTGATGGAAAGCGGTGACAAGCGGCAAATTCAGTGGGCGTTTCGAGGATTCCAGCATCAACCTGGATGACCTGCCTTCGCCAGCTTCTCGCGCATCTGGGAGTTGGGGCTCCGCGGTGGCCTCACGCCCTCCTTCGGTTGCTCCTCGAAACTTCTCTTCGGGGATGACGCCACCTCACTTTTGCCACGCATCCTTTCCTCAAAAGCCTTTGCTTTTCGCCACACGGCACTGGCACTAGGCTCTTTGTCATCTGGCACAGGTGCTGCGGGCTGCTTTGCAGGCTGATGTTGTTCCTGCTGTTCTGTCTGTTCTTCAGCGGCTGCCCGCGCGCAGGAAAGCTGCAACTTCAGTCGGGCCATTTCCGCTTGGAGATCTTGGAGGGTGTGGATGTCAACATCACGCTGGGTCTCCAAGACCTTCACTCTTGACTCTGCGCGGCGGCGCTCCGCTTCAATTCCGTTGCGCTCTCTCAGCACACGTTCCAGTCGGCCGGCCTGCATAGTGTCGTGGAGCCAAAGATACTAGAACACACTTGCTAGCTCACAAACTGCAGATGGCGACAGTAACTACCAAAGAAGGTTCGCACGGCCATGAGACACTCCGGGCCAACCTGGACCTCGTTTTGCGCCTTCTGACTCCTGGCTTCTCTGCCTAACCTTGCAGCGGCACGCAGATCACGACAATGCCAGCGCCACGGCCGCGCAGCCGAGGGATGACTGAGGCCCTCTCTCAAGCAAGCGCTCGCGAGCGGCTACCAGCTGACAGCGAGTCTCTTGCGCCTGTTGCCAGGGCTTTCCAAAAAAAGACATCGGAACATACTGCAAGGTACCAAAAACAAGGGCCTCAATTTGGAGGTCCCCGCATCTCCTTTGAAGGTGAAGTGATAGCGGATTGCTTAGCAAGTTCCCAACAAGCTTCATGCATCTGACTAGGCCGAACCACGATTTGCAAGAGTCTTGCATGGGCACGGTCCACGACGCTTAGGGGCTTTGCCACACAAACAAAAACAAAAAAAGCAATCTCCGAAACCCCAAGGGAACAATCAACCGAAACAGTCAGTGAGCAAGCGCGCCGAGCAAGAAACCTCATACACCCCGACAGTGCACTGCGGCCCAGTCGCTTCTGCTCAGCACGCAAATCAGTAAGAACCTGCACGGGAAACATGCTGAATCCAGCCACATGATTCGCTTGAACGTACAATCAGGCTTCAGCACTGCAACAGGCAATCATCACCCACCCCCGCAACCCCAACAACCCCCCCCTTCCGCAAACCTCTTCCGCATCTCGCGACATCTTCTCACACCTGGCCAATGTTCTGGTCCCCTAGTGTTCCCTTATGTTTCTCAAGTACAGCCGTCCGGCGGCTACATCTGATCCAGACCAGGAAGTGTTGCCATCTTTCGAATATCCGACAAGTCATTCTCAATGGAGTTGCGTTCTGACGGGTGCCAAGTTCCCCTGGCCTGCCGCACACTCCTTCCCACTTTGTCCTGCAAAGGCATCCAATGGCATCCAGCTATAGAGCATGATTGTCTCCTGCGACTTCAGTCTAGTTTTATCTGGTCGTTGAGGCTGGGACGTCTGACACTCACTGTGCACCAGTGAAGGCGAGGCCTTTGACAGGTGCAGGACATGGTTGGGAAACTCCATGAAACTCCCACACACAGTCAACTTATAGTAAAAAAATATCACAGTGGCATCACAACGGCCTTCTGGCTTGGCCCAGGCCTGCTACAGCAATTGCACTGAACTAGCATTCATTCATTGCTTTCAAAAGTATGTGATTCGCCTGTGGCACATGGTCCAGGCAAGGAGAGCAGCTTGCCTAGCAGATGGCAGATGCGTTTAACGGCAACACCGGCAAGAGCAATGAGGCCCTGCCGATCTCTCGATCTCTGCGGGGTCAAAATGGAGCAGTGTGCATTTTGGCAATTTTATCCGCATTCAGGCTTCGATCTGCAACATTTGCTGCCAAGATCGCTGAATGGCTACGCAAGTGACACACATGCATGCGTGATGTTTGCGTTGAACTCCACGCGCATGCATATTCGAGGCATTGAAAATGAGGTGGTTACCACCATGCCACCGAGTGGCTGGGAACTCCGCATGTTTGGATGAAACTAAAAAGATGTTCAGCTGGAGGCTGAGAAAGCTGATTTTTAGAAAACGATGACTTATAAGCTTGTCCGGTCAGTTGCTCGTTGTCAGAACATGGAGGTCTATTCGTGTCCACTCTGGAGCAGTCGTGGCTTCAAGCATGTTCTGCTACGACGACTTGCATAGGAATAGGAAAGCTTCTTCTTGTTGTTCCACGTTCAACTACCCTTAGCCAGCTGGATCTCCTCGGCAATCAGCTGTTCGCATGCCGAAACAACCTTGGGATTGAACTCAGCATGAAGTCAGCTTAAAAGCTGAACATGTCAGGAGCGTCTCGTGCTCTCGGTGAGAGACTGCCTGAACCATGTCTGCTTCCGATTGACCTAGGCAACAGAAGCTTCGAACTTCATCATCGTACCACCACGAGAACGACGAGAACATGCACAAGAGCCAGACCCATTTTGGCAGCTGCCTTCATCTTTAGCACCCCTTGACTCTCAATCTCAGTGGACACATCCTCGAAGTGCCTGTCCTCTGCATCGCCATCACGAACTTACAGGCTACAGATACAGCACAGATGCTTCAGCAGATGCTTCAGTATCTTGCTGCTACGTTGACACAGTGAGAGGTTCTGCCTCCGCATCTTCTACAAGGGCCAGCTTCAGTTGCAGCGTCACCTTCGTTGAACTTGTAAATTTGGCTCATTCGGATCACTTGCAAACTGGATGCGCCTGGAAGCCACCAGTGCCTAAGTCTAGCGTGCTTGCAAGTACAAACATGACCTGATGAGCGACGCATGCCGACGCAATTTTACTTAGAAGCAGGCCAACCTTTGAAGGACAAGATGTCAGGAATCCGAATACCTGGAACGAATCAACATACGTTGGCACGTCAGCAATGTTCAACGCGGGCAAAGGCCTCGTGAGATGCGAAGTTGAGACCCTCATGCTGCAGCCCCAGCTTCAAAGAACCTGCAAAACAAGGGCAACGAAGGACTTGAAGGCGACCCAATTGAGACCTCCTCAGCACACTGGCCTTCCAGCGTGCAGAAGCGATCAAATGCTTTTTGCGGGCTGCTTGCCGTTGTGATCAAGCGGAGATGATCCTCTCAGCAGCACTTGAATCGAAAAATGCCCGATTGTGCACGCAGCAACAGTGTGTGGAAATCATGCGGTAACGATGCTCAGCTGTGTAAGCTTAGACACGACTCGGAAGTGCGCGGGGTGCACGGGTGCACTGGCGAGCACAGCTCGTCACAGCGCCATCAAGGAGGGGAATGACTCCGCACTTCGGGCGGTGCCGCCGCCTGGTGCCCTACATGGTCAGCGTGATGTTATGGTGGTCTCTAAGCACGCAGCTTTGAGGCAGCAATGGTTGCTGCTGTATGTCAAGGGGGCCCACAGTCGAAACTGGGAACCATCTGCCTCAGCCACGATTGTCAGTCTTTAATTAGTGGTGCGAATCTGAGGTCATCTAAGAAGGGAGGTGAACAATGGCAGGATCTTTTTTTCGACCAATGCTCGGCTGGAGCGCCAGTGGTACCCCACCGCGCTGGATGGCAATTGGGCAGGAGATGCAGAGTCGTCTGAGAAGGATGCTGCGCTTTCAGTAGTACATCGTGCCTGCCTGGGATTCGCCATGTTCCATGAATTTGTGCGACCTCGACGCGGCCTCTACAACCTCATCTGAGATTTTGTTTGGATGGTGGTCCGGCATATTTGCTGTACAGTCGACGTTGGTGCCTCGGGAAACACCACAGAAGTTATGGGACCGCGGGATTTGAAGTCTTGCTCTTGATGACGGTGGTGACAGGGTCGCTTGAGGCCAGGCACCCACGTTAAGAGGAGTACAGCGAAAGACACCCCGAGCCTCCTCGTTGACCCAAATGGCCATGTCCTTGGAGCTGTTGACGTAAACACCACGTGCCTGACAGCTCGAAAGCAAGGTTCGTCAACTTTCACTCAACAGCCCCGTGGAGGCATCTAACGACCATGTGCTCTATACCCCCATGCCCTATGTCCGATGCCCTATGCCGCCTCTGGCCAATGCTTGCCCATGCCAGATGACAGGAGCATCGCGGAGCTTGGAGCTTGGAAAAGCAACCCGTGCTTCTCCAAGTCGGCTGCATCCTTCCGCACGTCAAAAACAGAGATTTAGATTCAGCTTTAACGTTTTACTGTTTTGCTCGTGTCCAGCGTCTCAGAAGTGGCACCGATAGTTTCACATAGCGTCAAGAAAGCACACGAAAGCAGACAGCAACAATCCTCTGCCGTCATACCGCCAGCACTGGCCACCTCACATTAGACCCATCATACATCAGCTTCCAGTTGTGTTGATGCCAGTGTTTTATAGTGTTTTGACCTGTGTACTCCAAAGGCGCCAACAAAGGACCCGGAGCCGCTGAGAGGCAGGTAGTCGCCGGCTAAGTCCTTCGGTTCTTTCGGTTCGTTTGGTTCTTTCTGTTCTGGTCAGATCCTTGAGGCCCTGAGCGCACTTAATCTCTTGGGTTGCAGTATCGCTAAGTGCCCGACACCCTCCCATTGGAGCATAACCTTTCCAAATCTTTCCCATCTGAGACTGCTGCTCAAGCTTGATACTAAACATCTGCTTGCAAGAACCTTCGTCACGATGCGCTCCAGCTCAGCTCGTGCATCGAGAGTCATTGCCGATGGAAAGCAAAAATCTGCCAAATTTCGCGACGCCTGCTCTGATGTGGTACAGGCTGGGCGAACAACAGACAGCGGTGAAGTTGACTTATCTGGTGTCACACGGCCTCCACCCGCGCGCCCACCACATGTCCTGTACAAGTCGCTGGGCTGACCTTGCGGCGGCGTCATGGGCCAACACATGCCACAACAAAGCTAGATCAATTTTCCACCGTGTTGCTACCTCTTCCGTCTTTATGCTGCTGAAGGCACACAGGCTGGATCCAAGACTTGCGGATGGCGAGGGCCCTGGTAGCCACTTGCCTATCAAAGCTGTGAGAGGAACCAGCACATGGAACCAGAGCACATCATACCCCATGCGATTGTGCTTTCAACCATTTAGGACACCCGGCGGCGCTGAGAGCTGGAACAAAGATCGGCGAAAACCTGGGGCTTCCATGTTTGACAGGCTACCCCTAAATTCACTCTGCGTGATCAGCGCAGTTTCAACGCACGCTGTGTGACACTGTCGATTTGCTGTCGGCTGTCGACCGCCACTTCCCGGGGCCCAGTACACAGAATAGCTTTCTGCATCTCCGGCAACCAATCCGATGCTCCTCCCCATACCAATCATACCATAGCCGCAAAGCCCAAGCGTTGCTGTGCACTTGGCGGCGACTCCAACTGCACTTCACGGGCTGTGGAGCACTGCACGTGACGGTTCAAAGCTGCCCACCTGCCTGATGGCATTTCTTGCCTTGTTGTCCATACCAGGCCTCGGAACAAAGCCCCCGCCGACACTATAAATATATATATATATATATATATATATATATATATATATATTTATTTATTTATTTATTTATAGATATATAGATAGATATATATATATATGTATGTATACATGTATACATGGCACCCCCCCACCCGTTATCCACCGTTTTGCGGGGTTTCTGGGGGGGGAGAGTGCCCGCATAATTATTTGTTTAATATACATTTTTGCATCTGTTATGCATATACATTTTTTACAGTTGCTATGCATAGAGCCATGCTGTATTCAAAGCAACATTAAGATAAAAGGGGTAAACGGAAAGCCATGTGAAACCCATGGCCGGTTAGATTTAACCGGATCCGGTTAGATCTAGCCGAGCGTTTGAAGATTGAAGATTGCAAATTCCCTTGGAAAGCTTCTGAGGGATCTTCAGTCTTCAAAACAGGGGCCCAGTTAGATCGCATCCGGCTAGATCCAACAGTTAAGGAGGTTAATTAAATTCATTGCATTAATTGAATTAACTGGTGTGTTTTGTGTGAGGGTTTTCTTTAATGTCAAAGTGACAATATTTATAAGATGAATAGGATTCCCACATGAGGCTTGCGCGCGTATGTCAGGATTCCGGTCGCAGCGTATGTATGCTCGAAATCGTCTCTGTGGGTGTATACACCCCTTGAAACGGGAACCCTTCGCTATGCATTATAATCGGGAACCCTTAATCCTATTTAATATCGTTCCCTACTCCTTTTCCCCAAGCCCTGCGTCCCAAAATCCTAAAGAGAAGATCCCTGAAACCCTACAAACAAATCCTCTCGCCCTTTCACTAAATCCTAAAAAGCAAGACATGTTGGGACCTCTGATCACATCCTTTCGGAGTGTCTGTCGTTGTCCCTCGATGTGGAACATGCCACTGTTCCAACCGATGCTGCGCAGCGTCGTTTAGGATGGCCTGTAGCACAGTGTGCTCCTTATGATCAAGCTGTCCTTGTATGGCATAAAGCTGTCAGAACGGCCGTTCTGAAAATGCGATAGATGCCATGCCCGTGCCGCCTCAACCCCCCCTTAAGATTCAGGTTAGACCCCTTTGCCCCATGTGCATCCTGATGGAAGTGCTCGTGGCCTGCATGCATGAGCATTCGTTTTCGTTTCACTACTTCCTTGGGGAGCCCTTCCACCTGGCGGGCTTCCTTACAAAGAATTCTCTCTCTATATTCAATTCCCTTAATTATCTTCGCTTTGTCCTATCCCCCAAGCCTCACAGAGGGGTGTGTGCTTCGGAGAGCCCCATAGGACTCAGGAGAGCCCTTCAATGCTAATTATCGAACCCTATTGCGTAAATGTTGTCGCAAAATACTCATGGATCCCTAGATCCAGTCTATTTCCCTAAATTCAAATCCTTTTCCCTAAGTCCTTTCCACCAGACTTTGATCCGGAATGCAGGCATGCGCTGTATGTATGCACAGATACCCAGGTTACTGACATGATGGCCTCAATGATTAGCGGCATCGCTAAACCTTGTTACCTACATCTTATTCCTTCAATCTTATTCCCCAAATCAGCCCTGAATGTTATACGATGATATGATGATATTATGATATGATGATGATATGATGATGATGATGATGATGATGATGATGATGATGATGATGATATGATGATGATGATGATGATCATGGTGATGATGACGATGATGATATGATGATATGATGATATGACGATATGATGACATGATGATATGATAATATGATGATATGATGATATGATGGTGATGATGATGATGATGATGATGATGATCCACGAGCTGAGGAACAGGCTTGATGCATCGCGCCAGTGACACTCCTTTGCTCGTCTTGACATTGCGAAGCCTGTCACGCAAACTTCCCATCTCGTCCCATCTTCAAAGAGCTGCAAAGGCCTGCTATAAAGCTCCGGATCTCGCTTGAGCAGCTCCGCCAGGATACTGTTGAAGCCTCTTCAACTCCAGGGTTCCCCCCTTGATTTGCGGATGCAAATGCAAACTTTGCGGACCTGAAAGATCCGGAAGCTCCTCCGGACATTCGCAAACGGGAAAGCCGGGCACCTCCAGGATCCCAGATCGTGCAAGAGCTGTCAATGTTATTCAATATTGTCAGTTGGAAATGCCATGACATGCGCGCCTCGTCAGCTCCAAGGCCAGAAGTGTCTTGGGGAGCCTGCGTTGGAAGGTGAGTTGACAGCATGTGGTGTGGGATGGTGTGGGATGGTGTGGGATGGTGTGGGATGGTGTGGGATGGGTCCTTCAGCAAGGACAAGCGGAAGTTCTCTGCCTGGCATTGGTATCGCAAGCTGGGCAGGATGCAAAATGCTGTGTGCATGCCTCCGTGGCGAGATCCAGAATCTGCCCCGACCGCAGCTGGAGCTCTAAGTCATGAAGCTTTCTCACCACGGCAATGAGACTGTTTGCCTCCCGCGCACTCAGCGTCTGCTCGTCAAAGCTCGCCCATACATATGCCAACAATGCCAACGCACCTGCTCCACTTCCGAGGTGTTGAGCTCCGCTACGTTGGAAATGTCCCAGACTCCTTCAAGCGGTCCTCGGACCACCCGCTTGGCCTGCAAAGACGTTCAACTGACCATGTTGGTTCGATGCTCGGCTTCCCGATGTCGCACTTGTGTTTGCACTTGTGCAACAGATTTCATGCCTCCGGCCTGCACTCCAAGAGCACGCACTAGATCCGAAAACCCGTCGTGCTGCCCCAGGAGAGGCAGAGTCACCCTGACCTTCGCACCTCAACACACGTTGTCCCGCAACAAGTCAAGCAATGTGGAAAGCGGACCAAAGCGCCCAGCGGAAAGCTGCGCCAAGATTGCTTGGGCAGCAGGTCAAAAAGCCCAGACCTCAACAGCCGCAATTAGATGCATTGAGACAGTGCATCCGCTATTTGTCTAAAGCACAGTGTTTCCACGCACGCGCCAAAATTAAAACAGACAGCAGCCGAAGATCTGAGGCCAGAACGGTCACTTCTAGCGAAACTGTGTCCCAACTGCGACAAGGACTGTGCCAGTGCCTGCGCGACGTGGATTTTTGCATGATGTCGAGCCCAAGACTACACTTGGGGCCTTCTCTGCGGCGTACAAACTGCTGAAAGCGGCCTGGCATCGACTTGGGCTCAAGAGATGGACCGCAGTCTTCAAAATTCAACGAGAGCTACAGCAGCAAAAGGATTGTGAATCATTGTGAAGTATGTCTGCTACAAACGGCCTTCAGGTCGCTGTCATGCCGTCTCACCATCAGTCTCCTCGGAATCTGAACGGAACACATGGACAGCCCTGAGCCGTGGCTGAGCCGGGCTCGTACGAAGTCACTAAGTCACTAAGTCTGCGGCAGATGATCCTCATCATTGATCCATGCTGCAACTTTCTCGTCGTGGCTCACGAACACCCCCCGAGCCTCAATCGCACCGGCAATCGCATCTCCAGACATCCAAAGTTGAACAAAAACAAGAGCGAACACCTGCTTTGCTGTACAAAAGAGGGTACTTTCTCAGTGTCACAGTGTCACGGTCGATCGTTCTGTCGGTCGATGGGATTGCCAGCGACGATCTGAGATCACTTGGCGCACGCAGGGAGCGCTCAGAGGACACAGACATACAGAGACAACGGAGATGGGGCGAGTGAAGGCCAAGGGCAGTTGGCACTTCGACAAGGAGACTTGACCAGGCTGCAGGAGAGCCAAGGAGAGAAAACGAAGACGGAAACGACTGTTCTAAGCGACGGCGCCGAAGTCTGGTACTCGCTCGCGACTCGTGCAATGTTGGGAGAAGTTTCGCAAGGATGCGTGCCATAACGGTGCGCCTGGAGTGGGGGGCACGGATGGGATGCTAGAAGTGCGTATGGGTAGCCGGGCTCAAGCACATGAGATGGATTTCTGCTGTAAAGGTCTTGTGAGGGTAACTCCAGTTTGATCTTTAACGGGGCCCCTTATAATATTAATTCACGAAGCGTGCCTTTGTTACCTTCGTGAAATATCGTGAAGAGAGAGTGAGTTAGGGTCTCAAGGTGTGATGGGTTAACAAGGAAGCATGAGGGTGTAGATCTCAGGGTCAAAGAGGTGAACTGTCCCGTAGAATCAGATGTTGGATGTCATGAACTGGTCCGTGAGACAGGATTTTGGAAGAGGAAATCATTTATACCCGCTAGAAAGAACTGGGTGATGAATCCAAGGGTCTAGCATTCAGGCTTTTAGTGGGGTTTCTGGTGATCGAGGGCTCAATGGTCTAGTTTCCTGGCTCATGATTCCAAGGTGTTACACGGTTATAGCTGGAGAACCTGATGTTGGGGTCCCGAGGGTGGGTTCCTTGTCAAGAGAGTTCCTGTCACGTAGAAAGAGTCAAGAGTTCCTGTCCTCATAGCCGTCTCCATGACCGGTTAATAAGACCCCGTGAAGAGAGCACCAGGACCCCCTGTGCCAGACCTCATCCCGCCAGCAATCGCCTTCCCAACCTTCTCACAAAAGCCTCCACATCTCTCCCCCCTCAGCCCCGTTTCCTTCCATGCGATGTCACGCGATGTCGATCCCCCTCAACCACGCCTAACCTACAGGAATCCCCGAGCTCTCCATATCTCTCATTCTCCATCTCTCTCTCTACACTTCCCTTGCGCCTGGGGCCAGTGTCTCGCCCTCCCAGTCGCCAGGATCGATGGCGCATCTGGAGCCTGGGCGGTACTTCATTGGCCCTGCCGAGAGCATGGCCAAGACCCAGCAGCTTGTCTTTTGATGTCTTTTGTCAGTGCTGCGGCACATTGGCTTACGACGGCAAGAGCAAAGCAAATTCTCCATCAGCTTCTAATGACTTGACTTCTGCTAGGAGATCGTCTCCCAGCTCGACATTCAGCAGCTTCGCTCTGAGCAAAGTTCGCTGGGAACCCTTCAAGTCCCCGTGTCGAATGAGCCGCCGCAAGCGCAGCACTGTTTCTTCCTGAACATCAGCAAGTTGTCGCTCTCCCAGAAAAGGTACCTCGTCCAACGTTGGCTGAGGTGCTTCTTGCGGGAATCCACGCCCAGGAGTAGCGCTTGTTGCCGTTGGCGGATGAGAACCAGGATAACCTGAGATGGGCACAGCTTTGGCCACGGGCACCGCCAGGCCCGTTGCCGGCATGGCTGCTACGGCCGCCTGGGCCGCATGGATGGGACGTCGAAGGTGCTCATGATCGGGAGGCAGGTGCTTCATGACTTTACTCCCATTCGCAATGTACTGCACTGTCACCGACTCCTTTTTGACCTCGACGACCTCGCCTTTGCACCACTGCTTTTGCGACACGCTGAAGCACTCGGCGGCTTCGCCGACCCTCCACACAGCCTCTCGGCTCTCCCGGACCTCGCGCTTCAGGGCCCGGATCTTGCCCGTTCCAGGATTGCGTTGTTCCATTTTCTTGAAATCAATAGCATACTCTGTCTTCTTAGGGCCCAGTCTTACAGAAAGCGTATCCTTCGATTCAGCTTTCGCCTGTTTCAGCGCGGTCTCCAGTGCAATGGAATCTTCGGCTGATAAGATGTTCCATGTACCCCCGCCTGCAAACGACCATTGAACGTCAGTGGCCATGGCAAGCTTGGACAAGAAGCATGAAGTCTCGAATACAACAAATGTCGACACTCAATTTACGTGTTCTCTTGTGCGGCCAGAAACGGTTAAAGCTTTCTGTTTGTCCCTTCTTTCTAAAAGCATCTTTCAGGTAGCCTGAGTGAAGACCCTCCAGAGAGCTGCGCGATGCAAAGGGCGCACATAAGAAGGACATAAAAAGAAGAGGAAGGAGATTAAGGAGATAGGGTCAGAGGGTCAGAAAGGAGGAGGAGAAAAGAGGGGCAACTTCTTGCTCGCGCGCCTCGAAGAGCCACTTGCGCTCCAGCAGCTTCGCCTCCTCCTCCTCCGAGATGCCGGGCCTTCGAAGAGAAGTTATCCCCAGTTGTTGCTGCTGCTGTTTTTTTGCGCTCTGGAAGGTAAGACCTAAGACTTTTAAAGAGCCATATGTGAATGTGGGGGATCTGCCATGTGGAATTGCCATGCCTTGAACTTGTGGAGGTCGACCCTCTGAGGGGCGCGTACCTCGAAACGAGGAGAAAGGCACATCGAGTGGGAAGCTTGGTTCTGATATGTTCTGATGCTAAGAACATCTAACAACCGTAAGATTGCTTCAGAAGGATACTCGCCGGCAAGCTCCGTGGGAAGGGCAGCCAGGGCCGCACAGAGAACTTTCTCAACCTGAGAAGAACTGAGAAGAACTCAAAATCTCAAGCCCCCGATCAGCCCCGATCTCCGATTAACGGAACGGGTCACCCAGCCTTCTGCCGATCATCCAACGACATGGCCGGCGTAAATCGGAATCGCAACAAGTTCCGCTGCACAGACACCTGAGACAAGCAGAAGGAAAGCTCTTGAAAGCAGAAAGGGAGGCAAAGGAACGACAAAGCGATGGAAAAGCGAGCACGAGAACGTTGAGAGTGAAAGGTAAAGCGAGAGAGCGATAGATGGACTGTGAGTGAGAGGGAGACAGAGAGAGAGATAGAGAGAGAAAAAAAAAAAAGAAAAAGAGAGAGAGAGAGAGAGAGAGTGAGAGTTGCACACACTTGCGCTGCAAAGCGCACCTGTACACTGGCCACCGTCTCTCCAGCTCCGCTGAGTTGGGTGGAAAGGTCCTTTCTTACCGGCACGGCCAGCACTACTCCCCATGCCCTGCTCTATGGTTCAACTGCTTCCCACATCCACTCCAGACTCCGCCCTGTTCCACGACATCGCTCTGATAAAGGCATACAAATCAGCATCGCTCAAAGCATAGCAAGGCCATCCTCTGGCTTCGAACTTTGAGCGTGGCGAAGTGCACCGACATGAGACAGATTCTGCCTTGAACCAAGCAACCGTCGAAATGCCGGGAGGACGCAAACAAGAAACAAGCTATAAGCGCACGCCGATGGTCCTACAACTTGAGCCTTGCCATGATGATTGGGTCAAACAGCGACTGGAAGACATCATAACCTCGGAGCTCGAACTTGTGACAACTGTTGCGTGAATGTTGCGACAATGTTGCAACACAAAGTTGTGACAATTTTGTGAGGACAATCCTGCACATTCACAACAAGGCACAGCACATTGCACGCAGCACAACTCTCGAGCAAAGGCACAGTGCGCATCCCCGGCCGCTGCTCCGATGACACGGAAGAAGCTGTGCCCAACATTGTCCACGCCAGGCTTGATGCATCTGCCATTCCATGCTCTTCAAGCTCCCTTCCCTGCTCTTCCCCTTCCTCATCCTTCATCCCTGGCCCTGGCCCTGAATGAAACTCCCTTTGCCGGCCTAGCCAAGGACACTCCCAAGGGCGTTCGGAGGTCCTGGCCAAAACATACACTCTATCTCAGCCTTGGTCAAAGCGCGCACAAGAATGCCTGCCTTGAGCCTGGAGTAGATGGAAGGATCGGAGGTGAGGACTTCTGCCATGATACTGTGGTGCCTCAGGGCCCCGATCGATTCCGGCAAGAATCGGCTCACCTCAAAATATAAGCGCCCTCAAAGCCTCCCAAGATTCCCCTACAAGCAGTTCAAAACAGGCATATTCTGCAGGCCTGGACAGATCCGGCGCATCTCTTGGACACTCATCTGCCTGTCGGAAAAAATTTGCGGCCCCGCTTTTTCCGCGGAGATGCCCCCGAGATTTTCTTCGAGGCTCGGGCTGGGAATCCCGGGAACTCGACGTCTCCGGTGCCGGGCACCACCTCTTTTCCCGAAGTTCTTGGAACAGCACCTGGTACGTGTCCAAAGCATCAGCGAAACTGACGAAGCTGCTTAGTAGCAAGCATGCACAGCACACCTAAATCGACATCCTCATCCATGTCTTCCACAAGCTGGAGCTTCTCACCCATCTCGAGCCTAGCCTTTCCCAGCGCACTACGTGTCAGTGAACATCAATGCGACGACGATGTTGCGGGTTCTTCATGCAGTGTTCCAGAGTCTCCCTGCTCCGCTCCGCGTGCCACCACGCCTCAAGATCGAGAAGCGCACGGCATGCCTCGATGACGGCATTGACCTCAACAACTTATGCATCCACATTTTCCTTCATCCAAGAATCTACCCTCAACCTTCTGCAACATCAAACACCATGTCAGACTTTTCTGCCTGCTCCACTTCCGAAGACCCCAGGCGGAGAGAGTTTTGGACCTGATACTGAAACTGAGTGTACTCCCAAGTCTTCACCCCGCTGTTCACAGATCACGGTGCCTCCCACACACCTTGATGCAAGCCCATCTCCGTGTTGGCACAAAGGCTGGCCTGAGGCCGAGGGGAGCACATATCCACAAAAACACGAATGTTGGCAGAGGACTCTTAGCTTCGCGCTTGCAGCTTTAGCTGCTGGCAGAGGTTTCGAAACCTGAGAGAACAACACAGCTTCTACAAAAAAGGACTTTGCTACAAAGGTCATGGAAGGTCAGGGGTATCAGAGAACTTCAGGGGGTCCCTGAGTCAGTGTCACCCAAAAACAAGGAAGGGTCAATTCAATTATATAGGCCCAGCGGCTGCTCTTTCAGACCAGATGCATTCTTTGGAGACAATCCGGCAATGCGGCACAGAATTCTGCTCAGATGGCTTGTTTCAGATCACTCAAAGACAAACAGAACAGAATTCATCAGCATTAGAACCGCAAGCCTACTATGATAGACCGGGGCATCACAGGAGGGCCAAGTGCTGCTCAGAAAGTGCTGGTCATGAGCCGTGTTGGCTGGGGAAAGCGGGGGGATTTGAAAGTACCCTGGCCCTTTTGTGGATTTGCTCCCCTGCGGTTGCCGCGGACGTTTGCATGAGGTTTTGTAGTTGTTCCCTGCCCACACCCACCCCTCAGACTACAGCCCCTGCCGCCAGCCGCGGACCCCGTGCGCTTCTCACGTGTGTCACGGGCGTTGACTGATGTTGACTGGGTAGAATTGGGTCTTTGTGGTGACACGGCTCCCACTGTGCCCTGGGGCCGCGGCTCAGGCTGCTTGCTGAGAAGCGGAAGGCGAATAGCCACACCTGGTGTAGAAATGTGCAGAGAAAGCATGTGCCGCTGCAGAGTGTCAGTCAGTTTCGACTCAGAGGCGCGCTCGCAATCAGGCAGGTCCCCAGAAGCGAGGGATCCGGCCCCAGGAAACCTGGCACTTCATAGCACTTCATGGCACTTCATGGCACTTCAGCGAACATCGTCGAATCCCGCAACAATCTTTGGCCAGCAAAGCCCAGACGGTCATCCCGCGCGAAGGCCAAGCCCTGCGAGTCCAGATCCGCCTGCAGTCGCACTGTGCTCCGCTGCACCTGATGTTCTCTCGGCTCTCTCAGACTTGTGCATTGTGCCTCAAGGGCAGCAAGGACTGAGAACACACGCTCACACCTGTGGAAAGGGAGCAAGAACGGTTCACGAAACGCACGAGAAAACTGGCCCAAGGGGCCCTCATCTGCCCTCAACACATGCCAGCCCCGCATGTTTTTCAAGCTGGGTCGGCTCGACATGTCAGTGGCGGTGACCCGGAGGTGATCCAGCTGCACAACACATTCACATAGTTTGTGAGAGATGTCGAAAGCTAGGCTCCAACATGCTCCAAATGTATGCTGTATGCAAATTGTGCAAACGTCTTGTGTCGCTCATTGTCACTCTGCAGACCGCAGACCTCGTTAACGAAGGCTGCAAAGCTGCGCTGGTCGTCAACGAACACTCCGCGAGCGTCAGGCCTCAGGGAGGAAAGGGAAACGAGCTGCCGAATACCTGCGACATTCGTGGCCCGTGTTGACGGAAAATCGCTCACGAAGCTGCAATAGGGTCGGGACCAATCTCTAGCATATCCGGAGGAGACCAACACCTTTGCGGCTTTGCGATGCTTTGGGTCAGCTCTCATTGCGGCGTATCTGCCGCCAACAGCCCTTCAGGCCAAGCACCGAGGAGTCTGGCTCTTCAAAGAGAAGGCCCTCTGCGTGCAAGTCCATTTCCTCGTCCTCACCTCAGAGTATGCACCGATCTGGCTATAAACAGCTTGGTCTAGATTTTCTAGATGGCAGCAACATGCGAAGTGAGGGTCAGGCTCATGCCACCAGGTTTGGCTGCGTAGCTCTGCGATCCACTCAAAGGAAGATACTCACCCTGATTGAGGCAGATCTCGACACAATGCAGCACTCATGGAAGGCGCGGTGCCAGGTGGTGCCTGCAATGTGCCGGTCAAAGCGGACAAACTATGGGCCTGAGTCAGATTGGCTACGCTGCAAGCTTGGTCAAGCAATATGTACACAAAAGCTTGCCACTTGAGGCTCTGACCAGAATTTGTTCCACAGCCCGACGCTCATCCACATTGCAGGCCGGCAGCATACGTGAACCGCGCAAATTGCGGCTCACCCGTATTCGGGCAAAAACAGTCCGATCGCCTGCAGATGCTGGTATTCGCTCCGAACTGACAGACTTTGCAAGGCAAACGCCTGCTTCAGGCATGTCCAAGATCTTCCATGCATCAGTATCCGTCCTTTGCACGACGGAGCGTTGACAGGTGCAGCGTATGCCTACATTCTGACACTTTCATGACTCCTGTGCCGGTATCCCGACCAATTCGGATGCCGCATCCTGAAGCCAGGACCAGGCTTGCACATCTTGCACGCAAATGTACACCTCAATGCCGCTTGAATGCCCTGCGGAATGCCCTGCAGAACGCCTTATGATGTCATCAAAGAGCAAGCTGAAGGTGTCGTACGAGTGTTCATCGCCTGCGACTGCACCGACCTTGCAAGTGGCACAAGTTGCAACGTCACTCTACAGGCTGCCACATGCTGCCACTACTGAGACCAGGACTGACTTGATCATTCGGTGGCCAATGTTGTCAAAGCAAGTCTTTATGCAGGTCGCAAAAGAAACCCCCATCGGCGTACATCTATCCTGACGCCACGGGCGACGTCATGGGCAATCAAGTTAGTGGCGAAGCTTCTTGGTACACATGCAGACTTCCGCAGAGGCCCGCCGAATAAGCAAGTGCCATCAAGGGCCATCAAGCCTTTCCCATCTTTCCCATCTTTCTTTCCCCCTTGCTCAACTCCCTCCAGCGCTCGACACCTGCCTTAAGCTTTTCGTAGATGGACGGGTCTCTTCGAAGGACTTCAGCAGCGAGGCTGTGCCTTGCCCATGTTGCCCAAACAGCCACACAGCAAGCCTCAAATTCAAGGAAGATGCACGATGCCGTGCCTGCCACTGATGTCCGGCATCTCCGTCGGACAGCTTTCTCTGGGAAACTCCGTGTGGCCATCACTGGCCTGAGCCTCGAGGCTGACCTGCGTCGAGTCTGGTGGAGTGTTGTTTGTTGATCTTTCTGTGATTTTGCTGTGTTTGGCAGTGCAAATTGCAGTGCGTTGCTCCCGCCCTTGGCCTCGCCCAACTCCTCAGCCAGCAGCTTCCGACAGCCAGCAGCTAGCGTGCCAGCAATCGTCTCTACAGACGAGTTCACTGTTCGCGCGACAGTGACCTGAGCCCAAGGTGCGTCTTGTCCCCATCAGCACTGCATCCTACAGCTACTTGCAAGACAGCAAATCCCACCTCCCAAACAGGCATCCTCTCACCTTCTTCGCTCAACTCCCGTCGTCGGGAGAGAAACAGACCTTAAAAGCGATGTACCCCGAGCGACTGCGTTCTGCGCTCGTCACACTCCTGGCTCGGCGAACACCGTGAGTTACCCGACTTAGCCCCTCGCCCGTCTGTTTGGATAACGCCTGGCTTTCAGCTTGCATCATGGAAACACAGGACCTGCAATGCAGCGCCTTCAGCTTCGGCTCATCGGCAGACAGTTTGGGGAGAAGCAGCTTGGCACTTGCCTGCACAGAGCAGGAAAAACGAAGAAGTGCCTGGATGAGTACAAAGCATCATGTATGCAGCAGCTTCCGATAGCCTGCATTGCACAGCCTACATTTGTCGGACAATGGGACAAGAAACCCAAGCCTGAGCCACGGCATGATGGGCACTTGAATGTCTTTGACACACTACTGTGCCCACACCATGCAAGCTTGGCATCCTGCCCGAGGAGCTGAAACAGCGGCCACCGGCCTTCCAACTCTCAAAACACACCTTGCTCTGATCAGCCTATGGCACATGAACACGCACGGATGCACGCACTCACGCAAGCACGCGCACGCCGCCGCACCCACACATCCACACACCCAGACACCCAGACACGCACACACCCACACACCCACACACCCACACACCCACACACCCACCCACGCATACACACATACACACGGGTGGCTGTCAAAATTGTGATCCCTGAGGGACCAAAAAGGGGACCAGAATTTTGACAACCACCCACACACACACACAGGCACAGGCACAAGCTTCTTGCGAAGCCAGATGAAAATGTGACATGTACATGACGTCGTCATGGGCTAGGTTCCTGGCCCCATACAGGGATAGGTGTGTGTCAGTAATTAATTCCAGACACAAGGAATGGAATGGCTTGGGGATGAAAGTCCTGTCCCTTGCGTCATCGTTCCAGACATCAGAATTGGCGTATGCTGCCGTCTGCAAAGTGTCATTGTGACGACAGCATGTAGTAACGTAGTACGTCTTGGGGACAATGCTCCTGTCCCGCTGCGGATACCAGCTGCGCACGCAACCGGGTACTGCTCATAGCAGGTGCATTTACACGTCTGCTCGCTCAGTGTTAGGGTGGGACCCCCTTTCGTACATAAGAAAACATAACATGCATGTTACAAGTCCTACGGCAGCGACACGAGGATGCGTGAACATGCTCTCACACACGCACGCACGCACGCACGCACGCACGCACGCACGCACGCACGCACGCACGGGTGTTCACCCCCCCCCCCTCCCCCAGGTATCCCCCTCTCCATGGTCTACGCTCTCCCCTACACCAACCCTAAACTCTAAACCCTAAACCCTAACCCTAAGCCCTATAACCCTAAACCCTATAACCTATAACCCTATAACCCTATAAACCTTAAACCCTAAACCCTAAACCCTAAAACCCTAAAACCCCAAAACCCTAAAACCAACCCACAACCACACCACAGGGGGGGCTCCAACCATTTTTATGTGTGTACACGCACACGCACACGCACACGCACACGCACACGCACACGCACACGCACACTCAAGGTGCACGTGCGCACACTCCCACAGACGGCAAAACGAAGTAAACGCACGCAACTGACCGAAGATGAGCCTCTAAGGCGGTGCTGATGGCTCGCTCGACACGGAGTGTCGCATCCACCGCCTCGGTGTCCATCAGAGTCATGGACTGCAGGCTGCTGGCGTTCCTGCTACGATGGCCTTCCAAACATCTCCATCTGTTACGCGGTACGCCATTCGAATGTGGTCTGCCTGTGGCACACGAGTTCAAAATTGCTAGAGCTTCCAAGCAACCCCAGGTCGGCAGGATTATGCCTCGTTCACGAAGACGGCCATGCCGCTACCGTTGGTGAAAACACCTCGTGCCTGAAGAACATGCAAAAAAATACTCTGAGCGAGAGAAGACACGCCAGAGACAAAACACACTTTCGACAGCTGCACGCCTAGCCCTTGCTACAACGCACAAAACAATTTCTTGACTTGCGGGCGGGCAATGGTGGGCGAGTTTCGAAGCGAACGGTTGTTAAGCAGCCGCAACTAGGCGTCCGGGCCCGCAGCTCGTGCTACAGGATACAAGTCTGGGAGGCACGCGTCTGTTTGGGTTGTTAGCGAACAGCCCGAACAACAACCGCGCAAACATGCTAGCTCATGAAGATACCCTGAGATAAACGGCCTGAGTGTACAGCAACCTCGCAGCAAAGATGCTATTCATTAAAGTTTCGCGGGAAAACCGACAACATTTAATGTGAGCTAATGCACGCTTTAGGCAGCAATGTGTTATGATTGTCGTGGTATGTGCAGCTTTCTTCTCTCAGCAAAGCAGCGGGAAACTCATGTGCAGTAGAGAAGTGCGCTGTCCTTCCAGACCATGGGCAAGTATCCGAGTGAGACGGTATACTTTAGAACTGAGTATGAATATTGGTATGGAAGGGAAGAATCAAAAAATGATGTGGTCACACTTTTGTCTCTTGATCTACATCTTTCGAAATGATCCGGACAGAAGGCAGACTGGTGCTCCAGAGTTTGGGGATGCCTCAACTGTACCAATAACTTCAATCTGTACGGAAACAATGCTTGCATGATGGGTTTGGAAAAGGATTCGCTAAGTTCTTAGTGCAGGTCCTCTTTATGGCATGATTTTCTTTATAAAGCAAGATAAGCAAGCTTGCAGGGCTTCACATGTGTTCTTGTTGATTACTCATGTTTGCTGTGTCTTTCTTTCCTTCTTTTTTTGAGTATTTCAATTCGTTCTGTGTCTTTTCTTTTGTATCTCTTTCTGTCGCTCTTTCCTTTATCTTTGACAACCTCTGTTTCCCTTGAATTTTGCAATGAAAGCCTCTATGTGCTCGATGTCGCCAGAGGAAAACCTCTTTGTCCTGTGTGCTATAACCCCCTGTTGCCTCTGCATTCTTAGAGGAAAATCCTGGACCAAAAAAGTACAAAACACGTAACAGATAAACAAACAACAAAAAAACAGGAAGCCATGCGTAAGATGCCAACCGCGCCCAACCAAATCGTTCGATCTAACATTGGGGGAAACTCCAAGACACGCGGCACCCAACCTACGATCGCGCAGCTCCACCGGCTCCACCAGTCGACAAAGCCCCAAGCCCCACCCTTCTCCGCCAGCCTCACCCTGCCTCGCCCTGCCTCACCCTGCCTAACCCTCCCCGCAAGCCTGCAGCTCCCAGCCGGCAGACTTCGCAAAACCATGTGCATGCGCCATCACAGCCCGAGTTCCTTCAACGTCCTTCAAGCACGTTCGTTTAAGGATCCAAGATCGCACTGCTTGGAAGAATGTATGAAATGTGCAAGCATAGCAGGATAGAGCACTGTGCACACTTACCAAACGTCACATGACAATGACCGAAAGACAGCGACAGAAGGAGACCGTGACGATAGGAGTGAGAGGGAAAGAGAGATTGAGAAACACTTGCACCCCGGCTTACATGCCATGGCCTCGGGCCAATGTCTGCCAAGGCCACTGGAGAGAAGCAGGCCCGACTGGGGTTCTTCGAGAAGTTCACCAGCGGCCTCTTTTCACAGTCACATTGAGTGGCTATGAGTGGCTATGAGTGGCTGCATGTGGCTGCGGTGACCTGACAGCTTGGCTTCACAACATTCTGCTTGCTCACATTCTAAAAGTTGCGAAAGTCTACTTGCACTTTCACGGCGCTCCATGTTGTTCCAACTCAAAGGCAGGCAATGTTGGTCGGCGGTCGGAATCCTAATGTGGGATGAAAGCTTTTTTCGTTTGGATATGCGTGGAGGAAACTCGAGGTGGTGGGTGCTTTGAGTCCAAACTTGGACACCTCCGAAAGTTCTGCATGAAGCCCCGGGACTGGTTGCGTCATTGCGACAACATTCTCAGGAAAATTTCGCGGCATCGCCTTTAAGCCCCCACCCACGCACGCACGCGCGCACACACACACACACCACGAAATGCCCCGAATCACGAAGAGTACTACAGCAAACGAAGCGCAAAACAAGTATGGCTCTTACATGTCTTTCGCATCTGGGCCCTTGGCTTTTATACCGTTGCCTTCTCAAGCCTTAAGCAGCGGGCCTCTGCACTTTTACATCCAGGATCGCTCTTTGGGTGCAGCCTATTTCGGCCTGCGGGCTCCCAGTCCTGGGCCAAATTGGGGCCCCTGATTTTCTTGCTTGGCGGGACGCCTGTGATGCCTGTGATGCGGTAAGAACTTTGCATACAAACCACCTGCACCATAAGACGAGGAGGGGCACCACAAGACGAGGAGTGTAAGTGCAGAAATGTGCAAATCAAAAACAAAAATCTTGCTTAGGCTTTTGCTTTTGTGAAAGAGAGCGCGAGAGAGAGAGTTTCTCTAGCCTTCTCCCTCTTTTATACTTCTCTCTCACTCTCACTCTCTCTCTCTCTCTCTCTTTCTCTTTCTCTCTCGTTTTCTTTGTGCCGTGTTGGCCTTGAGCTTCTGCTCGGATTCCAGGGACATCCCCTTCGGCTTCGGCGGAAAACTCTCCGAGCCGCGCCTGCAGCTGCTGTCTGTCGTTTACGACAACATGCCTTTAGTCAGTTTTCAAGAAGAGAAAGCGAGAGAGACAGAGAGAGAGAGAGTGGGAGAGAGAGAGAGAGAGTGGGAGAGAGGGAGAGAGAGGGAGAGAGATGGGGAGAGAGAGAGGGAGAGAGAGGGGAAGAGAGAGGGAGAGAGAAAGGGAGAGAGAGGGGGAGAGAGAGGGAGAGAGATGGAGGCAAGGAGAGACTTAGAAGAAGTTAGTTAGGGGGCGTCAGCCCAAGGCCGTGGCAAAGGGAAGTACTCCCCCCCCTTCAACAGCTCGTCCTGCTGCAATGCTCCCAATCTTTGTACCCGAGTTTCTGGGCGGGGGTCCTGGTCCTGCGCTGAGAACAAAGCGTCAACCACAATTCGCTCGGCCTCTTTCCTCTCCTGACACCATGCTTGCATTGCTCCGAAACTGAAAAGCACTCAACTACAGTAACTACAGCCTGGGACCCTCCGTGGCCTCTCTCTGAGCAGATGGTGGCATTTGGATGCCTCGAATATTGCGGCTACACGTCACCTGCCACGTTCAAGGAAGCGTAGTCAATATGTCAACTACGTAGTGCTGATGCGCCATGTCCCCGAAAAAAATGCTGCAGCCTGTATGGACAGCAGATTGCCCCCCGGTGAGCTCAAAGACAAGTTTGCCTGGCAGAGAGACATCTACAGTAACGATCCTCCAACTCCACATTAGAACAGCCGCCCTCGGAACTTGCCTGGCGAGTGTCTATGGCACTCGGCAGCTGCACATCGTGCAAGATGCTCTCATACCACCTGTCCACAACCTTGTGTTTTTCACAGAAATTCACCGGTAAACTCACCACCTGCCGACGCTTCATGCTGTGGATCTCATGGGCCACGCACGGACCGAAAGAGGGGCTCGAAAACCTCGAAGCAGGTCTCGTCCTCAGGAAAAAGAAGATAACGGGTATTCGAGTATTTGCACCCCCCCTTCCCATGACGCCCAGATCATGTCCAGGTGAGGACTCTTGGGGCCCGCACTGCGGCGACGAGCCCAAGTGTGCGGAAGATCGCGTGCCCTGACACCACCGCACGCTAAGGGCATTCGTCTGCCTTTCTGGGCCCCTGCCTTTGTTATCAATCCCAGGCTTGATGCATTGTGCCAGAGCTACCCCATTGGGGGTGCGCACGTCCTCATGTGTAAGCAGGGATCATACGTAACATGCCTGCTGAGAGCACTGCTAACAGTGCGACCACTGCCAACCTTGAGCTGCTCGTACAGCATGGGCTGCTCTGCAAGGACACGAGCGAGCGTGCTGTGGTGACGAGACCTCGGGGCTTCAGCTCGTCTGTTGGATGAGAACTGCTTCTTTGCCGCCAGCAAAAAGGCACTACACTTTGCATGCTCTAGCCACCTAATTTTGACTGAGGGAGAAACAAAACTGGAAGCGGCTGTGAACCGTCTGATGCGAAGCCAGGGTACTACCAGCAGGAGCAAGCGTTCAAAATTCACTCACCGATGCTACACGCTGCAATAAGTTGCAATTGCAACAGGCTAGGAAGTTCCTCCGCATCACCGCGACCCGGCATGCTGGACCAGTCAGGCAAATCCTTAGTGCACTCTGATCCAGTTGGCAGTGCCAGCCCAGCAGCGTTTCTGGTCAAACTAGGACATGGACAATATTCACGTCGTCGTCCTCCTCACCTCTGCCCTCGCCAAAACAACTTGGCACGTGTAGAGCTCCAAGGCAAGTGGAGCAGAGCTTAAGTCGTTCGCCGGAAGGAGTGGTGAGGGTACTGGCATTGGTCTGTTTGCCTGGCTTGCCTGCGGCAACATAGGCCGAACAAAACGCAAAGTCAACGAGTGGGCTTCGGCTACACGTTGACATATGGGGCCGCCATATGGCCTGGATATAGCCCATCATGAAGGAATAGGGATCCGAGGGTCGGTTGGACAGGAGCTCATGCACCATTCCCTGCCTCATGCAAAAAGCACTACACATGGCATGTGCCATGCGATTGCTGCTTGTTATGCCTTGCCATGCTGAGGGCACAACAACACCCGCTGGACGGAGTGGGCCTCACACACAAGCAAAAAAGACAGCTCTTGTGGGGCCATGAGGCTGGTTGCTCAGAACATGCATGGTACGTACAACATCCTCACCCAACAGGCACCAGCCTCTAGATACTGCTGAGCATCAATGGCTGCCTGTCCAAAGGAGGCAGAAGCACAAAGATTGTGAAAGATTCCGAGATGGTGGGCTGGGCGATGCTGGGCGATGCTGCACCTGGTGCCGGGAGACTCGCTTCTTTGGCTCCGGGATCTGCGAACGGACCTGCGACACGAGAGCAACAAACAATAACAAACAGTTGACCAAACAGCCAGAGAAGAGCGCAGCAAGCCTTGCCAGCGCGCACAAGTTTTGACGATTGTTAGTATTGTTAGTGCTGTCAGCCTTGGCCTGCATGTCCAGAACAATGTTCCCATCCCTGCAGCCGGGCAATAGCACGGACAAGACTACAGCGCTCAGTCTCCTCCGACACGGCATGACGTGCTACACACGTACTTGGCTGGGCCTTCCTTGCACCTGCACTAGTCCGCCATCTTTGCAGTTCGAGAGGTCCGAGATGCTCACCTCTGTCGACCGACAACCCGACAAGGCCCCCCCCCCTACAAAAAAAAAAACTCATAAGGAGAATCAAGGATTGCCTGGGCAGTGCCCACTTTCTCGAAGACGTCGACCACCTTGGCCGGCGAAGCTCCAGATGTTCAGGGGACAGAGTGATTTCCCATACACGAGCCCACCACCAAGTGCCGTGGCACTTGCTTTCCGTCAAAGGAGAAGCATTCGCCTGCAAGCTGCATACAGCTGCATAGTTCCTCCCTTTCCTCATGGCTTCGACAAAACTGACCACATGCCTGGTTTGTATTGGGTCTGCTTTCGCCTCAGATACAAGTTGCACACAGGAATAACGTAGGGAAGGTCTATGCAATCAACAAAGCAGATGGGAGTAGGTGACATGTATCCCCTTTGCCTTTGCCGTTAGTACAACGGGGGGCTGAGCGCGAATCAGAAAACGTGAATCGGAAAACGCAGAGCGACGAATCGGAAAACACTCCGCGCTGAATCGGAAACGCCAGGCACGAATCGGAAACTGTGCGGCGCTGAATCGCAAAACCGAGGCGGCTGAATCAGAAAAGGAAAGCTCGACACGGACACGTCCTGCCGAAGTAGCTACGCCATGTCGAAAACCAATAGAAAACCAATAATTCCATTGGTTTTTATCGGTTTTTACTGGTTTTAAAGGGTTTTTATTGGTTTTAATTGGTTTTCTATTGGGGCTTATTGGCTTTTTTTGGTTTTCCATTGGCTTCTATCGTCTTTCAATTTGTTTTCTATTGGTCTTTACTGGTTTTCTATTGGTTTTATTGGTTTTCTGGTTTTTATTGGTTTTCCATTGGTTTTCTACTGGTTGTTATTGGTTTTCTTCGTTTTTTTGGTTTCTATTGGTTTTCTATTGGTTTTGTTGGTTTTCTATTGTTGTTTATTGGTTATCTATTGGTTTTTATTGGTAATCTATTGGCTATTGTTGGTTTCTATTGGCTTTTATTGGCTTTCTATTGGTTTTTATTGGTTTTCTATTGGTTGGTATTGGTTTTCTATTGGTTTTTTGTTGGTCTTCTATTGGTTTTTATTGATTTTCCTTTGTTTTTATTGGTTTTCTATTGGTTTCTACTGGTTTTATGGGCTTTCTATTGGATTTCTTTTTCTATTGGTTTTTATTGGTTTTCTATTGGTTTTTATTGGTTTTCTATTGGATTTTGTTATTGGTTTTAAAACATGGAAAGCTCCAAATCAGCACCGCGGAAGCTCGAAACGGACCCTCCTTTGAAGCCACGCCGTGTCTAAAAGAGGAAATGTTAATGTTTGGTCATTAGATCGCGCAAGAAAGACCAAATCAGAAAACACGGAAAGCTCCAAATCAGCATAGCAGAAGCTCGAAACGGACCCTCCCTTAAAGCCCATTCTGCGCCGTGCAGCCACGCCGTGTCTACAAGAGAAAATTAGAAAGTTTGGTCATTAGGTCGCGCCGGAAAAACTAAATCAGAAAACACGGAAGGCTCCAAATCAGCACCGCGGAAGCTCGAAACGGACCCTCCCTTGAACCCCATTCTGCGTGCACCGCAGGAAGCCACGCCTCGTCACCCTAAAACCCTAAGCCCTAAAGCCGAAAACACCCACAGGCCTAAAAACCCTAGAAACCCTACAACAACCCGAACCCCTAAACCCTGAAAACCCCCTAAACCCTAACAAAACCCCAAACCCTAAGCCCTAAACCCAAACCCCTAAATCCTAAAGAGCCAAACCCATAGGGTCGATATAGGGGTCTATCGGCGCCGATGATAAACAGCTACTTGCCAGACCTATCTCCGAGTAAGAGTTTGATAAGTAAACCCTAAACCCTAAACCCTAAGACCCCCTCAGCCCTAAACCCTAAAAAAAACCTTATACTCTAAACGCCCCTGACAAAACCCTAAAACGACCCCTAAACCCTAAACCCTAAACAGCCCTAAACCGCAAAACCCTTAAACCTATGCCTATACCCTAAACCCCTAAACCCCAAAACCTGAAAAAAAAACAACCTGAGCCCAAAACCCTAAAAACCCCTAAACCCTAAAAACGCCTAAAACCTATAAACCCTAAAACCCCAAAGCCCGAAAAATCATTTACATAAGAATATAGATCGATAAGGCATAGGGGTCTATGGCTTTCCGGACAGGGTGGGTCTATTCTGAGGGTAGTAGGGGCCTACGGTTTCGTGTCGCGCTTTGTCGTACAAGCTTCAGAGTTTTAACGGTTTCAGGCTAAGGGTTGGAGGGAAGAAAGCAGATCTACGACTGTGAACATAGTTTTCGAAGGCGCCTAGCACGCGTCATGTTGGAGCCTCGCGTTTTCATATTCAGCGCTGCCCTGCGTCAAGTTGGCTCCCGGTCTCTTAAATACGCCTAGTACGGGTCAGGTTTAAGCCTCGTGTTCCCTAATTCGCCCCCCCCCCCCCCCGGCGACCATTTGGCTCCAGGTGGTTTGTCGATTGCAGCCTGGGGTTCTCTGATTGGAGCCTGCCCGTTTTCGGATTCACGTTGGGTTGATTGGGGCCTCCGATTTCCGATTCACGCTACACTCTACAATAGGGGGAGCACGGTGGAAGCTCGTGCTCAAGCAAAGAAACATTTCAGGAAGTTGCGTGCCGGGTGGGGGGCAGCGAAAAGAGTTCTGACAGACCATCTGTCAGAAAATCATCGCGACTGTCCTCTCCAGGTGTCAGGCACATCGCCGGCTCGCAGACTCAGATAGGCTTTCTCCGGTAGGCCCTCGCAGGCATGTGAAATCGAGCCAAACCCTGTGCACCCCAAGAATGCATGAGTGTCTACGTGAGAAGCCTCTGCGCCAGCCACGGTCACATCCATGACCTTAGCAGAGAAACGAAACCCCCCCAAATATTGCGAAAACAAAAACGGCTCCAGGAGCCTGACCAGCACTGGGTCTTGGCCCTCTGGAAACACTCGAGCCAAAATTGCAGCAAGTGTGGACGTCAAGGAGGCATGCGTGCGCTGTCTCTTTCAACTTCAATATACTTCAAAAACTAGTCAAGTGCCTGCCTGCCAAGGGTCATCACCCCGAAAATGTCGATGGCAGCTTTCCTGCCGCGAGATGGTGCCAATTGCGGAGGCGACACTTCATGAAATGCAAGTGTGATCTTCTGAGGTATCGACAGCCATTGGAACGAGGTCATTTCGGACATTCCTCGCAATCCAACCCTTCGCCAACCGACTTGCCTACAGATGCTGGGCGCTTCATGCCACAAAAAGGCCGAATAGGGCATCTTGGCAAGACCCTGTCCTGTCATGTCATCTGCGAAGCCTGCAAAGCCTGCAACGCTCGGACTCCAATGCCTGGAACAAAGGCACACGATGACTACTTCCCTTTGTACTACGCATGCCACAGAAACTGACAATCTAGTCACTGAGACCTCCAGGCTGAAGAGTACAGCTCAGACTCCACTTTGGCATTGGTTTCCAACCTTATTCCAACATCCGTTTTATTGCTGTTGCTCCAAATGACCCTGGAATGTCACATGACAAAGCTGCAAAACTTGCCGGCTTCACTCAGTTGCGTTGGTGAGAGCTTCATCTAGTTCAGAATGATGTCGCCAGGCGCGCTCAGGGGTCAAATGACTCGGCACACGTCCAAACATGGGTTCCAATGAACTGCCCGACTGAAAAAGCCTCGATGATGACGCAGCCGAGAGCCAGTTGGATGGAACGAAACATGACGGAACACTGACCGTGCTGACTACACTTATACGCTGTGTGGTTTCGTGATGCTTCGTGATACACCTGGAACCAAATTAGTGAAAACCACCTCCAGGAATTAACACTCAAATCTTGATGCATTGCAGTGAGCGGTATGCCGATATGCTGATATGCCGACATGCCTTTGATGAGGGAAGCTTTGCAAACCATGTTGCCGAAACCTGGAAATTCATGCAGAAGCTGGACCCAAGGTGCTTAAGCACTGCACCGCAGGCCTGACCTGCACGGCAACACGCTACCATGGCAACACCCCAGAAAACACGCGAGGTGATTCAAATGTTATTCGACAGGAATACAAAAAAGACAATAAACATAAATTATGCTGAATGTTTTTATGGGCAAACATGGAAGCTGCTGCAAGAACAACCAAAAATAGCTGCTTGCTAATCATTTTACAAGCACGTGCATAATGATGCTAGGTGTTTACGCACCCATTCTCAATTTAGGTTTCAACAACAGAAAACAAACTTTCTTCTCCGAACTCGATAACTGACAGAATTTTGACAATTGGAGATCGTGGTAGAGCTTTACTTGGCGATACTTATTGAAAATCTGAGTTGCTAGTAATGAATTATAAGTTTTTCAACAGAACATGCTTCTCAAGTGTAAAGCACATACGCTTTATATAGCTGACTTGCCTTTTTTGCACAACAATTTCAAGAACCAATGCTATGAGTTTTTGCTGCTTTCCTGCTTTCATGCGGGGGTTCCCATGCAGGGGTTCCCATATGGCGTTTCCATGGGGTTCAGCCACATCCCTAAGATTCCGTAACCCCAACAAGGAATCCCCAACTGCAACCCCTGAGAAGAGCCCCTCACCATCCATGGGGTCCCTACAGATTCATAAGCGGCCTGGGCGGGTTCCTTGGAAAGTCCGGCTGTTGTGGTGGCGCGGCTCAAAGGGACCCTGCGGACTCCATTTAAGTGTCCCGCTGAGGACCTCCTGAATAAAATGAACCACTCGGCCACTCTCTCCTTGAAACCTTCACGAACTCTTAGGGTCTTCAAGATTGTCGGGCCTGGTCGAGGTGGTCGACTTGCAGCGTTTACAACTATGTATCGCAGCCATGGTGTCGTGGGAACATGCGGGTATTTACTTGCATTTTACCCAGGGCCGCTGGCAGATCCACCTACCGAACTGTCATCTGGTGCCGAAGAATACATGTCTTCGGTATCCTCAAATTCAGCGTACGTGTCATCTTCTTCGAAGTCCGCATCCTCGTCATACATGTCTTCGGCATCCTCAAATTCAGCATACGAGTCATCTTCTTCGAAGTCCGCATCCTCGTCATACTCTTCGTAATCGAGCGGGGCCTCAGGCTCAGGAGCGAGGCCGTCGTCAAGCCCAGTACTTTTCAAGAATGTCATGAAGGCTGGTGGACGTTCCAAGAAATCATGCAAGGCTTTGGCGGGAGCTCGTCCACCCCCGGGTTCCAAGATGCTGCGCCGAAAGCGCTCACCCAAGCTTCGCACTCGGCCATGTCGGCCGTCACGACCGTCTGCGGGCACGGGCGCGGACTCGTCTTCGAAGGCCGCGAAAACGTCTGCTGCCAGGGCTTCTGCCCAGAGCTGACCGTAGAAAGCGCCGGCTGTTTCAGAATTCAAGGGCCAGCTGCAAAGCTCTCGATCTTGCACCCGTGGGCGGATCACCGAGTACTCAGCTTCGATTAGCTTGGCAAGATCGAATACATTGATGTCCCCGAAAGGGTCATAGTCAGCATGAAGTTCCAAATCGATGTGGGCCCTGGCTGCCTTCTGAAGAACTCTCGTTCCGGCCAAGAAATTCCGCGAGTCAGCCAAAGCGTCAACTGCAGCGGGAGGCAAGGCATCACCGTTTTTGTAATGACAGCTCATATCAGACAACACATGTCTGTCATAAGCCCATCGTTCAAGGAAGTATGCAGGAAGCTCAACGATGTCCATCTCAAGCCCTCTGCTTCCAGAAAGTACACCTTCTGGCTGCTTGCAGAACAGGTCGCGCAAGCTTGACCCAAACACATGGAAAAGCTTGACCACTTCTCTATGTGTCAATAGGCTGGGCTTATCGCCTGTAGGTGGCTCCACATCACACATGATGCTGACAGCTGGTTTGCGTGGGCCCGACCTTTGGCCCAAAATCTCTGAATAACTTTGTATTGCTGAAGACCAGAACCCCCGCTTCTTCTGGCCCCACCGTCTGTGGGCATCCAGGAAGAAGGATGCCACCAGGTCATTGGTATCAGCCTCTCTGATGCGGAAAAACCGTACATGCTCAGCCCACGCCAGTTCACTTTCCTCTTCGATCACCTGCACGGATCGTGCCCAATTATCTAGAAGGACGTCTGTTGAGGTCACGCACATGCCTCATTCATTGCGCTGCTGTCTTTGTGACTGCCTGCCGCTTTGTGTTCAACCTTCCTGGGTCATGCTCAACCCAAAAGTGTTTGCCAACGTTTTCCAGTTTCGAGAACAGCATGGAAGGGAGGCTCATGCAGAGCCTTCATCTGTTGGTTCTGGGCTGGCTGGCTGCGAGCTGATTCGATGTGATTGGCTGTTGCGAACGCAGCCCTTCTCATTGCGACTATGCTGTTGATCGTGTTTCTGACCCGAGCTAGAAGCGGACGCGGGAGCACAAAGCAGAAGAGCGCATACTGCAAAATGTCGCAAGCCTTCCGATCTTTGAGCGGGAGCACTACTTTGCACGAATGAGCGTGGTGCAATACAGAAGATTGGTGTCCGCTCGTGTCGTATGGGCAACTTGTCTGATGCCAGCTTTAACTTACACTGACTTACACTGACTTACACTACCCTTCCAAGCTAGGGACCCTACGGACCCTACGGACCCCTCGCCTTGACATTGAAAAGGTCCTCGAGCAAAGCGAAAAGGCCTCTGAGCACTACAGGCAAAGGGAAGAACTGGCGGATGTACTCCTCTTTCAGACCATAGCGTTGCTCCAACAGCCTTTCCCCCCAGTACTGCACATCAAAAATATCCAGCTCATAATCAGAACCTTGTGAGCGAGCGAAGACCTGCAACTCCTTCAGCTCCTTCCGAGCCATGGGCAAAGCCTCCTTGCGAAGCTTCGCCAAGAAGCCGTACGCCTGCTTTGGACTCGCCATGGTTCTGGTGAAGACAAGATCGGCATGCGTCCTGTAACCGACGACATTCGCCAGGCGCTTCCGTGCCTGCAGCAGGTGCTCGAGCATGGGGGTGTTGTCACCTTTGCCAACTCCCCCCAGGAAGGCGACCCTCAAGCGGTTCTCATGGATGAGCTCCCGAAGAGACCGCTTCTCGGCATTCCGTAGTAACGGCCCTGCAAGCGCATCATGCAAGGACAGGAGCCACGGGCCTCCTTCAGGCGTGGCTTTCGGATACCCCGCCTGCTTTGCAGACTGTGCTGCATCTTCCAGGACCCAAGAAGGCACACCTTCAAGCTCTCCTCGATCCCTGATTAAGTACGCTCTGGACTCCATGTCCCGCTCAATGTTTTGATCCCAGATGAGAGAAATATTGAAAACAGCCCCCCGAACTTTCTGGAGCTCCAGAAATGCGTCGGGATCATCTCTATAGATCCCATTATGCTGCAGATTGATGCCGTCCTGCTCGAATAGAATCATCAAGAAGGCAGCGGCTCTTCTCTGGGCTTCGGTTGCATCGTCATCGAGAGACAGCAGTTTCACGAAAGCACGGGAAAGTCTGTCACAGCGTCGCAAACGGCGCTCAATCGTCCAACGAGCTTGCGCTGCATATCTGAATGCTTTCTTGAACTTCATGGACGGGTCAAGGACATCTTTGATGTGTTTCACAGCTGCAAACGCTCGATCTGCCTTGTCCAGAACACGCTCCAAAGGGTCGAGAACATATCTCCAGTCATCGGCAACATAAGGCACAACGCAATGATGCTGCCAAATATCATTGATTGCTGTTTTTTCCATCCACTCATGACCACGGTGCGCGTGTTCTGGTCGGATCTCCTTCCAAGGAGGAAACTCCTTGGCTCCATTGACCAGAATATTTGTTCCGTGCTTCAAGTTGGGAATGATCTCCTCTCCATTGGATAGAGTGAAAGGCTGCTCCGTGCTCCAGTTACTGCCCTCCTTTCGCCAGGTACGCACTGCTTGACGCTGCCGTCTGGACTTCATGTTTTGGTGAGTGACGAGCTCTTCCATCCCATGACTCTCCAAGACATCTGCGACTGCCCTTCGTAAGCATCCGCTAGGTCCTGCCAAGTCTGCAACATGTCAACTTCCTGCACATCATACATGCACATACCGCTTCCGCTGCTGCCTCGTGTGCTAGACAAGGACGGACTCAAAGAAAATAGTCTCAAGGATGCAGAACCTGTGCAAGACTGAACAAATTCCAGGAATCGTGCTAAGCCAACAATCGAGAAGCGCACCTAGCAGCCAAAAGCACAGAGCCGCAGAAGCCCCTCGGAACCTGAGCAAAGATATGCAAAGATAGATCTGGGAGTGTTCGGCTGCATCAAAACATCGAGGCACAGCACGCGTGGGCCTGGATTCATGTAGTCTCCATCCGGCCATTGCCATTTTTGTTCAATGGTTCCAGAATTGCTAAGATTTTCTGTGAGCTCCTTGAATCTGTCGTAAGGCTGCTTCTTCAGTATGCTTCTTCCCCTTCACCAGTTCACCATATTGTGTCGCGGTTATGTGGAACTCCAACTCAACAGAGCCGTCAGAGAATGACAAATGTGCTTCCGCACATGCTGCGGAACATTCTGGAAGAGGCATCTTGTTGAAAACAATGCTGCAGCATGCATTTGAGTCAGGAGTCCTTCTGCAGTCTGCAATACAACCAGCCAGCTAAACATCTTGCACAGCTCGCTGCGTTAGCAAGCATGCACTCATCACCTCCAGCCCGATCCGGCGCAACGCCCACTCTTTCCCACACTGCCCCCTTCTGGTCTTTCATGGCCACTCTGCTATTCGTGGGCTTGACAGCCGCTGCATGTTCCCTCCAAATAGAGCAGTGGGGGGAGTTCAGGGAATCGCCAGCCCAAAAATATGTGGAGCCTGCAGAGGCCATCAGTAGCTGGGATTGTTCTTGTATAGGCTCCTGCACTTCCTAACCCCTGGTACCAACACCTCTCTTTTCTAAACAACCTGCTTGTCCTTTGACCCATTGACGAACCATCAGCCCCGCCCCCTCCCCGCTTTTCAACCTTCCTCCAGCTTCTCTGTAATCTTGCATACGAATCTGGCCAAGGCGGAGGGTGCACTTTGTTTCTTGGGGTGTCGCCTTCCACAAGAAAGCATCTTGTGGCTGAATCTTGTATAGATGCTATCTACAGGACTTACAAGCCCTCATCGCCGAGACCTGCAAGATCAGTAAACGCTGAATGCATCTGCTCTTCATCTGGGATGCTTCACAGAGGATATGCAGATGTGATATGTGTTGCCTCCTCTGTGCAGGTATTGGTCCTCCACAGTCCTGCAAGGCAGGGTGCTACTAAGACATCCGAGCATACGTGCTAACACTTTGAAGCATGCGCAGCTCCTGTCAATGACCTGAGAGCTCACAGGGTATGCTCAGTGTGCTCACTATGCTCAGCATGCTCGGTATGCTTTGTAGGGCCTCAAAAACGTCTCTCTGATCGAGGCTCCAAGGCCAGGGCATCCGACCCAGAGTAGCCCTGCAAAGGCTCCGTCGCTTGAGAGGTGACGCCTAGGACTCTTTCAGTGTCACGGTCACGTCTGCCACTTTAGGGTAGTATCGGGTAGACTGCAAGGTCATTCTCAGGCTCCAGCGTTCCTGACCCAGGCCGACCTGGAGACTCTGAACTCTCCATCGGGCCATGGAGCACAAGTGTGCAAGCGACAGCTGTCTGTAAGCCCGAAACAAGCTTCATGAAGCCGGTGGGCACAGAGGCGCCGCCTGATGTTTCTGCTCTTGCAGAAATCGCTTGCTCGGGAGGTATCGCCCAAAAAAATTGCAAAGACTAATTGCGTGTCACTGATCTGCCGAGGCCTCAGGCCGTAGGCATCTTCAAGGAACATTTTCAAGCACCAACCCTGCTCGGACGCTGCGCCACCCCCTTGGCTCTTTTCTTGCTTGGTACCCCATGTACCGGCATCGGTGCGCCGGCTGCCAGCCCACCCCCTGAAGATCTGAGATCTGCCGTGTACCAGTCCAACACTATATAATGATGCATGCCCACTGCTCCAAGCTCTTGCGGTAGACTACTCTCCGGTGTACGATGAGCACAGAGCAGGGAAGACGTGGAAGACGCGTGGAGTGCATCACCGAGCTGTGTGGCCAGGACTTCCTATGCACAACTACGACACTACGACAAGGACTTCGGATCGAACTTCAAGGTCAGCCACAAGATATCGGCACAACTGGCTTCACGCACTAAAGGTGTGGGCAGACTTCACGAAATCAGAGGAGATCTCGGCTCTCGAAAAAGTAGTTGGCCTCGCCCTGCTTCTCCGATTTCGTTCTCCGATTTCGTCAAGGATTCCTTGAGGCAAGTCGTGAGCTTACCATCGAGGAGGAGGTGAGGTTGATAGAGGAACAGAAATCACTTCAAGCAGTAGACTCCAAGGACGTGGAGCAGTCCGAAAAAAAAAAGATGGAAGCTCCTCAGTAAAAGAGGAACAGTTCCGACAGATCCGACAGAAGGCTCGTCTCTGAAGAAGCAAAGGAAGGTGCAGTTCCGGGAGAGGTTCATCAAGCCAGACAGCTCGCCCGAAGCAAGCACCATGCCAAGAAGTCGAAGGGGCCAGGCCCTGAGATTGTCCACGAGCGGGCGAGGTTTCTGGGAGACGATGGCTGAATGCCTTCGAGTTGCGTATCAGTGTTTCTCAGTGGCTCCTCAACATCAACCGCCAACATTTCATGCTGATCGTCTGTGTCATCGACACACACACACACACACACACACCCGTGTGGAGGACAAACCAACAGCAGAAAAAGAGTTGGGTCGGCGAATGCCAGAAGAAAGGAGCGCCAGAAGGCCGACAAGGCGAAGTCCCAGCCGGAACAGAGCATGGCCAAAATGGCCAAAGTACCTTTCCTTGAAAAGGCACGGACAAGGCAAAGGTACGGGACATGCGATTCAACGTCGCAGAAAGAATCTCACTCGAAACAGCAAGAGATTCCGATCCCCTAGGGTGAAGCTTTTTGGAGAAGGACGTGATCCCTTCATGTCTGCAGTCGTGTCAGCCTTAGCATCCTTGTTGAAGGACACCTTAGCCATGAATAGATCATGTATGCTGTATCTCCTGTGTGGGCACTTGAAGTTTGCCTCAACAGAAAGAGTGCTTCCCTTCCAGGCAGGAACATGGAATCTCAGCTGCCGATGCAAAAGAATTCTTCAAGAAACGACTCTAATGGCAGAAATAGAAAACCTGACGTTTGGATATCTTCCCCTCGTTGTGACGTCAGGATATGTTCTCACCCTTTCGAGCTAGAACCGGAGCTAAAGGGCAAGCCGACTCACGGCCACGCATCGATCTGCTGGGCATGTACCAGTCCAACACCAATGCAAGTTGCCCGCTGCTCAAAGTTCTAGCGGTAGACTACTCTCCTGTGGGCCTGGAGACGAAATCGAAACTCCCGTCCGCCTTGCTGACAGTTCCGTAGTGCATGAGGTCAGCAACGCTCAGGTTACATATCACCCCCAGCCCTCCACCCCCCTCCCCGCCTATCCCGAGTTTTTTTCTGGCAGTGTTCTCTCTTGTCTGGAGAGACCACGTTCGGCATCTCGGCTTCTAGCGTTGCAGTTTCTCGTCGCCCGCACCATCCTTTGCGTCAACCCTCGGCATGGAGCTTGTTCACTTTTGTTTGCTGCCCGCCCCGACAAAGTCTAGCCTTTGTACTCTTGCAGACTAGGTGTTTACTGTCCTTGGTTGAATGAATGCCTACATCACGATTGATGTCAGCCCAACTGCAACCATACGGGCTGCCTCCTCGCAAGCAAAAGCAACAGAGTACCTCTCAAGCGTTTGCATCAACACTCATGCGATCTGTCGTCCGAATTGTAACAAAGCAGTCGCACAAGAAGCACCACGGCAATGCCAGGCGACAACGCCTGCAGCTTGTCCAAGGCTCAAAGGCTCAGTGCTCTCTTCGCACCGTGCCGTAACCGAAGCTGTCCGTTTTATCTCTAAGGATCTGAGGGCTGTACAAGTCCTCCATCTGCTTGACCGTCGGACTTGACGGTTATTTGCGCCGAGCCTCCAAGCAAACACGGGGCCACACAAGATTTCCCTTGTGCAAAAAATCCAAAGTCTGAGCCAGATGCCATCCGTGCTGCCAAAGATGGCACACCTCACTCAATCTGGACAACACCGGACAACAATCAGTTTCGAATGCTCTAAACTAATTGCCACGAAATCTAGGAAAGAATCGCAGAGAAAAAATGTCTGCGACAGGTTTATAAAGTCGGTAACGCCATGCTTGGTTTGGTGCTGCGATTGCTCACGCAACTGCTGGGGCTTCTTTGACGGCTTTAGCGCTGTACAACTCTACGAGTGGCACTGGTCGTCAGGCTGAGCCAAGCGTCTGCGCAAGCATGCAAGCATTTTCCAGAGCTATGCATCCTGATTCTTGTCTAGTAGACTCTGTGACCGTGCAACTTTGTTTCGATTTTGGTGCACTTGACTTGCAATGCCTTCTGGAGGGCCTACCGGCCCAGAGTTTCAATCCTTCTGAACCCGGGGGGATACATTTGCACCATTCACACGTTTAGTGGGCTTAAAGCATTGAACGGCATCGCATGGACGGCTGTAGCCTGCGACAACTGCCGCTATGGGCTCCCAGCACCTGTCTTCCTACTATTTGCACGATTTGCAGGCAAAGCACCATACATCTTGTTGATCTTGAGCATCAATCCGCACAATTCGGTTCACCTGGCCGTTCAAATCCAACGGTTTGTTCGCTTGGTGCGACACGTGCGACTTAAAACCTGGCCTGTGCAGGAGCCTGGTCAAAATCAAAGAGCGTCTTCGGCGAAGCTTTTGAAGATGTCAAGACTGTCAAGCAGGGCCGATTGAGTGAGACAAAGTGGAGCCACATGTGTGATGGCCCCTAAGGCCCCGGCCATTGGAAATCGAGGTGCCGGAGAGGAATGTCAGCTGCATTCGTGGCACATGCTGAACGTTCCGCAGGTGGAGGAGCGTCATTCGATCTTTGAATGTACGCACCTGTAAACGAGGCAAATCAGTGAGCCTCCGTGCAATTCTGTGGAAATCTGTGAAACTGCGGAAATCGGACCCTACCAGGCCTGCAGGTGAGCGACGGCCGCTTGGCGGATGTCCATAGTGTACATGAACTGTTCTCCGCTCGGATACTCCTGGCAACTCTACTCGACTTGCACACACACACACACACACAGCAGCTCACAAAGCGAGGTACCCATCCTGATTGTGGGCCATTTCCACACTTCTCAAGTCTTGGAACGGATTGTACAACTGAGCTGTCCTTCGGCAATGCATAGCGGGCGTTCCGAGTGCAGAAGTAGCCAGCTAAGGCTTCTAAGGTGATGACCAACTTTCATCTGAATCCGCGGTGAAGCTCTCATCTTCCACGAGAGATATACCCGCCGTAGCAGAAATGTCACCCCTGCCAGCTCACCACAACAACAACAACAACAACAACAACAACAACAACAACAACAACAACAACAACAACAACAACAACAACAACAACAACAACAACAACAACAACAACAACAACAACAACAACAACAACAACAACAACAACAACAACAACAATCCTCGGCACGTCGGCTACTCTGTATCCGCCTTGGGAGCTCCAGCAGTCTTTGCTAGTTCGTACTTCACGCCCCTCAGGGCTGCTGAAAGATTGTTGTGCACAGCTATGTTCGATTATGTGGAATGCATCCGCCCCTCAGGGCTGCGATAGCGCTGTGCTGGCTGGGCACCCTACGACCGCTTCCTACTGGCTCACCTGCACCCGCGACTGCTGCAGTGCCGGCTGGCCCCGATGTTGTGTTGCAGGCTAGAGCTGTGCGCTAGCTGAGTTTGGTGTGATTAAGGCGGGCAAGTGTGATTTAGAAGGTCTCACCCGCCTTTTTTATTTCACAGTCCGGCCTTTTGGACTTCGAGAGGATCGCTTCCTCCAGATTGCCAGGTCTCACTACCTGCTATACTGAATCTGCTTTGGCAGAGTACTTAAGGATATGCAGGAGGAAACCTCCTAATCTGATGCAATGAATCAATGAAGAAATTGAAGAAATTGAAGTTGGCACGGAGGCAGCCTCCGATATCAAGTACTCAGCACTGCAAAAGAGTGAAAAATAAGCGCGGCTACCCCGACACCCTACTGTGAGTCACTGCGTCCAGCACCCACGCACCAGCTGTTTAGCGAGCCGTACCTCTGGTGAGGCCGACACTCAGCGTTCCTGTCTAGTGACGTCTCACACAGGTAACGCTAAACAACTGGCAGAGGGCCGTAGGCAGAGCGCACCAAGGCGGCCTTGCACGTTCCAAGAAGGATGCCCAAGTTGGAGGCAGGGTAGCTAAGTTTGCGAAGCCTGACCTGGGACGCCTTGCGCGGCTCCTGGGGCCAGCGCTGCGACAGGGCAAAATTGCATTCCTGGTCGAGAAAATGTGACCCCAACTGACCGAACTTGACGAGGAGGTCTCGCATAGGCACGAGTACTTTGCGAAGAGGGAAGCACCTGACCTGGGACACCTTGCACGGCTCTCGGGGCCAGCGCTGCGACAAGGCAAGGTTGCATCCGAAAAAGTGACCCTAATCTGAACCCACCGACCTGGAGGAGACCTCACATGTTCTGAAGTGCGCGCAGGGCTCTTTCAGATGCTTCAGGTTCAGGGACAAGAATGGGTCAGCTTGGCCTTAAGCTACAGCAGGCAGAACGGTCTACTGTGAGAAACACTACCGGGGAGGAAGCCTCCGGAGGAACCTCCGCATGTGAAAGTTTCACGCAAGAGACTATACATCTTAGCACGAGATCATGGCTTTATTGCGCGCAGGGCAGCGTTCATGCCGAGTTGCCTTAGGCAACAGCAGGCAGATAGGTCTACTTTAAGAAGAAAGAACACTGCTGCGGAGGAAGCCTCCGGAGGAAACCTCCGCATGCGAAGGTAGAGCGAGCTAGACCCTTACGTAGAAAGCCAAATACGATCCCTGGCAAATTTGATCCGAGAGGAGCGTAGTTCGCCGTGGTGAGCGGTCATCATCCGCGAGATACGCCACTTCTTCTCTCAAAAAACCTGTCCTATAATGCCCAGATCTCCAATCATCTCCTAGATGAATGATGAATGCATATAGTCGAAAGCTGACCACAGCGGTTGTCGTGCCATTATCTATAAACTCTGGAAGCTCCAGAGTTGTGTCTAAAACTTGAGGCCGATTTGTTTTCTCCAAGTGCTCAAACCTTTGGATCTGAATGCAAACCAGGTTCACTCCCGGGAGTAGCCCATAGGTGCTCCCCCTGTGCGCCCACTGAGAAATGGCTTGCTGTAGTGTGGAGAGGCCATCTGGTGGGTCAGGCAAGAAAAGAATCAAACCCCCTCTATCCTCTACGCTGATTCTTTCCACGGGTGCTGTGATTTGAACCCTCGCTTCCCAAACATCTGCTGAAAGCACATGGGATCTCTGAATGATATGTGCTAGAAACTGGGATGCATCTTCTTGCCTGGGTCTGAATCGCCATCCCGTCAGCAGAGGACGTAGCTGTCGCAGCCTACGAACATCCACACTAGAAGAACGACCCCCTACTGCGTCAATTTCCGTCAATATTTGTCTCAGATATGGATCAGAAAGAATACCCTCTGATGCAAGCGAGGCAAGGATATGCACTACTGTGTGTGCATAGCACAGTTGATGCGGATTATGATAGGCCAGAGACCAGGCTGTGACGGGCACTGACGAAGGTCTCCCCTCTGCTGGTGCGTCTCGCTGGGAGCTTGCTGGTGCCTGATGAGACCGAATCCTACTGGTGGAGGAAGCCTCCTGGGAGGAAGCCTCCCTTCCTCTCACCTGGCTAATTGGAGGATCTGCACTGAAGAGATCTGGCAGTTCCATAGGCTTGGCACAAGCTGCACTCATGGCGTATGTCTGAAGCAGAACCACACATTGCTCTGCATGGCGTACTGGAGCATCTACCACAATGCGACAATACCTACATTCTTCTTTTTTGTGCAGGAGGCGCTTATGTGTTCGCATGTTGGCAAGAATGGATGCCGAGGATTGTGCCCAGAAAGCGGGATGAGCTTTCTGAATGTGCTGTTTCACTCCTTTGTGGCCAACAATGTATTGCCCACAGAGACTGCAGTTCGTTAATAGATGCTGAGTGACATGTCTCTTTTTTAGTAGAAGATCAGGATCCTTCTTAAGTTGTTCCTGCACGCTAGACTGATAGATCATAGCTATGCTTTCTGAGCTTGTACAGGATTTGGCTCGTTCTTTGAGCTCGTGCAGCTGAGGGCAAATGCCTGACTCCACATGTCTGCGAAGTTGATGCATTGTGCGCAACTGCCTGTTGCATGCCGCACATTGCGGAAGTCCTTTGCAGCATGCACAGTGACCTGAAATTTTGGGCCTAGCTGATTCGCACGCTGTCCTCCATGCTTCACCAGAGTATGTTGCTGAAGACCCTTAGCGCTGGAAAATTTCCGATCGCACAGAGAGCACGGTACCTCCTGGTCTGCCTCGATCAGGTCCAAATGCATGCTCTGAAGCTCCTGTTGCAGCGCAACAATCCTACCTCTAAGTCCCAGATGCCACTGTATGTTCTGATCCGGGTTGGACTTCTGACAGGCATCTAGTGCGTCTTGATAGTTTTTCATCTGGCTGATCAAAACTGCTTGAGGAGTCTGAACCTTATATTGCTCGAACAGAGTCTTCGTGTCAATATGGCTGTAGTGCTGATGTTGCTTAAAGATGGATCTTAGCATCCTCGAGTATTTACTCTGAAGCTTCTGAAGACCTGATGAGGTGATGCCAGTGGCCACAAGCCCATGCAAGAGTGAGGATTCCACATAGACCCTCCAGATCTCCAACTTCTTTGAAGCCTCCAAGGCCTTAGTGGAGCACAGGATGTGTCGAAGTAGCTCAAACTTGCCTTGAGCTTGGGCGATCCTATAGTCAACCGTCTGGTCTTTGTAGGATCCATAGCTGAGCTGCACCCCTAGATATGTTAGTTTGTGATGAATCGGAATCTTATGTCCTGAGGGAAGGACGATGTGCAACTGCTTCTCTTTGCGCATCGTGTGCTTCTTGCGAAAGATGGACTGCTGAGTGCCCTGAACCATTAGCAAGGCTTTGGACTTCGTTGGATTGACTTCCAGCCCCACGTCCTCAAGAGACTGAAAGAGAGCCTCTATTCTGAGCAGGACTTTCTGAAGTTCAGGAAAGCTCGAGAAGGTTTCCTGGAGCAGGAAATCGTCTGCAAAGACTGTTAGGATGTCCCTAGCTTGCTTGCTATCTGGGCCCCATTTCTGCTCCATTCTGCTCATGACTAGAAGTGTCAGCGCAGACCACAATGCCGGGGCTAGCTTGCAACCTTGTTTGATTCCTGAAGAAGTGGGAACTTGAATCTCTAGTCCACTTGTGCCCATGTTGTAGGAGGTCTCACTGTGTAGTTGAACTACCAGTTCTTTCGTAACAGGGTCTGTTCCCAGGCGATCCAAGGCAGCTAGCAGCTCATGTCTATTAACAGAATCAAAAGCTTTGCTCAGATCAACCGAAATAGTAAGTGCCCCTGACAGCTGAGCCTGCCTGGCTCCGCGTTGGGACTTGTGCAGGTCCCTGCGATGCACTTGACGGAGCTGCTGCACGAAATCAAGGTGCTGACATGCTTTCGCGATGGCGTCCCGCACCCCCCTCTGCCTAATGTACGCAAATTGAGGCTGAAGTTGTGAGCTCTCCTGCAGTGCTGGTGCAATGCGAGTCTTCACTGCGCCTGCTAGCACTTTGCCTGGCACGCTGATGACTCCTATGGGCCTCAGGTTTTTCATGGCGGTGGCTGGCTTGCCCGGCTTGGGGATCCATGCAATTCGAGGGTCCTTTAGATAAGGGGAAATTTCAGAATGGGACACCTCAGAGTTGATTAGACCTGCTATGTGTTCGTGGGCTTCAGGACCTAGACTCTTCCAAGCTGATACTGGGGCTGAGGTGCTGGGGACTGCTTTCCCCACTGGCACTGTCTTGATTTGTGAGGATACCTGCAAGGCGGTGATCGCTGCTCTGGGCACAGCAGCTACTGAGTGCAAAGGAGAACTTTTGGAGAAGATTTGACTCGAGTATTCGCGCATAGTTTTTAGTGAGGCCTCCGTATCAAGCTGCTCACCTGCTTGATCCCTTAGGTTGACTCTCTGCACTGGGCGCCACGGAGCAAGTTTCCTGAGAGTATGAGCCAGTTTGTGGGATTGTTGCCTTTTATCTTCCTGGGCTTGTAGAAGCAACTGCTCTTGCTTCTCTAGCTTTCTTTGTTTTTGCTGTTTTTTGAAAGTCCGCGCCTCCTCCTTGATGTCCTCCACAAGCTTCTGGCATTCTGAATTATGCTCGGTTCCAGCCCTCTTGTGCGCCTGGATTTGCCGCACTTTCTTCCAGTATTCCTGATGAATAGGACCTGCAACTGGCTGAGACTTGCGTGGAGGAGGATAGTGCTCAGCTGATACACTAACCATCACTTCATCCAGTTCTTGCCAAGACGGTCTCACTTGCATTGTCCTCACCACTGCTTCCGTCAGACGATGTGAGTATGCCTGCCAGTTGTCATCTTTCCGCCGAAAGCTCGCATCCAGGGCTGTGGCATCAAACGGCCGTGGCTTGCTGGGTGTAGGACTGTAAGGAGGAATGAACAGAGTGGCTCGCACTGGAAAGTGTTTTGATCCATCTCTGTAGGCAGCCACAGGAAAGTTCTTATCCGAGTAGGCCTCCTTGGATCTCCTCCGAGCATCGTGCAGTCTGACCAGCAAAAAATCGATCTGAGAGGAATATGTGCCATCACTGTTAGCATACGTACTGCGATGGCCAGAAGCCCATGTGTTCAGCGCAGTTAGTCCACAGGATTTGCAGAGCGAGGGCAGTGTCTTCACATCCGCATTTGCAAACCGTACTCGATGAGGCACACTTGGTCCGATATGAGGACGTTCAGTCACCGCATGCGCATTGAAATCCCCAGCCACAATCAAGAAGTCACGTTGTGGGACTCTCTGTATTCGATTTTCGAGCTGTGTCATCACGTCCTTTCTCCTGCCTCTGTTTTCCGTCTTCGAGAGCTTTGAATCCCAGACGTGCTGGCACAGGTTCAGGAGATGTATTCTGGATCTCTGCCACGGGATCATGACGTGCTGCAAATGCCCTGGAACAATGGAAGTGCTGCGAATTTCTGAAAGAGGAGCCAGTGAGCTATGCACCAAGACAACCAGGCCAGCCTTGTGTCTACTTGTTGAGCCACAGGTTAAGACTGACCACGGGCCTGAGCTGTAGACCTGGTCCTGCTGCCAATGCGATTCCTGCAGGAAGACGATTTTGATGTTCTTGTACTCTGTTGTTGCCAAAAGGGCCAGAGTCTCGTTCCAAACTCGGCTTGTAATTGAGCCTGCGTTCCAAGTAAGGACTTCCATGTCAAATTTGTGATGGATCTGTCTGTTCGGTTGAAAAGATCGCTTCTCCGCTTTCGCAGGAGACGCGAATTGTCCTTCATGAGCTCCTAGAGCCTGAGCTGTCAGAAGACGGCCTTTGTAAAGTGCTGCTCCCTTCGCCAGGGCAACTTTACAAGCTCTTTGGTAGCTTCGCTTGCCGGTTTTGTTCATGGTTAGCTGACTTCGCTGCGCATGCTGCTCAGCTTCATCGGGGGGCGCTACTTCCCGAAACCCTCGATTCTGATCCATGGCTGGGCCCTGGGACTTGGGACCCAGGCACCCAAGAAAGCTCGCTACGGCTACGAGAAATAAAATCCTCATCTTGGGCCAGAATCTTAACGGCAACAACAACAACAGCAACAACAACAACAACAACAACAACAACAACAACAACAACAACAACAACAACGACAAAAACAACCACAACGACAACAACAACAACAACAACAACAACAACAGCAACAGCAACAGCAACAGCAACAGCAACAGCAACAACAACAACAACAACAGCAGCAGCAACAACAACAACAACAACAACAACAACAACAACAGCAACAGCAACAGCAACAGCAACAGCAACAGCAACAACAACAGCAACAACAACAACAACAACAACAACAACAACAACAACAACAACAACAACAACAACAACAACAACAACAACAACAACAACAACAACAACAACAACAACAACAACAACAACAACAACAACACAAACAACAACAACAACAACAACAACAACAACAACAACAACAACAACAACAACAACAACAACAACAACAACAACAACAACAACAACAACAACAACAACAACAACAACAACAACAACAACAACAACAACAACAAAACAACAACAACAACAACAACAACAACAACAACAACAACAACAACAACAACAACAACAACAACAACAACAACAACAACAACAACAACAACAACAACAACAACAACAACAACAACAACAACAACAACAACAACAACAACATTCAACGAAAGCACTTTGTGCAGGTCTTGGCAAGACATTGGCAAGTTCAAGATGTTACAAGCACGCTGACCGGAGCTTCAGCTTACATGGAAACGCCCGAGAGCCTTATGAGTGCCGTTCACTCCCAGCACATACTTGACTTCAGATCTGGCATCCAAAGTTTTCCAAAGCTCACGGCACCAACAAAATTCACAAAGGGTGTCCGTGCTTCTCGCCGCCGTGCAGGGCATGTTCCTTGTTTTTTCTAACATTAGCAAGCCAACGCACCCAGAATTGCTGCTTTATGCTGCTTCCATTGAAGCAGGAGGGCCAGGGTGCCACCACGCATCCACACCTTCCTCTGCCGAAGATGCTATAGGCACCTATCGAAAATGACAGGGGTGCAGTGTACTGTCGACATCTATCATGAAAGGGCTACTTTGCCAAGACCATCCTCGTTCTTGGCAATTGGTCACCAGAACTTGGGACCTTTCGCCTTTCGCTGTTTTCTTAAGGACCTGAGGCCGCCATAAATTACGGGACGAGCCCGCAACGCCCAAACTGCTGGCTTGGACAGGGATGTCACGCGGGACGCTGTAAGCGGGAACCCAAAAAAACAAAACAGCCAGGGACAAACAACCCTCGGGTTGAGAGCCAGACTCTTTGAGGGAACAAGCTGCAACCATGAAATTTCATCGACTATTGAAGAGCAGCCGAGAAGTACCTACTCATGTACTTACGTCCAGTTACGTCATGACTGTCAAAGCCGGTCTCATAAAACACCAGAGATTTGCTGTGCACCCATTGGACATTGCTTGTGATGTCCTAAGTCCTAAGAATTCCCAAGAAGAATCACAACTATCACACCACTTCATAAACAGTCTACGCTGCCCTACAGTGAGGGCTCAAGGCATGCTGTTTGAAACCAAGGCTTAGGCTTACGTATAGGCCAATAATCTGAAACATAAACCTATTGACAATGTTGCAACAATCGACACGCGTCCGATCGCGTCCGTGAAAGACCTTGGCCGACTCCCACAGCTCCGGGATGGAAAGCCTCTATGGGCTTCAATCCCACCACGTGCCAACGTTGACAAACAAAAAAGGCCAACAGGATTCCGACACTCCTCTCATGAGAAGGACAAAGCTGACAGGGTCACTTGAAATTCTTCCGGGGCGGACCTTGCTTTGAGCCTGAGTACCAGACTTACGAGACGACACAAGCACACCAGACTACTCATCTCAAATATGAAAGGAATGAAAGGAAGCACTGCTACCAACAATTCTGCAGCTATCACACGACGACAAGAGAAATATAGCCGTAGCCACTGGCTCCCGGTAATCATCGAAGATCCTGCCTGTCCATTCTGTATCGGCGATGGTGCAGTACTCCGACAAATACGTACCGCGTCTCCTGCTCACAGCATACAACTGGATGCCGGATGCCACCCAGTGATCGCTTGAAAGTAGGGCGGTCCGAAGCACCGTTGTGCATGCACTTGGCGGTCAATGGCAGGCAGCCAGAGCAGCAGCTGCAGACTCAGCACGGTGGACAATGGTGGACAACTTTGAACTTTGAACACTTCAAAGGGACTGCAGCGGATCTAGTGAGGAGGAGGTGCCACTGCCAAGCCATGCCGAGCCCACTGCGTTTGCACCTTTCGTCCGTGCTGTCTAAGCAGCTCATACAACTGCCACAGCCAACCTGTCGAGCACGCGGAATGCACGGGGAATGCACACGCCACCTCTGAGCGAATGCATTGGCAATGCAATGCGTTGCCTCGCATTGCTGCGCTTCTGGACCGGAACAGCCTCTCTGTAGTGTTACAATACGTTACACGTAGCTCGGCTGAGAAAACTTGACACCTGCGACATATGTTTTTGCCAAACATGCCAACGAGCCAAATACATGGCCATAAGGCTGTGAGGAAGTGGCTGATATCGCTGGCACAGGCTGCCAGGCTCTGACTGCACCTGAATGCTTTGCAAGGGCTTCGACTGCACACCCAAGAAGCGGAAACTCGTCGACTCGTCATTGACTTGTCGTAGACTCATCGTAGACAAGCGGAGTACTTCGGGATACTCCGGGTTCCCGACCGCCGGTGCGAGCAGTCTTGGCAAGGTATGCTGCAGGCCGTCTTGTCTGCGCTCTGGGCCTCAGACACGCAAAATGACGACTGAGAAAGCTGTTCAGCGTAATATGCCTTTGCTGCACTCTCCCATTTGCCCACTCCTTGGGGCGGCCGCACATTGCAGACACTTCATGCAGGCATCCTGCAGCATAGATCTTGTATCAACAGGCAGTACTGGAAATCAGGTGATGGCCTCACAGTGGAGATAGGCTGGTGCAAGGCAAGCTGGATGCGTCAGCTTGGGAGCTTCTGGGCAGCCCACCTTAGAGATTCTCTCCTTTTCCTCTCCTTTTTCATCTCCTTCTTCATCTCCGAAACATCTCCGAAACATCTCTTGTGGCATCTCTTGGCCTTAAGCTTCGGATCAAGCGGCTCCAGAAAGCTGTCGAAGGCTGGCGTTCCCCATGCTGCCCTTAGTGCAGAACCAGCTGAGCTTCCGAAAGAACACAAAAAAACCTCGAGAGAAGAGAGAGAAGAGAGAGTCCCCCCTTTTTGGGCTTTTTTGGGGTCTCGTATATGGTCTCGTTCTCAGGCCCTGGCTGTGGCTTGGGTCCTGCGGGGCAAGGTTGGCCCGGCCTGCGGAGCTCAGAGAAAAACCTTAAGACAAAAACACCTTTTTTTGCCCCTTTTCACTTACAATTTCCACTCTCTGTCTCACGCTTGCGACTGGCGAAAGCAAAAGAAAAGAAGCTGGAATGCAGCTGTGGCAAGGATTCCTCCATTCCATCACCAACAGCGGGTGGGCGCCCGCCGAGGCCAAAAGATTCGGGGCCATCGAAGGCTGGCGGACCTGTGCGTGTGAATCACGAAGTGGGTCACGAAGTGGATCACGAAGTGGATCACGAAGTGAACCGCCAAGTGAACCACAAAGAATGGACCTCACATGGACCGGCTCCGGCCTCCTGGAGCTCCGACGCCGCCGGATGCCTCGACCTCTCACAGGCCCGAGCTCTAGCGGTCCCAGAACCAGCTGTCCACCGAAATACACTCATGCTCCTATACTTCCTCTTCACGCCTTGAACTTCAAGACCGTGTGCGATCCTGGCAAAGCAGCTTGGCGCAAAAAGAAGCATGTCACAAAGCACTGACTGAGATTGCACATGCTCCATCCTGAATGTACACATTGCTTTACATGCCACAAACCGCCAATAAATGGACAGGACTAAAGATTGGACCACCAAAACCTGAACATGTTGCAGAATCGCGGCATCGCGAACATGTGGATTGAACCTAGCCTGCGTAGCGGAGAAATACATCCGCCGGAAACCAAGATACGGATTGCGATTTTGTACTGGTGGGGTCCTGGTGTGGCTTGGCCTTGCCATGCTTGCCTGCGTGTGCTGATGCCTCTGGGTGGGGCGAACTTTCGTCCTATCTGAAAAGGAGGCGTTGAAAGCAAGATCACGAAGCAAGACGATGCACTGAGTACAGCGACGACCTGCCACGACCTGCCACGCCCCCCTCCCACGGACATGCTCTCTTGCTTTGCTGTTTGTAAAGATCCACCAAAGAAACTCGTTGAGATCTTCATGATGAGTGGAGTCTTTTCTGCTTGGCTTTGGCTGCTGTGGGCTGAAACCCAGAAACCTCCAGCTCCTTTAAACTTTGGTAGACAAACTCCTATTTCCCTATACTTCGATAGGAAAATCCATGTCCTCTGTAGCATTCCCCAAACAGCCCTTGTAGTTCGAGAATAGAAACGGTTTAGTGGTGTTTTTCGTAACCAAGCACAAAGGAAATAGAGGCTTTCAATAGTCGTGCCCCAGAGGTTTTCCTACATTTTGCTGCCGGCGTAGACTCTGCACACACTCAAAAAGACTTACTTCAACAGCATTCGAAGAGAGCACCCCGAGAGGGAGAGCACTCCCAGACCCCATAAAGACCTGCAAAAATGCCGCTCTCACACTGAACACCCAACAGCGCTCCGCAAAACACCTTTGCAAACACGGGGAAAATTCTTCTTCGAAACACTCTTTGGCAAACTTCACGAGGAGCTCGCACATGACACCAGGACCCAGGCGATACAGAACCACATTTGCAAGACCACAAAAATGCGTATCCCCTTTGAATGGACGCCGCGAACCCCTTGCTGTACATGACGGCTTTCAGAGAGCCATGGCTTGGAAGTTCACCATACTCATTGCATAAACTCAGCCCTCCCGACCCTGACATGTGAGAAATCAATCCAACAGATCTCAAAACGATGTCTTGGAAACTTCAGCAAAGAGTCTGTGGTTGATCCAGTCATCGAAGTTGCTCAGGTCATACCTGCCAAGGTCGATGCGCGAAAGTGCCGTTCAGTTTGCACGGTTACCATGCCAGGATGTCGATGCTTTCGTGGGCAAGTCGTCGTATCTGACAAGAACAACCAATGGAGCCGATCCGGAGATCTCAACCTGACATGTCGAATCCAGGCCCTCTAGGCCCTCAAGGCCGGAATCGTCTTGCGGCTAGGCCTTGACATAGCCTCCTGGAAAGCGTGGCGGCACATGGACCTGAGAGAATCTGACAGTCTTCGAGTGCAGCTGAGGCTCAGCACAAGCAGGTTCACCCGAAAGTACTGGTAGTGACCAGCCGACACCTTGCAACTCGAAGAGTGAAAAGAGTGAAAATCGCGAATACGGCGGTAATGCCAAGGCTGCAATGGCGATTTGACAGGCCTGAAAATGAAAGTTGTCATTGCGAAGGATCTCTATCTTGTCGTGCTCGCAAGCAGGTCCTGCATGCTTACCTGACAGCGCCAGCAGTGGAAGGTGTTACAAAGTTTGCTTTGAGTGTGTTCGGTACGTCACGGTACCTTTGGCACTTAAAGCCTTAAAGCCCAGGGTTCAAAGATGCAAGTGAGCTTTGAAACCAGGTGGTGGTGGCATTGCACATCACAAGCTTCCACACAGTTGACATAGTCGCGACATAGCCATTCAAGAAACTAGGATTCTGGCGGGCTTGCCGGTTGGTAATGGAAAAGTTGGGGGTGCGAGTGCTTATAAACTGTGTTGGAAACGCTGCGAACCTTAGGCAGAGCGGGTTGAACCCACACCTCAGTTTTTCGGTTATCTGCTTTATCCCCATGCGCTGGCTTCCCATGCCCCAACCTCAGGATTAACTTTGTATTAAGGTATATGAGAATGCTCTTGCAAGGAGCTGCCGAGGCCGCCACTGTCGCATTGACACTCGCCATGCTTGTCACAGCGCCCGAAGCCCGAGCAGAACTCTAGCTCATCCTGCTCGGATCTCAACACTTTTAGGCACTTTAGGTCCAAAGACACGGCGGAAAGCTGGTGAGCCTGGGTCTGCGGACTGCCTAATCTTCCTGCGACTCTGGCAGGAGGCAGGCCACTCCCTGTCGGACAAATAGACCGGCTCCGCAAATGCTCCTGAGTTTACAGGCTTGGCTTCCAGCGTCGTCCAAACATACCGATGAGTCAGGGGCCAGACCCAAAACAAAAGGTCAAATGCAATCAGATACGAGCAGTGCAAGGACAGCACTGCATTGAGTTCCTCCCGAACAAGATTTCGGTGGTCGTTTTGCTAAAACATGATGCAGAAAACTGTGAGCCTCGCTGGCAAACTTTCGCATGTTGACTAGGCGAAGGATGCCGCCTTCAGGGCCTCAGCAACAAGTAAGCTGCGCAAACCCTAAAATGCAAACTTTGCCTCTACTAACGTAGTGTACATTCACAGCATCAACTGAGTCACTAAGTTCGAGTCCAAGCCCCTTCGCGGTAGCATAATGATTTCCAGCGATGTCCTGGACTCAAGATGTGGGGCGGCATTGGCCTTTCACCTCACTACATTGACAGAGCACGCCTCAAGCCAATGTGTGAAAGTGGAGGAATCATGACCTCCAAAAGACCTTGGGACACGTGGCACTTCATGGCAGCAACCTGACCCTGCCGATGTCAGTGACAACGGAAACAAACCCATCCAGTGCGAACAAGCAAGCACATGTGGCCACATGCGCAAGCAGTTTCAAATCGAGCACATGTGGTTTAAGCGTCTTGCGGCGGGAATTCTGGATCAACCGACAGAAAAAGCAAAGGGTCTGCTCGTTCTGCGTAGCTCCGCAATGTGACCTAAGAACACAAACAAAGAATTTCTCAGCATTTACCACGTGGAATCATCTTGCTGAGCCGACAACCACAACGTCTGCTGGGCCACCCAAGCAACTAAACTTCACGAGAGTTGCCTTCCCCATCCCAATCGCCATATGACATAAACATGGAAGCAATAGACAAGCCTGACCGATGCCCACGCGAACATGGTGATCTTGTCCAGGTGAAAGAACCGCAGTGTCCTCCGATGCAGCACCCATAACAACAATTCAAACGTTGCTGAAAAAAAACACAATGCCTTGTTGCCGTCAAAGTTTTGGCTTTGAGCGGAAATCAAACAGAAGAGGAAACCTGGCATACCAGCATTGCAAACGACTCGGCATTGATGCATGGATTCATATGGCAAGGACCAAAATAGAACCAACGTCACGGGCAGGCTGACCCAAGAACGTTTTAACCGCCACGTATTTCATCTCATGGGGGCAACAATCTTCACAATGCGAAATACAAAGTCTCTTGGATGTCTTGCTTCTTGTGCGGAACAATCTCTTGCATCATACGACAAACACATTACAGCGCTGGTGTTGCGGTGCCATTGCCACATGTTTGGCGCGCAATAAACAGCTGCAGGGGAACTCGTGATAGGCTCATGCATGTCAAACAGCAAAAGCCTCTTGAGTCTTGTTTTGTCAATGCATTACACAAATCAATACGCAAGCCTTCGATGCCGAATTTGCTCCTGGGTGCTCAGTTTTATGCAAAATCCCCAGAAGCCTCGGGCCGTAAATGCATGAAGAACGGCCCTCGCCACCCTCCACCAAACAGCCATGGATTCAATGCCTACTCACCTGAATAACCCATAGCAATTTGCTGTAGGCCGATTTCACAATCCACGACAAGGGCCATTGTTGGTTGCAGCGATTGATTCCACAATTTGATGGCGACGCTGAAAACGACCCCTTCATTGACTTCGGGCGGCAAAATCACACAGCCACGTCCAGTGGGGCTGAAGAAATGCTTGGAACGCATCAGTTGCCTGAACATGATGATGCGCACACGGGGTTGTTTTGCCCAAGGATTGTTTCGTGAACGTTGGTTTTCCTTCATGAGGTGGGCTGCTGGCATATCATCCTAGTCAACCATTGTGTCGTCCGACGTCAGCACGGTGAATCCTCATTGTTCGGGAAAGGTACCACATCAGCAGGCCGGTTTGCGGGGACAGGTGAAACAGACGTCTACGCAGGCTGATCAGCGGCAAACCAACACAAACGATAAAAAAACAAAAATTAAACGCGAGTGCGTGCTCGCCGCGAAACCTAAACCCCTCAGTTCACGAACAAAACGATGCAGATCTTTTCAACAGTGATCCAACAATGGCCCATCAAGATGGAAGCTTGGCGGAGCCTTCTGAACCCTTGCGAGGGACGACGCGCGCAGAGAATACCCTCCCCTCCTAAATCCCAACCAATCCTGACAAAACTTTTGTGGCTGAGCTGGAAGACGTGCAACAAGCGTTGGCCTCTGATTCAAAGCACGCATCGAAACATGCACCAGTCATATCAGGCATTCCAGACCGTATTGGTGGCACACTAAAATTGGATTCACGCAACTGGCAGCGTGGCGACAACCCCTCATGGGGAGGTTTTTGAAGTGGGGGCCGCAATGAACAGCTCACTTCGGTGCTGAACTAACCCTGCTGACCGATTGTGTCATGTCACCGCTACGGGAAATCATATTTGGCTTCCAAGATGGCTAAGCTTGCGATCTAGAAGTTTGGTGGGAGCCGCGCTGTGCCCATTGAACGAATGCGCAAGCTCCACTTCACGACTGCCTGCAATGAGATGCTGCTCTTGAGACGGATGGGTGCATGGATTCCGTTTTGCGAAACCCAGAGCAAAATTGTCTCATGAACGAACGCGGTGTCTAAGACCCCCAGCCAAGTCTTAGACAACGTGCGAATCAAAATCAGAAGGGAAGAGCGTGTCGAAGACAGACCCCAAGAATGTTCAAGACATGGAAATGTTCCACACCAGAGCAGGCCGTTCAGAATTCAAGGTTTCTAGGCAAGCGCATCGGGCACAAAGGCGAGAGCTGAGGTTTTGTTGTGTGGCTGTATGGTGCTTTTCATTGGAAACAAGCATTTCGCAGGGACAGAATTTCAGATGTGCCTACGCTGAGCTGAGTCCGCTAAACTTGTAGGCCTTTCCACGCGAAACTCCTGAAGAATCCTGATGCACTCTTCGAAGCGAGCTGAGGAGGCTCCTGGGATAGGCCCTAGCTTCGAGCAGCAAACTCCCAGACTAAATCCCTTACGTGGACATTAGTCCCCTCAATTTCTTGTCCTTCGAAGGCCTGTAAAAAGAAGAGAAGAGAATTATTCTAAATTCCACCTCTCTCAGTTTCTTGTTGTCCTTCGAAGCCTGTAGAAGAGAAGAGTGGAGAATTGTTCTAAATTCCACCCCTTCAATTTCTTGTCCTTCGAAGGCCTGTAATTTCTTTTTTGAAGATGTAAGTTCAAACTCAAGCTCCTAAAGTCTGAACTTTAGAGGCGCTCAAAAACTCCAACCTCGAACCCCTTTCGAACTCGAGGCCCAGTCCTGCTGTGTTTGCCTTCAGCGATTGGCTTTCAACTTCGAACTCGCTCTCGCTTCAAACCTTCGAGCTAGAAACTTTCTCTAACTTTCAAAGTTCAAGCTTTCGCCTCCATGTCGTCCATCGTTTTCATTTTTCAAACTTTCGAAACTTTTAAACTTCCAAGCTTCAATGGTCATTTATCCTTTCAAAAGAAGTACTCGTGACACCTGTCGGGTTGAGGGGCGCAGACCCGCACTCTTCTTTGCCAGGTGGAATTTGAATAATTCTTTACTCTTCTCTTCCACAGGCTTCGAAGGACAACAAGAAACTGAGGGCGTGGAATTAGAATAATTCTCCTCTTCCCTTCGGTTCTTCTCTCTTTTCGAAGGGAGGGGACGCGCCCCTCCACACCGGAAAGCTTGCCCCGGAGGGGGAGCATGCACCGAAAGTCAGCCAAGTCAACGCTGTCGGAAACCTTCAATTCCAACTCTTCCCTGAACTCCCACAAACTGCCTCTCAGTCGAAGCCTTCCAAGCTGAGGTCTGGGAAACTCCAAATTGCAGAAGCAATGGTTTCAAAAAGCTTCAAAGGCTTCAAAGGTGAGAGCGAAGAGGCTTCGAAGGTTCGAGGCTTCGAAGGCTTCGAAGGTGAAGACGAAGGGGCTTCGAAGGCTTCGAAAGCGAGGACGAAGGGGAGGGCTTCGAAGCTTCGAAGGGTAAGGACGAAGAGGGCTTCGAAGGCTTCGAAGATGAGGACGAAGGGGGCTTCGAAGGCTTCGAAGGTGAGGACGAAGGGGCTTCGTCCTCCCTTCGAAGCCTTTGAAGCCTTCCAACGCTCCTTCGTTCTCATGAGCCGAAGGGGGGCTTCAGACCTTCAGCGCGAAGGGGCTTCGAAGCCCCCCCTTCTTTTTTTTAGTTCACTACCCGCACTAGTCCGTTACGAATGTTCAGTTGCACACGTGGAAGTCGAAACTGTGAATCCGAACGGACTAGATGCACAAATCCGCCTGTCGAGCCAGCAGCTACACAGCAGGCGGGCGGGGGATGAACAGGCGGAACATGCTGTGCCGTTGCGTGCGGGCAGCAAACACACTTGTACACGTACAGCCACGTTCACTACCCGCACTAGTCCGTTACGAATGTTCAGTTGCACACGTGAAAAAGGAAGAACCACGCACACCCCTTTCTTTTTACACGCTGGCAGAAGAATCCCTGGCGGTGCTTCAGCTAAGCAGCCTGCGGGCAGAAGCACCCGGGCAAGAAAGGTGAACAGAATGCTGGTCCAAAGCACCAAGTATTTCAGGCGGCACGCTTGACCCGAAGGGGGAACAAGGCCAGCATTCTTCAAGCAGACGCCAGCCAACCGGAGAGATCTAGCTCCAGGGGGTACGTATGACAAGAGAAAGATGAAGGCAGAGCGGACCAAGGGATTTGGCAGCGTGCGGACTCGGAGAAACCCAGAAGTTGGGCGTCATAGCCGCGGCTAAGACCATCTGCTAGGTCATTCCTGAACCCGAAGACATGGTCTATATGGACCGAAATGTACTGCCTTTCCTGCAGAAGAAAGAAGGAGCGCAGAAGGCTACACATGCCTGTAGCGAGTGATAGACCTTTCCAGGACGCGGAATCCGTTGCGGAGTTGTCACACCTAAACGTGACATGCAGCGGCGGATGTCCCGCTGGCAGCAGGCAGGCAAGAAGATGCAGTAAGGCACATTGAGCGAGAAGTTCCCAGGCTGCAATGTAATGCTGAGGCGAATGATCAGGCGGGAACCACGGAAACAGTGAGTGAAGCTCCGCTTGAGAGAACGTGACCTGGAAAAAAAGAGTTTGGCCCCCAGGCAGGCGAACGAACCCGCCCAGACCGGCGGAAGAACCGTCAGCACGTGCGTCAGCAAAGGCCTCACATTCGAAATGAGGTGACAGCAATAAGGATTTGAAGTCGGTCCCAGAGCGGCAGATCTGAAGCCACATGTCCATCACGGCGCGTGAAGCGTCCGAGATGACTCGGTCAGGGTGCGCAAGGTCTGAGATCTGGACCCAGAGACGCCGAGCGGACGGCGGAAACTGAGGCAATTCTTCCTTGGTTAGAACAGCGGTCTGGGCCACACGGAACACGCGGCTGCCTAAGGGGGCGGACGCAAGACCTGACGGCCCAATAACCCGGAGGTCATTGGAGAGCACGGACTGCAGGCGTGCCCATGCTTGCACAGATAGGGCAACATGTACCAGGGGAGGGCAGTATTGGTCCTGATACAGGGGTGCGAGGGACGGCCGGAATGCACGGAAAAGGTTGGAAAGCCAGAGCAGCTTGCCAGTGAGCTTTTCCAACGTGGTGGCTGACAACTTCGTGCAGCGGTAGCACTGTCGGAGCAGGGCCAATAACCGTTGAAGTTTGGCCGGTTCCAGACGGACAGTAAACGTGCGGAAGTCCATTTGCCAACCGATCCAAATGACAGAGGCGGAAAGTTTGGCTTTATGCCAACTCATCGGCACGTTCAATATTTGAAGCAGAACCACGAGCAGAGCGGCAAGTAGCGGGGCCGATGATTTTTCAAGATGGATATTAGGTCGTCCACATAAATGAGGGCAGAGTGGCCGACCCACCAAAACCGGTGAACGAGGCGGACAAGCAGACCAGCCACACGAGCCCAGTAGAACCCAGACGCGCATGCACCAAAGTTCAAGGTTTTACACTGATAGAGGCGGCCACGGTGGCGGAAGCACAGCAGGCCTTGGTCTGCGGGCAAGGTTTTGAGGCGGCGATGCGCCTTGCTGACATCTAAAACCAGGGCGACCAAGCGTTCGCGGGCATCGGAGATGGGGAGGCAGCGGCGAATGTCCAGAAGGGTCGGATTGGCGGATCGATTAGGCAAGTGTGTGGCTTCGGTAACACCAGAAATGGAGCTGTCAACCACAAGACGTGGCGGGCGGCCCTCTGAAAGCACCACCCCCAACTTGCCGACTGCAGTGTGTTCATATCTCCGCTTCAGCTCGGCATCACCCCCAGGAACCTCCAGGATCCAGCCTGCACGCAGTTCTTCCTGGATCGACAATCTCAGCATTGTCGAGTGCGGATTTCCATGGCGGACTCACAATGGCGGAGTGCGGTTCCCACAACGGAAGCGAGGCCAGAGAGACAGACGGAAGGGCTGGCCGTCGTCAATCGACATAAGCGCGGCCCAAGTATCGTCCTGGTGGACTTGCAGAAACTCGCGCAGGTCGAGGAAGAGCGGAGCAAGTTCGTCTTCAGACAGAGGCGCAGTTTTAGCTCCGGAAGACAATGCGGTGACTATTTTGGGAACTAGACCAGTGTGGGCCAGGCGGGCGGACCAAGCACGGCGCAGGGCCTTAAAGTGGTCGTCACTTTGTGGTCGAACGTGACAGGCGGCGCTGCCCGTGCCAGCGCCATCCTCCACCGGGAAGGGCGGGCAACAAGTCAACCCATGTAGACAGTGTATAATCGCGGTCCTCAATTGACACGAAGGGGACGCAGAGGGATGCAATGGAGCTGGCGAGGGAGGGCGGCAACAGGCCGTCGTTCTGGTGAGGAAACCTCCATCTGCGGTGCGCTGTCTCGACAAGGGGCGATGGTAGGCGGGCAGGTGCGGGCACACGGATGCCAGAGCTGCCACCGACGGCCGGTTACACCAGAACAGCCAAGCTTTCTTGTAATCCAGGCCATGGGCACAAGAGGCAACGGACGCTCCGAACGGGGCAAACGCACGGACCCAGGCCATGACCTGGGGATCCAGCCACAGCAAGCTAGTAGAGGGGTTCTCCAGAAAAATGATGCCCCCGCGCGCGGCCACAAGAGAAAGTAGGTGGCGTGTGCGTTGATGCAGAAGTGTAGACATGGCGAGCTCACGCTGCTGTTTCGGAGAAAGGTTGGGCAGACCCAATGGAAAAGACGGCGTGCGCACCGGCGGGGGGCCCGGCTTTGCAAGGCGCGCGCGAGAGTAGGCCGAGCATGGCGGCGCAGCACAGCAAGCACCAATTAAGCCGGAAGCGCACAACCGACAGAGCGCGGAGTAGGTGACATCGTCGGAAACATCTAGGGCAGAACCAGTCAGAAGATCCACCGGTTCCATGCGTGCTAGAAGGAGCTTGCGGATGGCGTTGTGAACCGGGGCCGAGGAACCAGCAAACAGGTCCAGAAACATGCAAACACCTGGGATGGGGCGACAGTGAGGCCCGGGGCAATCCTGCGAAGCGCGTGGAGCCAGTGAAAGACTGGGCAGGTCAGATGCCGGTTGCTCACGAATCCCCGGAACAACCAGGCATGCCGGCAGGAAGTGGCGAGAAGGAAAGGCAGAGTCAGCGCAAGATGCGGCAGCCGGTTGCTCACGTACGCTCGGGGCGACCGAGCGTGCCGGCGCATGGGGGGGCGGGCAAGGCATGCTGGGCTGGCTAGGCAGAGAACGGTGCAGGACCGGTTGCTCGCAAACGCCAGGCGGTGTCGGGCGTGCCGGTTCCTTAGCAGAGGTGGGACCATGATTAACGGGCATTAATGGGCTGTGTGATGTGAGAGTCGGCTGCGGACAGTCGGAACTCGGGGCTGCAGGCGGGAACGCTGTGTTGCACGGGGCCGCGGGCGTCGGTGCGGCAATAGCGTTGTGTGTGTGTGTGCAAGGGTGCAGGACGCGCAGTAGCTTCGGCGCTGCAGGAGTCATCTTCCGAGTCGGAAGACACCGGCACAGGGTTGCCGGATACAGAAGATAGTCAATGTGCCGTGTTCTTGTGTTCTGCTGCGGTATGTTTCTGCCCGCAGGGCTTGCCGGACGGCAGTGGGATCGGGCAGAGGTGAGCATAGCGGCAGTTAGGATTGGAGCACTTGCCCACGGCATACCGCTTGCAGAGTTCACGCTTACCGATCTTCTAAAACCAGGATGCCTCGAAGCCGGGCACGGCAGAAGTGCCGTCAGTCTTTTCTTTACCGCGTCCCTTGCCCTTAGACTTGGGCGCGGGCTTGCGGGCATCTTCATGTCCCAAAACGATTCTCCAACACTGCACTGCATCTCGATGCACATACGTCTGTCATTTGTCGTGAGGTTACCAAACAAATGCACTTCTCCTCTAACCAAAACAAAGTACCCAACAAAAAGCCTCGACAACAGGCAACTAGGCCCGAGGCGAGATCTGCACCCGAATGTATCAAGCACTCTGAGCTCAGGGCCGCCAACATCGCAGATGCCACGATCCAACGGTATTATAGGTATCCTGATGTTAACCAGAACAACATGAGTAAAAATAGTCTCTACAAGTGCTCGAACATATAAGGTTTGCCAGCATTCGGCCAAAGTCAAACCGATGCACTGTTTTCTCTTGCCCTTTCTGACAAGGTTTCGTCTATGGACAGTCACATCTGTCTCGAATTCACCAGTCATGGTGAGTACGGACCAGGCCTCCGGCCAGGCCTGAAATGCCTCATGCGAATCGCTAACGATGGGAACTGAGGTGGAGGCATGGGCTCCCGGTTGTACATCCTGATCCCCGCGATCGTCAGGGACCACACCATCATGTCTGCATGAAGTCGGAATGACTCCTGAAGGTGCCTAAGTAAATCAAACTGCAGCTCAACCATGTGTCGCAAAGCGTGGATCGCCTGAAAGAGCTGTTCGACATCACAGCCAAGAACTGACGTTGATGTCTGTTGCTGACTCTGAAACGTCAAAAACGACTCGCGAGCCTTGCGAATGTCACCTTCCAAAGATGCAATGTGTTGTAAACATCGGCGAAGACGAGAATGATGTTCCATAATTTTCGTATCAATCTCCCACAAAGCAACTCTATCATATTCACAGAAGCTGAAAGGACGATCTGCATGAGTCTCCACAGTGGAGTCTTCCATGGGATGATTCTCGTCAATATGACGGGCTAACGAATCCCTGAGGGCAGTCATAAGTACCAACCCCCTGAAGCACTTCGAGCCTCAAAGAAAAACGCAAGGTGCAAAACACGTGTCCCTGCTCCACATAAAAACTGCGGAAAGAAATGAGCAGCACTCAGGGCCAGGCTCATACTGTCTCCAGCTCATGGAAAAAGAGCATGGAAAGCTGATCGAAAACGTCTCACGAACGACTCCAGCCAGGATAAGCGTGCATCACTTTGTTGAACACGTGCTTCCAACACACGCAAGCGACTGGATATGTCTTCAAGGGCTCGACTGAGTTCACCAAGTTCATCTTGATGCCTTTCACACATAGCATGCACATCAACCACATGCCGATGCACCAAACTGACTGTGCCAGTCCCACTAGAGGACGGTGTCTGGGGCTCCGAAGCTGCACCATCTGCCATGGCTCAAGCTCAAGCTTTTTCGAAAACAATCTATCAGCTTCTAAGAGCACTTTCCGGGCATCCTGCCCTCTGAGAGGTCCCGCTGCGACGGGTGTATAAGTAAATACAAATCCTGCATGAACAAGCATAAAACTGATCAAGCGTTGGAAAAAAGTTGTGCAAAAAGGCAAGCACTGAAACAACAAGCAAATGTTTTGTTCACCACAACATTTTGATGTTGTTTCCTTTGAACAATAAAGCTCTATCTTCTCCAGGCATTCGAAGAACGATACGGAGCGGTCCGCACGGCGGTTGTTAGGGGTGCGGGGGTTAGGGGCATTAGGGTCAGCAGCGGCTTTGGCAGGTCGCGGACGAGGCTGCAAGAGGGCGGAGATGTCCTGGCGGCACGTGGAGATCTCGTTGAGGGCGTCCTCGATGGACCATGCGTGGTCACGGACCAATTCATGTATGGAGACCCAGACCGCACGGTCCGCAGCTAAGATCTCGTTGAGCGTCGGCGGGCGGAGCGACGGGTCTAGCGGAACCGCCAGGGCGGTGGAGATAAACTTGTCTGTGAACCGCTTGATGGTGATCAAGTGGGTGATCTTCGTCATAGCCAACGCGGTAGCGAAGAGTGAGAGGTTGCGACGAAGCACGGACTCAGCGGCCCATTGAGGCCCGCGGCGGAGGTCGGACCAGGCGCCTCGGACTCGTCAGCGAGCAAGGCTCGAAGCAGCTGACCGTCGGAGCGCGGGCGGCGGGACTCGGACCAGGCAGCGCGGTCTGCTTCAGAAGCGCGCTGACGCCAAGGCAACCAAGGGGAGCAAGAGGAGTCATGCAGGTGCTTGATCGCAGAGCACATCTCCAGGCACGGTGTTGTGGCGGAGTCCAGGAGCTCGCCGGGGTAAGCAGTTGTGAAATCGGTGCGGAGCTGGGACAGTTCTGCTGAGGTGAGTCTGGGCACAGCTGGCTGCGGAAGCAGCGGAGCAGAAGGAGATGCGGAGGTTGTAGCCGTCGAAGCAGGCGGTACGCCGGGCAAAAGCAAGCGCGCCTCCATGAGAAGGCGACGCACAGCCGAACACGCAGGTGTGGTCAGTTCCGAAGGAGCGGGCAGGGACAGCAGGCTGCGCAACAGCTGGGGCTCGTCAGCGACCTCCGGGGCGGCAAAGACCAATGCAGAGAGGGCGTTGTACCCGGCAGACTTGAGCTTGGCGGCCAGGTCGTCCGGCGCAGAGTATTGCGTCAGGAGAGCTTCCAGCACGGATGGATCGTCCAAGCGGGGACGATGAGCCATGGCACCTGACAAAGGGAGACAAGGGAAGAGACCCCTAACCACGACCAAATACCTTTATGGGGCTAAACAAAAACAGCTGCGGACAAGGAAAGCGATGTACAGCAGACACCAAGACATGACACAATGCAGAAAACCAGCAAAGAAGTCATGCAATTGCAAGCCCAACGGACGCGTTTTGCCGCAGACGCGGTGGGTGCAAGGTGGACATAGTCCGAGCCAAGCGAGGCAGCGAACTGTAGCCACTGTATGAGAACAAAGCAAATAGTATCAGATAATAAACATAAAGACCAGTGAGCACAAATATAAAAAGCAAAGGACCCGTCCACTGACTCGCAAGCAGGCAGGCAAAGCGGCAGCTCAGGCAGGCGGCTCAGGAGATGGCTCAGAGACGTCCGGGACGGGGGCAGGCGTGGGCAGCGGCGACTCAATGGGGCCACGACCTCCTTGGCGTCGGCGATGGCGACGGAGAACAGGAGGCATGTCATGGCGAATGTCAAGCGTCTCCGAAGCACGGCGGGCAGCATGGCAACGACCGCAGAAGTGATCTCGGTGAGGGCGCGGGCGGTCCAGCATAGGTCGGCCGCAAAGGTTCCCACAACGGTTCGAGCATGGCTGCTGGCAGTATCCGAGGATGACTTCAGCGGCACCCGCGTCGCGGGCTTGCAGCAAGATGCGCAAACGGACAACGACACGGTGATCGAGGCGAGAGAGCCAGGAAGACAGTTGCGCATCAGACCAGGAGGGGTCGGGCCAGAGCGCACCCGAACCCCCAGGAAGGTAGGCTGTGCTCACGGTGCGGACAACCGGTGGTGAAGCATGCTGCACGGGTGCTGGCACGGCCTGAAGGTGGGCAGGCTCAACTCCGTCGGGCCCTGGCAGTTGAACTCGGCGGCGCTCAGTGCGGACGGAGAAGACGGACCGGTCCGTTGTTGGCGTAGAGGGCACGGACTCCATGGCACAAGGAACGCTGGCGGAGAAGCACAAGAGCTCGAGCATCACCTGGCGCAGGAGCGGGTTTGGGGGGGGGGGCGTGCCAACCACTGCTAAGGGCAAACCCAAGAAAACTAAAAGAAAACCCTAAAAGCGCAAGCAAGAGAAGAAAACATACGGCGAACGAGTCTGTTTTCTTGCATCAGGCGAGCTGGTCCCAGGAGTCAAAACGTTTGGCGCACGCCGCACGGAGGCACAAGGTGCAAGCGGGCGGCGGTTGTTGGACCACACTCGCCTGGTCGAGTTGGTCTGTTTGCGCGCCACACGCCGGGCGGAGCCAACAAAGGTGGGCTGGAACAGCGCGCGGGGAGCATCCGGATCACAGGAGGACGCAGTGTGTGTAACATTGCTGCACGAATTATAGAGCAAGAGGGCAGGGGCGGAGGACGGCGAGGGAGGTTGCAGCACAGCGGCGCACTCCACCTCGAGCGCCTCAGGATCGGAAGGCGGCTCCGAACAGACCGATCCACAGTCATTCTCAGAAGAGCAACTAGACACTGGCGGGGTGGGTGCTCTGTTGTAGTCTGGAAGGAGGTCCGGAAGGAGTGGCAAGTCCGGGTCTTGGGCAAACGGGACAAGCGGAGTGGCGGCTGCTGCAGGATGCACTGGTGTGCCTGGAGCTGAATGTGAGCCAGTGTGTTCAGCTTCCTTTCCCCTGGAGGGGGGGCGACAGGTGCAGCGGACCAGCGAACACGCGGCAAGCCAGCAGCTGACGGCAGCTCCGTCGGAAAGTCCAGAAGCGGATGATCAGAACCCCGAGCCAGTGGCTGAAGCGGACGAAAGCCAGCGCGGATGCATGAAACGACGGTGCGTTGGCAACACAACATTGGGCCGATATCATCACGGCTGTACAGTGCAACGGATTTGTCAAAAACCTGACAGCCGATGATGGCCTTGAATGCGTCTGGGCTCAGCAGGCATGTCCATTTGGCGGGCCCAAGACAGGAGTGTGGTCTTAGCCGAGTGAGCGGCTATCAGGTTAAACACAGACGGCATCGGCTCCGAGCTGTGCAGATTCCAATGGTGGCAAAGGAGACTGCGGATCCACGGCACTGCTTGGTCCCGGAACAACGGCTTGACAATGACCGGGTGACCGGCATCGGCAGAAAGGATGGCTGGCAAGAAGTCGATCACGCGGTGTGGGTGCAAGGCAACGGTGTCCGCAAGAACTTGCTTGACAACGGACAACCAGCGGGTCGTCCAAGAGGACGTGGCGGAACCCAAAAGGCCGGGCGAGTAGATGCCCCAAGGCATCCCGGATTTAGTCGTCTTCGCGCGAATACAGATTCCCACCAAGGCAGCGGAGGGCGCAAGATTTTGCAAGCGGGCTGGCGGCACCCACAAAAGGTCACCCTAGCGGAGTGAGGCCCAAATTGCGCACAGCAAGACACCCAACATGTAAGTCTCTGCAGGCAGCGTGTCCGGGCAGAGAACGCGGGCCTCCAACCAAGCCGTGAAAGCTCAACGAGAAGGGAAGGCTTTCGCGGTGCTCAAGTGGGGCAGATGGAGAAAGAAAGGCTCGGGCAATAGCACCCTCAAGCTGGCGGCGCAGGAGCGGAAGACCCGCCTTTCTAGAAAACCAGGACAGAGCCTTGAAGGGCATGGTGGCCAGGCCTTGGGGACTAGAGCGAGCACGCAACCAGTCTGGCAACACACCTGGTTGCGGATCGTGCGCCGACGAACGGGGAATCTCACAGTGCAAGCACCAGGCGGCCCACATGTCCAGATAGCGTTGTAGAGTAGAAGGCGCGTTTGTTATAACAACACGACTGATGAAGAAATCCGGGTCGGATGAAGCGGATGCCTCCACAAAAAGAGCCGAGAAGCTGGCCAGAAGGTTGACAAACAACAACCAGCGTGCAACGAGTTTGTCCCGGGCAGCTTCGAAAGCACACATGATTGAGGGAGCGGCTGTAGGAACCGAACCATGGAAAGTGCGGGGAAGCGGAGCCGTAAGCTTGCGTGTGTCGGCGGCCGGCTTAGCACAGGGCGTCACTGCAACTGAAGCGGGCCCGGGAGGGGTCAAGGCAGGCAGTGAGCGTGCACGCAGTTTACGGGCTGGTAAGGGCGGGATTAGGGTCGGGGCCGGGGCTCTGAATAAGCGCTTAGGCGGGTTAGGGATTGCAGGTTCAGGGACCACGGCGGCAGTAACTAGGCCTGGCGGCCGGTATGCCGGATTGAGGGAACCGTCAAGCCAACGCGGAATATTGCGAGAAGGCACAACTGGTTGGCAGGATGCCGGGCACGGTGCAGCTGACACCAACGGGAAGGAGCCAGGAGAGCCTGAAGACAAGGGAGAAGGCTTAGGCACGGCTTTCGGCGTTGCAGGTGGGGATGCTGGTGAAGCAGGCAAGCTTGGCGACGGCGAAGCCGGAAGGCCAGCCAAAGCGGCGAGACTAGAAGCAGCAAGCTCTGCATGCACTGACGGGGAACACATAACACCGGAAGGGTGCAGGAGTTCGCCGGAGACGGCATTCTGGGCAGGAGCGGGTTGCCCCAGCAAAGGCGGGGGCGCAGACTCCAAAGCAGATGCTGCGCCAGAGCTTTGACTGACATCAAGGTCATGAGCAACCACTGAGTCATCCACAGACGCGTCCACAGAGTGCATGGGACCAGCAACGAGGTCTTGGGCGTCCGGAGGTGGGTGCAGTAGTGAAGCAGGAGCACCAACGGACGACAAGGGATGTGACACAGCCGGGGGTGGATTGCAAGCGGCCTGGGGGGAGTCCGAAGGTGGGTGCACGGAAGGTAGAGAAGCACCAACGGACAGGCCAGGCGGCACCGGGGGAACGACAGCCGGTATGAGATGTGTCAGGCAAGCGGCCGAGGGGGCGGGCGTGCAGACAACATCAGGCAGCGGCAGCACCGGTGCAGGACAAGGAGAATCATGCTCGTCCATGGCGATGAGGATGTCCTGGCGGGAGCGTCCCTGAACAACCCTCAACTAAACTAAAAGGAGCTAACCCCAGGGAAACAGTACAGCCGCAGAACGCGAAACACGGGCAGCTTTTTCCAAGGCAGGGCGCGTGCGAGAGGCACTGTGGCCAGAAGCAAAGGGCAAAAACCGAGGAGCGGAGGAGCCAGAGCGGAAAAGCCGGCCGCCCAGGGAGTTACAGAACCTTGAGGCTTAAGTGCAAAGGCGGCCGGGCGGCAATTCAGCAAAGGCAACTCCGCGGAAACCGGGCGGCTCAGGAGTGCAAACGGTGACAGGCGGAGCATTGGTGTTCCTTATGCCCGGACCTCTCGCCAAACATGACCGGGCGGAAGCAGAGGCCTGTGCAGGTGGGGGCACGGCCCGGCGAGACAAAGGCGGAGCAGATGTGGGTGCAGTAGCCGCGGAGGCGGAGGTGGCTGACGGCATCCGCGGGCGGCTGCAAGCGGACATCCAACCAGCGCGGAATCTCGTCCGGATGCACACAGAACATGTCCGGATACGGCCACCATGGCGGGCGGACAACAGGCGGGCAGGGCAATTTGGAAGTCCCAGCCTTCCGCGGTGCTCCACGGGCCCTGGTTAGGGGAGTCCGTGAAGCCCGGATCAAAGTTGAGCGCCTCGTCGGGCCGCGGGTCGGTGGCGGCAGTGGGGCAAATGGCCGGCAGGCGGTCGCGGTCAGTGCGGAACACGGAGGCTGGGGAATCCGCGGGCACGGCGCGATGGCCGATGTTGGGATCGAAGTGCATGTTGTCCTGGCGGATGGGGCGCGGAGCAACCGGCGTGCGGGCCGGGCGGGTCGAGAAGAGCTCCGCGGTTGCAGCAGGGGCAGGCGTGCTGGCAGGCGTGTTGGCAGGCGGCGTTTGGTCAGGCAACGGGCCAGTGTAGACCCCCGTCACGGCGCTGTGGCGCCAATCCCGTTCGCGGGACCAGGCTGCGGCATCATGCACTGGTGGTGCGGGCGGTGGCGTGGCATACCTGACTGTGCGGGTGATGCGACGGCCAGAGGGCTGCATGCGGGACAATATGTCTGCAGGGAGGTGAAAGAGCCTGTCCATGAGGACGTCATGGCAGACGTCCGACACGAAGCAAACGGACTGCACATCCAGGGAGGCAAGGGCCAGCGCGGAGTCCTCGTGCTCGGGCTCGCAGATAGTGCGCCAGGCTCGGACGAGCTCGGCGGCAGGGGTGGGCGTCTGACGGGAAGCCATGGCACCAAACAGGGGGAAACACTCGAAGTTGACGCAGAGGCTTGAGAACATCTGAAAGCGGCTGGCAATCAGGCAGCAAAATGCTCAAACACAGCATGCGGTAGCAAGTGCAGGGCAGATCAAGACAGAAAGAAAGACTGTAACAAACCGGACAGACAGCAACCAAAAAAGAAAACCCTGTCCTCGATGTGCGAGTGGCCAGCACCAAGCGCGTGTAGCCAGCCTGAGTCAGCGGACAGCAGGCGGAGCACAGAGGAAATGCGCAGCGGAAAAGAAACCGAGCGCGGTACAGAACTGGGCGTAAGCCGCACCAGACGTGCAAGCCTGAGTCAGCGGACAGCAGGCATATCATAAGTGAGGACACAGCGGGCAGCAGAAAGCATGCCGAGTGTCGCGCCAGCTGGACGTGAACCGTTCCAGAGGCGGCACGCCTGAGTCAGCGGACAGCAGGCGGAGGGTTCAAAGAACCGGGCACAGCGACGCGCTAAAATAAACAAATATAGCGGCCGAGTACCGCACCAACTGGACGTACGCCGTTCCAGTCGTGCCAGTTCGCGACTGCAGCGGCAGACGGAACAGGTTCCTCTGCAGCGGCAGCAGGAACAGGTTCAGCACTAGCGAAGCTGAGTGAGAACCGAGAGTCGGGCAAATTGGAGACCGGACTCTCGCTCTGGGTGAATGAAACACGCCGGAGCGGGCAAGCCATGGCTCAGGCGGATCTCTAAGTGCACAAAGTCTATACCTGAAGTCGAAACTGAATCCGAACGGACTAGATGCACAAATCCGCCTGTCGAGCCAGCAGCTACACAGCAGGCGGGCGGGGGCTGAACAGGCGGAACATGCTGTGCCGTTGCGTGCGGGCAGCAAACACACTTGTACACGTACAGCCACAAGCGGACGCCTCCTTACTACATCAGTAGCACAGTAGGCCGATCTTGTGGGTCTCGCAACTAGGTGTGAAACAGGTCGCCAGAAAGAAACAACAACGAAAGAGAAGAAACAACCAAGCCAACCAAACCAGCAACACCACAACCAAACCAAAAACCAAGAAAGGGCGGCGAACTACTAAGAAGACCCCACGCGCTCAGTACTCAAGCTCGTCGATGTAGTCCCTGTTCAGAGCCAATGCAGCACCAAGTCGTGTGGGGGAATCGCAAAATGCGATTGTGTGCCAGAGAACAAAACCACCATCGCGCAATCATCTGAATAAGTTGGCAGCCTGCAGGTTGGGTGTTCACACACTCGCAGCAGTCTTGGCCGACATTCCAAGAATAGCGGTGTGAGCCTATACTCGAAATGCTACATCGGCCGAAGTTTGACTGTTGTAGTAACCGAGACATGCAATATCCCACCGATCCCTACCCCTCCCACAGGGAGGGTAGGCCAATTTGCCCCACGGTGATCAGCCAGTGGGGTCTTCCGTATAGGCCACAGCCGACTGACCATGGCGATCAGCCGAGGGCGCGTACCGCCAGGCGAAGCAGCACAGCGCAACGTAGAAGCACGCACCGTGACCAGTCAGTGAGGGATCAGAGCGTTGGCCCCACTAATCTGCCTGCCCCGTGGTGATCAGCCAGTAGGGCTATCCAGGAGTAGCCAAGAGGCTACCGATTCCATCGCTCTTAACAGCTCATGTTGCATCAGACGCTTTCATTCTTGCCATAGCAGGCTCTGGGTACGGATGCCGCAGTTGCCCTATCATTGCCAGGGACCATCCCATCTGCTATCTGCCTGTCGACTCTGCCCAGACCCTCGAGAGCGTGGCTCCGCCACGACCCCTGATGGGGCCGCCGCCACGGCCGACTGTGCAAGGTCCCCTTGCATAAGCAAAAAACACCCCATGAAAAACGTGATGCACACACGCAAAGCAAGCTCCAATGCATGTCTCTTCCCAAGGCTCAAAAACAACATGCTCAAGCAGGTCAATCCAAGCTCACAAATCAAGCGCAAGTCCAAGCAAAACATGTCATGCTGCTTCCTAATCAAGTTCAAGCCACACATGTCATGCTGTTTCCTAAGAGTTTTGCCCAAAACAAGCTCTTCTTGGGGACTTTCGGGACGACTTTTGGGGAACTTCGGGCTTTCCCAGAGAACCTTCCGAACTGAAGATTTCAGACCTAAACCCTCGAATGAGAAACGAAAACGGCGTTGAAGACAAAGCGTGTCGGCCACACTGCTCATTCTCGAGCTCATCGACCTTACACAGGCCCTTTCCTCCTTTCCTCAAGATGCTCCCGGGAGCGGTCCGCTGTCCTGACGGGATCGGAACCTCAGATCCTGGCACAAAAGTGTCCTTCAGTGAGTCAAGTTCCATGTCTTTCGGCCCCTCCGCCCCTTTCTTGGAGGAGGCTTTAGACTTCTTCCCCCCACTGAACGCCCACCAGGCCCGACTGTGTCCGACCAACTTGATACTCTTCTTGTTCCCTTTGTACATTCGGGACCCCGTTTTGGACAGATAGGTCTTCCAACCCAGTTCCGCCCCACACCATGGAGAAAGGACGTTGAAACCGACATCAGCCACCAACACCTCCCCGAGTCTCAGAAGAACATCACCGAAGTAGACTTCGATATCGACCACGGACGAAACGTCGATCGAACCTCCCGAGGCGTTGAACAGACTGGCTGCCTTGTCGTGTGTCTTCACCACACGAAATCCTGAGATAAACTGATTGGAAACTATGTGGCACGTAGCCCCACTATCAACCAACCAGACATCCCTCGGGCTAACCCCGAGGTGCGAGCACATCTGAGAAAGGTTTCCTCTTTGAGAAAACTTCGAGCCTAAGGCCCCCATGGACTCTCCAACTACGGTGCCTACGGGCTTCACCTCTTCAGGCGCGTTCAGAACGCGAGGAGGACGAGAAGGTCCGGCCGAAGCTTCACTCACTCCAGAAAAACCCAAAGCCATCAAGGTAGCTTCTCCAGAGTCTGCTTCCGACTCGGGCTCACCCAAGTAACGGCCTTTTCCTTTCCCTTTCTTCTTCTTCGACTTCTCCTTGCCTTTTCCTCTGCCTTTAGGACTCTTGTCCTCGTTGTCGCTCCTCGGAGTTCCACCTCCACGCGGCGTGCCCCCACCTTTGGGATTGCGGTCGCCTTTTCCTTTGTCTTTAAGCTTCTTTCTATCCTTTCCTTTGTCGCCCTTTCCTTTGTCCGGACCTCCTCCGCTACGGGCCTTCTCATCCCGTTGCTTCTGCCAGCATTTCTCGGCTTTGTGTCCCCGTTTCCCGCAGTAATCACGTAAAGTGTCGCTGAGGGATCGAGACGTTCCACCTGGAGCCTCACAGAATCGAAGCTGCTCTTCGTAATACTTCCGGCTGCTACACAAAGAGTTCCAGTCGTTGCTTTTCCCATGCAAAACAACGTATTGACGAAGTTCGGTATTCACCGCTTGCAGCAGGATACTGCACCGATCAGCCTCTGACAACAGAAGTTCAGGGAAATTCGACAGCTTCGCCTCAGACCGAGAAAACTCATCTTCAAGGTGCCTCAAACAACGTATTGACGAAGTTCGGTATTCACCGCTTGCAGCAGGACACTGCACCGATCAGCCTCTGACAACAGAAGTTCAGGGAAATTCGACAGCTTCGCCTCAGACCGAGAAAACTCATCTTCAAGGTGCCCTATGAGGTCAGTAGGTCGCCGGATATGTTGGCACGTGTGCTGCAACTTCAAACACTGGTCACGTACGAAGACGGCTTCCATGTGGGATACTACGCTGTACTCCACAGGCACTCAAAGCCTGTCGCTTCGAGCAAGAGCGTAGCAACTCCAGACCTCTTTCCCACTTTGCAAGGGCTTGGGTCAGGTAGTAAAACAGCTTAGCGCTCCTCGCTGCAACTTCCACGCAGAGATCCTTCTGGAGTATCTCGTGCTTCACCTTCACACACAGCTGAAGCTCCCGAACAAAAGCCTCGTCCTGCAAAGCCAACCACGAACTCAAAGTCTCCACAGAGCCATGCCATGTTTCCACTTCTCGCATGCGTCCTTTGCTCATGCCTTGATGCTGCGGCAATGGCAAAGGCGGCAGGTACTTCTCCGCTCGGTTCTGGAGAGTGGACCCCCCACGAAACGAAGTGGACACGACCCCGTTGCTGCTGTAGCAACAGGTCCAGAAAAACGGGTCGGCAGTCTTGGCTTTAGCTGCAGCTTCAGCAACCAACTTGGCAGTCTCAGCGGCCTTCTCTTCTGCCTCGTTTCGGCGTTTCTCCTCCAAGTCCATGCGTCTTATGAGAGCAGCTATCAACTGCTGGTTCTGTTGATTGCTGACGCAGGAGCTCAAGTGTGGACGGTTCTGCTGACGTAGCATCTCCAACACTGTGGCCTGGAAGCCAGTCTCGGCTCCTCCACCGCTGGCTGCGGGCAAAGTCCCCCTGTCTAACTTCCAAGTCTGTGCTTGAGCAGGAGTTTGCCGGAGGGAACTCAAAAGGAGTTCGGTGCTTCCTAAGATCGCGAAGTTGTCTGACCTGCTTACCAGTGTTCGCAAGTCTCTCGCAGAGTCAGCGCTTCACTTTCGTGAATTCCATCTCAACTTTGTTAAACAAAGAAGAACACATGCAAACGTCCTAATGCTTCTCAGGACTTCAGTGCTTCAGAAAAACAAACATACAAGTGCACAGCCACTCTGCTCGAACTTCAGTACGACGACACGAGCGAAGCAAGAGTCGGCGGCCAAGATTTGAGCAAAATCAAAGCAACGCGCACTTGGTGCTTCTTTGCTCATCATGTGCACTCCAAGCATCTCACGTCAAGCTCAAAGCAAGAAACACTTTCAAGCCCTCAAAAACATGCCATGTCCATGCCTGTTTCTAAAAGCAAAAAAACAAACGGTTTCAACACAGTTCTCAACTTATGCAATGCAAACTCGTGGTTCATCTTCATGTTCAAGACATCATGTGTAAGGACACACAAAGGAATTTGAAAAACTTTTGCTTATAAGCAAGTCGCTTGCCTCCCCGGTGTCACTTGCTCTAGAACGCGCTACGTCTCTCTAGAGAACGCGGACATGCTCTTTGGAGTGCTATGAAGGATGGCTCAATGCACAGCATTGGTTA